AAAGCAACGAGGGATCTTCCGGAACTGATCCTCTTAAACTGCGAGATTAATCGCCGTCATCAGTGGGTATCTTTAGATTTCAGGCTGTAAAGGACAAAGAAAACAAATGGTAAAACGTGTCCTTGCCAACTATTTTCGTCTTATTATTTTATTGAAAATTGAGTTGTTTATTTAATCAGTTATATGTAAACATGCAATCGTACTTGTTTGATATATTTACCAAAAATCAACTATATAAATGATAACTCATTCTACTAAAGTACCTATTACGTACCTGGGCTGGGATACAAATTTGGTTGTATCTGATCTGGGTGGGCTAATACTCGCCTCTGTGTCCTTTATAAAATCATGACTTTACATCATGTAATTAGTAAAATCTTGTAATTTTATTAAAGGACACTTTTTAGGCTAGTTTAAAGCTGTGAAATAACTATACTTGACACATGTTCTGTAGGTCGAAAGTAATATTCCTTAAATGTCACTGCCCTAGACCAATCTGCTGTTCTCAGGATGTCTTCTAATTTACAACCTAAATTAAAAGCCTTCGAAGCCATGGCTCCTCTAGTAGAGTGTGCACCATATACAGTTGCATCTATGTGGGCTAAGGTCATTATCCATTTCACCCATTGGGCGAGAGTTACCGTGGATACAGGACGGTGAGGTTGTTTGATAGCCAAAAACAATTCTGGGTGCATCGGCTTCCTGAATTCTAGGGTCCGTTTCTCGTATTCCTTTAAGCAGATCACTGGGCATAATTTACTGTTATGCGGGAATGCTGGATATGAAACTGAGGTAATTGATGACTTCGTACGTCTTGAGATGTTGAATGAAACTCCCGTGGGGGTAAAGGAGCGTGCATCAACGTCCAGCGCTCTTACGTCTGACACTCTCTTACAAGAGATCAGGCAAAGGAGCATGGCCAGTTTCGCTGACAGTTGTTTAAGTGTGTGTGCCTCATTGTGTGGCCAAGTGTCCAACAGTTGCAAAACTGAATTGACGTCCCACAGAGATGTGTATCGGGGTTGTGGTGGACAAGCAAACCAAATTCCTCATAGGAGACGGCATACCAACAGTTGCTGACCTGCCGGGTTCCCATCTATTCCCCGGTGTCCTGCTGAGATCGCAGACCTATAAACATTGATGGTGCGGTAGGCCAAACCCTGGTTGTACAGGTTGGTAAGGAAGCGCAACAGGTAATTTATAGGAGCACATACGGGATCCACCTGTTGTTCCATGCACCAACTACTCCATCCGTTCCAGGCATAGAGGTAGGAGCGTCTCATTCCAGGTGCCCAAACTCCTGCCAGTAATTCGATAGTTTCTTGTGGATCCTCTGGTACGATCCAGGTTCCCCTGAAAGCAGCCATGCTAAGAGTTTGAAGTGCCCCTGTACCAGAAGGGGGTGTGGTTTGCCCTCTGGGTCCGATAAAAGGTGTGAGACGTCTGGTAATAATCTCGGGAGGTCTATGGACATCTCCATGAGTGATGGGAACCACAGCTGAGCTGTCCAAAATGGGGTTATGAGGACCAATGACGCTTGAGCCCGCCTGAGGTGCACCAGTGTTCGAGCTTTGAGGGAGAACGGAGGAAATGCATACAATCGGCTGTGCGGCCATTGTTGGAGAAAAGCATCCACTGCTAGGGCGTCTGGATCTGGTCTCCAGCTGAAGAATGTTGGCAATTGGGAGTTCAAGCGAGACACAAATAGATCGATTTGCATCGGGCCCTAGAGTGTCTGAAATCGTAAGAACACACTGCGGTCTAGTCGCCAGTCGCAGGCGTCTTGTAGATGTCTGGAGTACCAATCCGCCACTATGTTGGACATGCCCGGGATGTACTCTGCTTGTACTGAAATATTGCGGGTCAGGCAATGTTGCCAGAAATCTTTGGCCAAGTCCACCAGGATTTTCGATTTTGTGCCACAGAGGTGGTTGATGTAGCGGACTACTGATATGTTGTCCATTCGTAGGACAATCGAGCAATTGGTTGAGGCTCCGAGTAGGCTCTTCAGGGCAAATGACCCCGCCATGAGTTCCAAATCGTTGATGTGCAACACTTTATCTGAGTGTGACCAGATGCCTCCGGTGGAGGTAGGCCCGCAGCACGCTCCCCAACCATGTGTGCTCGCATCAGACTCTATGATGAAGTCCGGGGCAGTTCCAAAGTTTGCTCTGCCGTTCCATGCTTCCATATGATGCAGCCACCAGGTGAGTTCCTGTTTGGCTGCATGGTCGAGTGGTCGAGTCGGAGTATGAGTGCCCCGAGCATAGGTGTGTGGCTTTTAGGTCTGTAATGTAGAAACCCCGGGAATATTGCCTGGATGGAGGCTGATAGGAGTCTGATTATTCTGGCTAGTTTTCACAGAGTTAACACTGGTCTTGTCAGTGTCCTGCGGATCTCCTTTTTTATGCTTTTGACTTTCTTTGTTGGCAGACTGAGTGTCCCGGTTGTTGCGTCTATGTGGAATCCTAGGAATTCCATGTGTTGGGATGGGGTACGTACCGATTTTTCCCAATTGATGAGGAATCCCAAATTTTGTAGCAGGGTCGGTGCCCAGGATAGATGCTGTCGGAGTTGGCAGGCCTCGTGTGCAATGAGCAACATATCGTCCAGAACATATCGTATGCCTCTGCTGCGCAATAAAGCGACCACGGGCTTTAGTAGCTTGGTGAAGCACCAAGGGGCCGATGAGAGTCCGAAGGGGAGGCATCGGAATCTCCTCGTCACTCCTTCCCATTGAAATTGGAGCATGTGGCGGCATTCTTCCACTATAGGGATCGTGAGGTAGGCATCTTGCAGGTCTAGTTTGACCATCCAGTCCCCCAACCTGAGCAGGTCTCGTAGACAGTGGATACCTTCCATTTTGAAAGGGCGGTACGGGACAAATGCCTTTAGGGGTCGCAAGTTGATGACTGGGCGGACTCCGCCTCCCTTCTTGGGTACCAGAAATAGATTGCTCATGTAGCCCGGGAAGGGTGAACCTGAAATATTGCGCCCTTTTCTTGCAGTGAGAGGATCTCTTTGGTCACCAGTTTTTTGTCGTGTGTGGAGAATGCTATTCGGTGTGGCTAGGCTCTTTGGACAGGGGGCTGTACAAACTCTATGCAGTACCCAAAGACAGTATTTAGGACCCAAAAGTCTGCTGTCAATTGTTGCCAGGTCTCTATAAAGTGTAATAGTCTGCCCCCCACGATATGTATACCCAGGGAGGGAAAAGGTAGTAAACTCACCATAAGGCCGTCGGCTGTATGAGGTGCCTCTGTTTCCTCGAGGTTGCCATGGTCTGCCTCTGACCGGAAAAAAGGGGCGAGGGTGCTCTGTTTTCTGGCGGCTGAAATCTAGCTGCAGTGGGACCTCGGTATCCCCGGTATGAACCGCGGGATGAGCAGCTGGGCAGACGGCCCCGGTGTCTGCCGGCCCCACCAAAAACTCTGGGAGAGAACACTCTCTTTATGTTTGTCTGTGCCTTGTCTAGGTCCATAAACATGCTTACGTAAGTGCTTAACAAAATTGTCCCCGAATAGGAGATCTTTGGCTTGTGGTCCCGGTTCGGTGAGTGCCATGTTTAAGAGCTTGGGCTCGATTTCCATAAGGATGGTTTTGAACCGCTCGGTGGCTAGCGCGGCATTAGCATTGCTGATGAGGCAAATGGATCTCTGGGCCCAGCCTCTAATGGCTAACAAGTCTAACGGTGTCCCCTCAGTTAAGGCCGCTTCGACCAGCTCGAAGATTTTGGCACTAGGGCCTAGTGTATCCAGTACCTTATCCTGGCAATGGCGTAGGGAATAATCAAGTCCCTTCTTTGCTTTCCAGACAGTTTTTCACAGGAATTGTGCTACCTTGGGATCTACATCTGGCGTGGCGCAGGCCATATCGGGGACTGTTGGGCGCGGGTATTCTGCTCGCAGTTTATTCCTGGTGGCCTTATCCAAAGGCTTACGGATACTGGCTGCTATGTAGCGTGCCACATGCTCAGTCGGGTACCATTCCGCTGACTTAGGATTCTGTAATGTATCGGGGTCGAACAGAGGTTCGCCCTGTGGATGCAAAATGGCAGATGAATCTGCGATATCATACTTTGGGTTATTTGGATCACGTGGCGGACTATGGTCTGGGGAGGAGACCTCCCATTCACTTGAGTCGACCTCGTCGGACTCGTTCAAAACCTCCTCTACATCCGAACCAGAGTCGGAAGAGTCTGTAAGGGATTTTGCCCTCTTCCATGTCCGCGACGCTTTTGCCCGGCGGGTGGCTCTTTTGGTGGGGGCCCCATGACCTCAGTGGTGACAGGACGTACCCTGTCTGTCAATTCTTTTTTGGAGGTAGGTGTTTGCACTTTGTGGGTTTTACTTATGGCCTTCCAGCCTTCCCTGTGTACTGACCCATCTGCCGCGGCTCTAGTGCGGGGCATATTGGTGGTGGATGGCTTGATGGCATTGGTAATGGAATGAGAGAGGTTGTCAGACATAGCCCCCATTGCAGAATAAATAGCTTGGGTGACTGACCGTGACATGGTGGCGTCTAGGAGCGAGTGGAACTCTTCTGAGTCCAGCTGCTCCAGAGGGGCCACTGCATCCCCTTGTAGGCTCAGGGGTTCTGACATCGTGGCCCGGTGATGGGTTTTGGCATCCTCATAATCAATGGGGCCAGAGGCAGGGTGGTCACTAGGGGCCTGCATAGTGGGGTACTCAGTGGCAGTATAACTGTACTCACAGAGTCTGTCAGTAAGGATTCCTTACAATTACACACTGCAGTAGCAGGGTAGGGGTTAATCAGCAGGAGACAAGGCAAAGACAGAACAAAAAGGCTGCACTGTTAGCTTACCGAGTGTTCCTTCAGGAATGGCCTCTGGGAGCACTGACAAGCTGACAGGCAGACCCTTGAACCAATCAGCTCGCGCCCTCTTGCTGGGCTGAGTGAGCTCAGGTGAAAAAAGAGCGGCAAAATTCTGTCCGCCGCCCCTTTAAGATGGCTGCCGCGGGTCGCGGCTGGGAACGCGCATGCGCACGCGGCACCCTCTCGCAGTTTAGGCCGTTCCCAGGGGTTTCCTCGCGTCTAGCGCCCGAGTGTTGCGGACAGGAGAACGGGTAATAAACTACCCGATGGGAAGCCCAGCAGCCAGTATACCCGCCCTGGGGTCGGGGAACCGACGGGGAAGCGTGGGAGCGGCTTCCCCACAGAGGGAGCCCACAGGAGGGCTGAGTAGTGGGAAGTATTAAAACAGACAGGTGTTATCATGCAGTGACAATACACATAATGTAATCAACATAATCACACAAACAAAATAAAGCAATAACAATGCAGATCAATAAATTAAGGTGTTGAGGCAGCAGCAAAGAAAGAGAAAGAGGAAGAGGTTACATGAGAGGATAACATATGTGGACTGTTCCTATTGGTTAAGAGATAATGATGTAATGTTAACCCTGTGAGGGTATTTATGCATGTTTTTTTCTACAAATAAACACCTTAGCTTTCTTTGCTGGTGAGGAATAAAAGAAAGAGATAAGCCTAATAGGAGCCTCCATGTCCTTTAATAAAATCTGTTTTTCTTTTCTTCATTTATGATCTATTTCTCTTTAAATCATAAGACAAAGTAGGGACTACCTTGTCTTATGTATATTTCCTACGCCTGACAATTGTGACAAAGGGTTGGAGCTTAATGCAAACTCCACTTCCTTTGTCAAGCTAACAAAGGGTGATGCTAGCCTTAATTAAGCTCCAACCTTTGTCAAGACTGCCATGTTTAGAAAAAGACAAAGTAGTCCCTGCTTTCTCTTATATTTTAATGAAAAACAGAAATGAAGAAACGAAGAACAGATTCTGAAAAAGGAAGAGAAGAGGAAACACTATGAAAAAGGTAAGGTTTAAAGTTAATTGCCAAAAACACTGCAAATATTAGCAGTGAAGGTGTTCTAATGATAAATATTGATTGAACTATAAAGGTCATTCCGATGTCTTAGAATTGAGAGGAAATTTGGATTCTGTCTCACAGAGAGAGGGGAAGGACTGACTTAACTAAAACGGGAAGTGAGCTATATGCCGCCTTTATGTGATGAAACTAAACACGACATAATCATCTTAACTCTATTTATTCCTTCTCCATTTACAGCAAATACTATGAGAAAGAAGCATTAATGTCTGATGCAGTGTGTGGTCCTATTTTGGCTGCTCTCTTGGGTAAGGACACTCTAAGACGCTTTTTTCACATAGAAAAGTTTCACCACTTTTGCAATAGAAATGTTACCTATTTACTAAAAGCAAGCTTCTCTGTAGTCACTTATTCTATCTCATTATCGCTGGTCATCTTTGGGAGCTGTCATGTGTGTTTTTGTAAAACGTCTTTGGAATACGGTCACCGTAGGCCATCCCAATCCAGCAGCATTGATAATGCTGAATTAACCTTTCCATTTTATCAATAACAATCTTTTCAATTTCTGTCCAACTTTAGAGTACATAGGGGCCAGTTAGCTGGTTCACTCAGACTGTCAGTGTTATCCAGTTTGGATGGAATTTGTATAATAAAATATATGTATTTCTAAATGAACAATTACAAAATGAAATAGATGCCAAATGTGCACAAGTAGAGCTACATACAATTTATTTGAAGGACCTTAAAGAAACAAACATTTTGGGGGTTCCCATTTATCAATACCAATATTGTTCTGAGGAACCCCAAAACATTTGTTTCTTTCTGGATTTCAAATAAATTGTGTATGCCTTCATTTTGTCATTGTTTGTCTTAGATTTGACCCTACCTTGAGCAACAGGGTATAAGGTCAGCAGTTTATTAGTTATTTAATTTTAAGTTTTGGGGGACTGCAATAACCCTTACTCTATCTCTATGTGGCCACTTTATTTCTAAATTAGTTTGGAAGTGTATAAATAATTGATGCAGATAATTATCTTTACTTTATTCTTCTGAGCTTTCATTTTTTTCACACCTGTCATTTTTCCTATATTTTTGTGCCAATTCATGCTAAATAAACCTTTCATAACTGTAAAAATCTTTTACAGTTTACCTATATTGACCTACCAAATTTTTTGTTTTTTGTTTTTTTTGTTTTATTAAAACTTTATTATTTTTTTGTTTAAAAAAAGTAACAAAATATCTCAAAATAACAATATTATGCCTAACAAAGAAAACGATAAATATGCTGTTATCATACAAATCTTGTTAGCGTTATTATTATCAAGGGGCGATTTGGCCTGTTTCACAATTTGAGTCAGATCAGGTCAAATGTCCTAAGAATATATCAAATGATTATTTATCAATAGTATAACACAAAATCTCTTCATAATTAGTGCAGCATAACAATATAAAAGGAAAAAAAAACAACAACAACAAAAACACAAGACAAAAAAATAACATAAAAAGGGGGGGAGGGGTGAAGAGAACCGACTGTGGTGAATAGATCAATTAATCGCTACTAAAATAAAATAAAATGTGAAGCACAACTCTAAAGTCATAGTTAACATTGATCAATGTAATCAAGATGTCAGTAAGGTCTAACTAATTGAAGAATTTGCTCTATTCATATAATTATCGTTATTGTTGTTTGCTGATGTAGAAAACATAATACGAATTCTACAACCCATGAATATGAAGTGTGGTTAGAAAACAATAGATTTATATGAAGACCATTAATTTAACCATTTTTGCCATAGTTTCATATATTTAAGTAGCTGACCACCTGCCCCCAATATAAATCCTCCGTAGATCCTGTATCTTCTACTTTTTTTACGCACTGCACCAAAGTATGTTTTTTTTGTTTTTGTTTTACCAAAACCTAGGTATCAGACCATTAGCGTCATTTTGAAGAAGGTTTAATAGTTTTTGCTTAGCTGTGTTCTTGAAAAAAGACATATGGCCTAACATTTTAAATTCACTATAAAATTCCCACTGTTCGCACTTAAACCAAAAACATTTTGTTTCAGCATGAACATACATATATGTTTGTATTGTAAAACTAAGGATTTTACCCTGTTAATGCTTTAATTGCCCAGTGGATAGGGGAGGTTTTAAAATGAAATACTGTATTTTCTGGCATATAAGATGACTTTTTAACCCTGGAAAATCTTCTCCAAAGTCGGGGGTCGTCTTATACGCCGGGTATAGGGTCTATATGGCTGCCGGGGGCGCCCTGCGCCCCCATCGCCGGCCCTTCTAATGCTGCAGCCGCCTGAGCGCTCTATAGAGAGCGCTCAGACGGCTGCCGCACTGCCTCTCTTCTCACCTCCCCTTCCCTGTGCAGAGTGGGTGGCCGAGCTCCTCTTCGTCCTGTCAGCTCACTTCCTTTCAGTCCGGCCGGGAACAGGTAACTGAATCTCCTGTACCGCGCGGTACCCGGCCGGACTGACAGGACGAAGAGGAGCTCGGCCACCCACTCTGCACAGGGAAGGGGAGGTGAGAAGAATGTAGGGAGGATTGGGGTGGAGTAAAAAGAATGGAGGGGGGAGTAAAAAAAATGGAGGGGGGGAGTAAAAAGAATAGTGGGAGTAAAAAGAATATATCGCAATTAGCCTCCTGTGTGCTAGACCAGCAGGCATGGATTATATGCCCAAACAGCCTGGCACATACCTGGGCTTTAAATGCTATTTCAGATTATCATTATTTAATGTCTTGCTGTGTAGCTCTGTCTGCTCACTGTACATCATGGCTAATTTTTATTTGGTGTGCATTGGAAGAGGGGTAGTCTTATACGGCGAGTATATCCCAAACTCTATATTTTAACTGGAAAAGTTGGGGGTCGTCTTATACGCCCAGTCGTCTTATACGCCGGAAAATATGGTATATTAATAAAGAGTTGTTTTTTTTAGTGTTCTTTTTAACTGGGCCTAGGGCCCTTTGAAATCTTAATCCTTCTCTGAACACTCCTAATCCTTTGTCGCTCTTTTTACTTTGCAGTGGGTCCGTGTGCATTAGAATACACAAAGTTAAAGACAGCTGATCACTACTGGACAGACCCATCTGCTGATGAACTTGTTCAGAGACACCGGATCCATGGTGCTCACAACCGCCAAGACTCCCCAGGGAAACGGCCGACTCTTGGTGTAAGTGTCTAGTTTCCTGAGTAAAAACTGAGAAGTATTTTAGTCTAAATACTTTTTCCAGTTCACACCAGAGGTGGAACTGCAGGTTTAAAGCTCAAAGAAGTGCCACGAATTATTGTAAAATCTGTTTATTTGAATGTTTGAGGACTTAAAATTAGGGAAGAGATTATTGATAATTTATTGTGGAGTTGATTTGGGGCATCTATTATGGTTTTGTGCTGCCAGTTTGGCATGACTCTGATCAATGGGAGTTAGTAGGTAATAATTGCCTACCCTTACTCTCAAGGGACACTTCACTGCTATAACAACATATAATCCGTGGAAGTTCTGGCTCTGTCCTGTCTGTCTACACATAAATGCATATAACTATTTAAATTTGAAAACATAGTTGCAATAATAAGCTTGTGTTTAAGGAGAAAAGCTATGTCTACCCCTCTGCCAGTACAATGTTTTGTATAGTGTGCACATACAAGGATTCTGTACAAGTCCCCTCCGACCCTCAGGAAGTCCAAGCAACTGTGAGAGGGCTTGTCAAAAAACTAATATCAGCTGCTGACTAAATAATAAATAATATAATAAATAATAAAACAAAAAAAGGAGAGTTGAAATCTGGCTTACATCGTCAATACTGACATCATTTTTATACGTTATTATATTTTAAGTAATATTGCAAAGCTTTGTTTTGCATTCCTTCAAATGGTTTGTGCACAGTTGTGTCATCCTCAATGTATGACCGAGTCAGGGGCGGATCCAGAACTGGTAGATTATTTAAAGAAACAATCCAGGGACAATAACCACTAAAGCTTTCTGTTGTGGTTATGGTGACAGGAATGCTGTGGCGCCCTCCCAGAGTAAGTAGTCAAACTGTTTAAGAACAGTTTGACAACTTACCTGGGGTCTGCAGGGATAGGGGCTGTAGTAGGGGCAGTATAGTGGGTGAGGGGTGCAAAGTATTCGAGGGGTGTATATAGCGCCAACATATTTCACAATGCTTTACAATTAAAGAATGGGATATTTTACAAAAAGTAATTGAAATGCAAAACAATAACAGCGATAAGAGGGGAAAAGTCTCCTGCTCAAACAGGTCAACAATCTGTGGAATGTGCAATGTTGAGAAATGAGGGGCTCCAGCCCAAACTATTTCTGGGGCCGATGATGGTGCATTTTCTATAGAGCAGTACCCCCTAACCGTCCAGGATTTATGGATTACCCAGTTGTTTCTAAGGTGTTTTTAGAAAGAAAAAAAAAAACACTTTAGACACAACAGTGTAATCCCTAAATCCTGGACCGGTAGGAGGACTGGGTTGGGAACCCCTGGTATAGAGAATGCAGAGCTTAAAAAATGCATGTCTGATTGCAGCAAAGCAAACAATGCAGATGGGGAGAGCAGTCACCTTGTATGTATTCAGGTTGCAAGGATTAAGGCATCACCCCCTCCTGAATAATATTCAAATATCAACAAATGATGTCCAGGGCTTATATTGAAAATAATATTATTTTATTGACAACACAAAGCAACACACACATATTGCTGCTTTGAATTGCCAATAAAGGGATATTATTTTCATTATAAAGAGTGCTAGACACATTTTGTTAATATTTTGATTGCAGCAACAGTCAAACCACCTTCACTTTTAAAAAAATGTTTTTTATGTGATTTTAATAGTAGTCACGCAAATGGAAAAATACCAGAATAGTCTTCTGAATAAAAGCATTAATAAGGCGTTAAAATGTTCAATAATTAGGCTGGTGAATTATTTCTTAAATCGTTACTACATATTACTTCATGAATCATAAAATAATGAATTAAATATAACGTGATCACAATGACTGACCTTTGATGAATCAAGCCACTTAATTATGGTAATTTTGCCCCAATTATCTCTTGGGCATAGTTTCTAGTGATCTATCTGTCTAATTCCCTTGTAGCAAAATCATTGCAGTTTGTACAAACTTGCTTTTTTCAAGCATATTTTAATACTAAGGAGAACAGCTCTGTGCGTTTTACCTTTTTCTTAAAAATCAAAACGGCGTTCGTGATATGGTGTATTATCGATTAACCTGACATGGGAAACATATTTTTTGTAAGAAATAAATAAGTTTAGAGTGTTCCAAGGATTATATTTGTACTATTACAATGTCTAGAGTCTGGTTATAGAAATGAGTTAAAAAAATTCGTGTTAATTCCTACCACGAAATAAATGTAATCCTGATTATATCCCACAGTGTCATATGCAGCAAATGAAATTTGATCAGTGTTGTAGTGCAATCAGCAATAGAAGAGTCGTAGCACATTCGTTATATTGCTTAACAGGCATTCAACATAGTCTATGTCTGGTAAACAAGAGCATTTATTACGGAAAGGTATATAACTTGTTTAAATTGGATATTTATTATAGGACTGTCAACACCTAGCCTTAAGAAGACAGGTAATTATTTGGTATATGTGCTCAGCGATTATTTCTACCAATCATTTCCAGGAATTCCCTCTTTTATTGGTTTTGTAATTGTATTGATTACTTTTTCCAGGAAAACCGCACAACACACACAGAAATTAATCCTGTTCTCCATTTGGCCTATAAACTACCTGACTGGGAGTTATGACAGATTCAGATCCATGTGTCATGAGATAAATGCAAGTGTTGCTTATTGATCCTTAAGAGACAGGAGTTTTAGCTTGTTCCCTCTTCGTCAATCTTGCCTAGTAGCTCTGCTGTGGATTTCATAGGAATCGTGATTTTAAAAAGACACAGCAGGCAAGAGTTGACTCTAGTTTTTAAAGTGTTAAATAATGATAAAATGAAAAATGAAAAAAGACATACCACTTGTGACGGACCGCCTTGCACCCTCTCAATCGCTGCTTCCTAGTACCATAAGCACTGCAGTGGAACACCATTACCACCGTAAACCCCACAAACCGCCGCAGCTGGGATTGGGTCTCGCCGTCCTCCACCAACCCTGGGCCCAAGACCAGGACCCAGCTTCCAGTGGGTAGACCTCTCCTAGTCCTGAGAGCGTGGCATGGAACATACTCAGGGGAGTATTGTAATATAGCAATCTGCAGAGTGTATGTAGTTCTCCAATCCCCCAAACATGAAGGGGTAAAGCATTATGTTTAATGGAAGCCACAGCTGGCCTTTTATGACAATCCCCATGCAAGGGGCATTCCCACGTGGACCTTGTGGGGAATTGCAGCACCAAGTCACAGACCAATAACAACAATGGTTAAATGCATGACACTCCCCTCCCCTCTGCCTTGGAGATAATTGAATCAGGAACTGTACTAATCTAATCCAACTATCTCCAAGCACAGAAAAAAACATAATTTTTTAAAACACCCTAAAAGTACCCTAAAAATACTCTAGATCTAACTTTTTGGCACTCCCATTTTATATATAATTTGGATCATTTTTTTTTTCAGGGAATTCCCTTGTAACATTTGATTAATTTAAAGAAAAATTTGATTTGGACCATTCTATATTACCAAAATGTACTCTAATAACAAACAAATTGAAAGAAAATTTTGAAATATTGGAATTGGGTAAAGGAGATAAATCATTAAAAATGTCAAATTTAGAAAAAATATATCTCCTCAATCCAAATCGTAAAGGCATAATCTCATTTTGCTATTCCCATATTTCTCCTACGCCCACATCTAAATTATCTGTTATCTAGACCTATAATTGTACATAGAATTCCCATCAATTCACATATTGGTGAATAACCCTGTAAGAGTATTAGAGGTATTTGCATGGATTCTGAATTTGAACACATCCTGTATTTTTCCTCTAAATAATATGGGAACAATATCAATGATAATTATCCACCATGGCTGACAAGCTGCTGTGGTCAATGTACTCTTATCAGTCGCAGGGCAGTACTTATGGTACAAGTCTATGTGCTAATGATATTGTCATTCCAAATAGTACACAGAAAGTACAAGGGTCACATGAATGATTAAGTGCCTGTATTCGGAAAACAAAACTAGTTATAGTAATTAAATAAACACAGCGAGATGTGCTGCCAATACCTAGTATACATTTAACAAGGCGACATAAAATAATCTTTGGCAAAGGCTCAAAATAGAAAGATAAGCTATGCAGAACACTTGTTATAGACATAATCAAATATTAATGACAGTGACACAATATATAGGACACTAATAAGACAAGATGAAGGAAAATCTGAGTACATAAAAGCAAATACTGTTAAAATAATTGAGAGATTTACTTAATAGAAATAAGAATATGATAACGGGTTGTTATATAGGATTTAATTTGAAATCATACCATCAAACAGATATTTAGTCTCTTTTTCAACTTGTGAAAACTAAAACACCATCAACGCCTATGTTTAGTTTACCTATTTCGGTAAACGAAAGATAACTTTTTATATGGGAGTTAAACTACTGCTGGCAAGAGTCAGGGCAAAAAACATGTGATGTCAAGCAGCCAATCAGAACCAGAGATCCAAACAGTTGAGCTGTTCAACTCCCAGCATCCCACAGTACAGGAAGAGGAATAGGGTGATGACGAGGATGCCATTTTACTCATAAAGATGTCCATCTTAAATCTATTTTTCAACTTCAGTAAAAACTGGTGAACATACAAATGCATTGACTCAAGATATAGACAGTTCCTATAACACCAGACTTATTTTCTGATGGCCAAGCCACTTTAACCGCAAGCTTGAATGCTCAGTCGAGAGAAAATAGAGGCAATGCTGTCTCTCATTGGGAGGAAATTGCAACACTGCGAGGTAGGGATGGTAACAGCCACCTCATAGGGAGGAACAAGGGGAAATTACAAATTAAATATTTATTCATGCAGGTTTATAATACAAATGCTACTAAACTGATCTCTACAGTGATAGAAAGCATACATTTAAAGCATCACCAATTTTGGGCAAAGGGGTTATCTGCTTTTGAGGTCGTATGGCCTTTAACGTCTGTAATTCTGAGCTTGATGCCGACTGGATAAGATTAATAGGAGATACAATGCACAGCATCATGAAGGCTAACCTCACGTCACACTCATTTCGAATCCCCCTAATAGTATAGGATCCCCCTTTAAAGCCACACTGCTGTATCTGAGTAACGGGCAGTCAGTTGTTAACTTTATAGTCATTAACAGAAATGTGTGAGAACCAGTCGGTTGTTGTGGTCACACCATCGGAGCCCCTGAAATCGCTGTACTACCTGCCTCACCCTTAAAGTGGACTGTAACTAAAAATGATAATATTTTACATCTAATATTTATGCTATAATAATAATTTTTTATTTTTTTATTTTAATTCATGTATATTGAAATGTTTGAAGAAATCACTTTCCTACATTTCCCACTGTCTTTTTCTGACAGTCATATTTGTGCATCTCGGGTCAGACTGTTTGTTGTCCCCACCCAACGCTCACTATTTGACAATCATCAGTTGCTTTTTAAAATCATGTGCTTTTTTTTTTTTAATTTTCTATCAGACTACTTTGACAGTTTTAAAATGAGCATTGGCTAATCTCATCAATCATTTTGCATCACGGTCTTATTAATGTTCTGTAAATAATCCTACCTGCTAAAGTAAAAATGTCAAAGTTTACATATTTAGAGGGGAACCAGAACTTCTATTGAAATTGCACGATTGGCATACTATAACGTTTGTTAACCTTTTTTTGTTTTTCATATGATGCTTTGTTTTCTTTTAGAAATATATTAAAGAATTAGTAATTAACATCTTAATCCAGGAATGGCTAAGTCACACATTAAATGATTTGTTTATATTATTAACAAATCCAATCACATTATTAATAAACCTTTATCAGGCCTTTGGTAGGCATTTGCATGATCTTACAATGCTGTTTGCTATATAGAAATCCATCTTCTAAATCAGACCTAAGCTGACATTTGTGTGAGCTACACTGGAGCCCATTGCTGTATCATCAAATCATCTATAAAACACTTACTGTCAGGATCTTACCTGAGTTGGGAGTCTGTAGCGCAGATATGTTGCTCACCCTTGCAAATAGACACAGTCCAAGGTGACCAGATAATAAACCACCTGGACTGTGAATCTGTGCACGGGGGCTGTGCAGGATAAAGCTCCAAGTTGCAATACAGGCAAGGACACAAACAGCAGGATAGTCAAAGGATAGCCAAAGTCAAAGGATGCCAGAGGTCAGGATCAACAAAGAGTAGCCAAAGTCAAGGGATGCCACAGGTCAGAGAAATCGATAAGAAGAGCCGAGGTTTTTCATATGATGCTTTGTTTTCTTTTAAAAATGTATTAAAGAATCAGTAATTAACATCTCAATCCAGGAATGGCTAGGTCACACATTACTTTGGAGAAGGAAGAGACATAGAAGCATTATTTTTTTGTTTTTCATCATCTCTCTATATGCTCTCTGTTGGCTGTGGATGCAAAGACTGTTTTGTATTCACCAAACATTTTATTGAAATGTAAGCCGAATAAAGAAACATTTGGGGTTTCTTTGTGTTACATAACCAAATACCACAAATAGCAACTTCCATGCTAAAAACATTAATCGTCAAATATTATGTACAGTAGGAAGCAGATTTACAAACAAACAAGAAGACTTTATTGGTCAGGTTCAGTTCCAAGCTAAATTATAAAGAGTACCCATTTTCGAGAAAACAGAAAATCAAACCGTGGCCAGGTCTACTTCTCAGAAAGATTGCTCCATCCCTCTCCATTATTTAAATCAAATTGGAAGTCACTCACAAAGTCTTCTTAAACATAAAGAACATGAAGCCAATATGGAGGCACTCAGCTCTGGAATTGGTTGATGGATTTCTACTTTAAATTTTATTTTTCAGACTTATTTGTTAAATATAGAGAATATGTAAAGATAATATTGAAAGTAGGTAAAAACATAGAGAGTAAGTAAAGTGAATCAAAATAAAGTAGACTCACATATGTACCAAATATACTTGCTGATTAAACGCACAAACCTATAAATCTATTTATCTGATTAAAAACAAGATAAGCATGAGCAGGTTGTCTTGATAGTTTTGAACCTGTGAGAGAATAGGATTATGTTGCTAAGAGACATTTTGAGGCGTTAGAGGGAAACGTCCTAAAAGCTCCACTTTGGGCGTTATTTCCCTCTGTTTATCTAGCCTGCTCCAGTTTGTTGGAACATTTACAAATCTTTGTACTAAATAAATTGTGATGAGCTGGCATTTGCCATACAGAATGTAGGTCAAAATAACTACTTTAATCTAGTTTTCTAGTTAAGATTGTGATATTTTCTTCAAGTCTCCAGTTATGGTATACACTTAGTTGCTATTTCCCCGTATCTATGTTTAATATAGAACACCCATAGTTTATAAAATAAATAGTGTATATCACAGGTCTCCATTGAAATATATCTAAAACTAACACACCAGCTTGCTAGTGATCTATATACCGGTATTTATTTTAGTGTACAATGACCAGAAATAGCTCCAACGTACAAAATTTATCTTTTCACAGTTCAAAAAACGTCATTCGAGTGGTAGCATGTCGGAGGATAAATTTGCTGCTTCAGCGAGAGAATATGTTGAGTCTCTGCATCAGAATTCCAAAATACATCTTCTGTATGGGAAAAATAATGTTTTGGTCCAGCCGGTAAGTTTTCTTGATTGTTTAAAATACAGTAGACATGGAGTAAGATATAAAAAAGAAATGTTATGTTTTAGTTTTTTAATAACCTCTATAGCAACGCCACATGTAAAAACATATAAATAAATCTGCAAGTGACAAGGCATACATGCAGTATAGCTAATTGCTCATTCTCGGGTTTGCTTCTCAGATTGTAGACACACAGACAGGCAGTAATCTTCCCTTTATCAACACTAAAACCTCTTAATAGATATCTACAACTCACCTAATGTAGTCCAACTTGGTAGCAATTGTCCAGCTTCGTGGCAGCCATAGTACCCTTTTTCATAGCCCTTATACTTAACAGCTCTCTAGTATCCCTGTGTTTTGCCCCTCGTCTAGATTGTAAATGCGCATGCAAAATCCTCTGTCCTTTCAGTTTGTAATATGCTTAAGTACAATATCCAAGGCTACATAAAATGGCTTAACTGACATAAACAAATGTTTAATTTCTCCATGCTGATGCCAAGGATGGATACATAAAACTCACTTTACAGCCATAACATGAGACTCCGGAAATTAAAAGTCACATCTAATGGCACTCTTTGGCATCTGGTTTTTAAGAGTCTGTGTACTAATCACTGAGTTTTGAAAAATGTTCAACCAACTTGAAATCTCTAAGCTAAAATTGGTTAATTCAAATATATCTCAAGTTGCAGGTTATTTCCAATCAAGTTACTGTGGCCTAAATGTTACTATTCTGTATCTACATACCACTGCTTAATAAATAACTCTGTTTGGTCTACAGTTGTTTGTGATTCTCTAACTTTTTTTTTTTTTTTAGAAAGAGGACATGGAAGCTATTCCTGGATATCTATCCTTACATCAGAGTGGTGAGAACCTGACCCTAAAATGGACACCAAACCAGCTCTTAAATGGAACTCTAGGTGACTCTGAGCTGGAAAAGAGGTTAGTATGCTAATGCAATTTTGTCAGATCATAATACATTTTAATGGCACATAGCTAAATTTTTAGGTGTCATCTATATTTTTTTAAAGACCATTTATTTATAAAAAATATATATTTTCCAACTAGCATGTCGTTGTAAATATAAATTATTAGTTTATATTATTAACAAATCCTATCACATTATTAATAAACCTTCATTAGGCCTTTGGTAGGCATTTGCATGATCTTACAATGCTGATTGCTACATAGAAATCCATCTTCTAAATCAGACCTAAGCTGGCATTTGTGTGAGCTACACTGGAGCCCATTGCTGTATCATCAAATCATCTATAAAACACTTACTGTCAGGATCTTACCTGAGTTGGGAGTCTGTAGCGCAGATATGTTGCTCACCCTTGCAAATAGACACAGTCCAAGATGACCAGATAAACCACCTGGACTGTGAATCTGTGCATGGGGGCTGTGCAGGATAAAGTTCCAAGTTGCAGTACAGGCAAGGACACAAACAGCAGGATAGTCAAGGGATAGCCAAAGTCAAAGGATGCCAGAGGTCAGGATCAACGAAGAGTAGCTGAAGTCAAGGGATGCCACAGGTCAGAGAAATCGATAAGAAGAGCCAAGGTCAGGAGCCAGGAACAAACTGGAGAACAAACGATCTGGATACTCAGAAACAGGAACCAAACAGCAGAACCAGAGTCAATGAATTGACAAAATTCCCAGGGCGAGGCAGTGCTTAAATACCCAGCTAATACTGATCTGATTCAGATGGACTTAGATAGGCAGGTGAGAGCCACTGGTGAAGTCCAGCTCCCTAGTGCTGAAAATAAGACAAGATTGGTGTTACAAACCCTGGTATCTTAAGTACCTTGCTTGCCTATTCCTCCCGAACTGCTAAGCCTAAAGATTATAGTTGCAGTTTGGGTGTAGTTACGAATAGTTTCAGATGAATGCAGCATCCAAGTAGTTTCTCCCCAGCAAGTAGATAGCTACCCAAACATGAGCATAGACTTCATGAAGAGTACAACAGGAATTATTCTTTATTGATGCCCCACTGGCTTTTATGCAAGTCCCCATGCAAGGGGACCTCCCACATGGACCTTGTGGGGCACAGGGACACAAATGTTACATCCAATAATAGTTCAGTGACAAAGATGAACACTCCCACTGCAAACAGACAATCCCCTCCTCTCTGCCTGTGAGATAATTGAGTCAGCTAAAGGATAACCCAATTATCTCCAGGCAGAAAAAACATATTTCCCCCAATACTTGGAAAGTACCCTAAAACACATAGTATCCCCATAAATGTCATATCCCCTGATAGCCCTGATCTGGGTAACCAACATATCCACAAATTACCCAGATCAGTTCAGGGGTTTTCGAATTCTATGGAAGTGCCATTTTACCAACCGCACACGAGGTTCCTGCCCAAAACAGCTCCATGAGTTTAGGCTGTGCGGTCGGTCTATTTCGAAAATGTCAAATAAAGGAATAAAATCACGAACGGAGCCCCCTGGCTCATAGGAGTGATTGTTCCCCTTGTATGTGGGAACAAAACCACCAATCAGCGCTCTCCTAGCTGTTCAGGAAAAGGAAGCAGGCGTTCATTTGTTTTTACCGGTGTTCAGGAAGTCGAGTGTCCGATTTTAGTTCCAGACATTCGATGACCAAGTCCCGCTGCCTCCTTTCGTGCAAACAAGATAGCAAACATTTTCTCTCTTTGGCTATACGAACAGCAGCCACCCAGAGAGAGCACTCAATCGACAGTTCCCTTTGTAGATAATGAGCCATGGGGTGGTCGGTAGTTTCAGCTACCAAACTAATAAAACTTAAAAAGTCATGAATCGCCATAAAAGTTTCGAATTAAAAGGCTCTTTTCTTCACAATCGGACTTCACAGTCAAACAGGTTGGAGGTGCTCTGAAAGGTTGACTAATCAGCAGCTGTAAGTGGTGGCTACCAGTGGCTACTGACTGCTTCTGCTGACTGATACTGCATTAAGAGTTTGTAGTTTTTTTTAGATGAAATGGAATCTAATTGAAGCCAATAATTTTTAAGTACTTATGGATATTTCACCAAATCAAACAACAATATGGTGCCTTTAACAGTCTGAACACTTCACACTGAATTAAATAGGTTCTCTAGTGTAGAATAACATGTCTGCAACTGAAAAATGGAAAAAGTACATTTCCATAAATACATATTGCCATCTGATTTTATTAAAAAGTGATAAATATCTTGGGGAGTATGTTCTTTCTCCCCTTTTCATTCCAAATGTGATTGTTACAATCTTATAATCAAAGTTGGATTTCCGATCAACAAATTTTATTCCTAAATCCCTGACTGTAATTCTGAACATAATTGGTCAGTAGAGAGCACAAAAAAAATGTAAAATTATATTCTTTTCTTTTGCTAATGTTTTCTAGAAGTAAACACTTTAAATAACAATGATTAGTGTTTGGCGTAGCACTGTAAAAAGAGACCCCATTAACTCTAATTTAGTTTCTGGTAATTATTCCAAGTGCTTTTAGCAGCATTTAGAAAACATAATGTTTCTCTGTAATCTATTAAGTGTATTACCTTTCTTTCATTTTCTATAAAAATGAAATCTTGTCTTTAGCAGAGGCACTTGCTAAATTAGGAACATTGACAGACCCAAAAGCTTTCATTATTTGTTAATGTATAACTTAATGTACAATTATTGTTGTGTACTGTTGAGAGAACAAGGGGGTGGGTAAATATTAAATTTAGAATGATCTGTACAGGGATGCGCTGTTCGCTATATTAAAGTACAACCAATATAATCTCCTCTGGAAAATATTTAAAAGCAGGAAAATGGAACTATTTATTGCATCAACACAAGTCAAACTAAATACAAGCAGTACTTATCAAAGTATAAAACATGCATAGCTTTCAGCCTATATAGTGCATCTCAGATGACTTAAAGGAACACTATAGTCACCTAAATTACTTTAGCTAAATAAAGCAGTTTTAGTGTATAGATCATTCCCCTGTAATTTCACTGCTCAATTCGCTGTCATTTAGGAGTTAAATCACTTTGTTTCTGTTTATGCAGCCCTAGCCACACCTCCCCTGGCTCTGATTGACAGAGCCTGCATGAAAAAAAAAACTAGTTTCACTTTCAAACAGATGTAATTTACCTTAAATAATTGTATCTCAATCTCTAAATTGAACTTTAATCACATACAAGAGGTTCTTGCAGGGTCTAGCAAGTTATTAACATAGCAGGGGATAAGAAAATCTTAATTAAAGAGAACTTGCAATAAAGAAAGCCTAAATAGGGCTCTCTTTACAGGAAGTGTTTATGGAAGGCTGTGCAAGTTACATGCAGGGAGGTGTGACTAGGGTTCATAAACAAATTTAACTCCTAAATGGCAGAGGATTGAGCAGTGAGGCTGCAGGGGCATGTTCTATACACCAAAACTGCTTCATTAAGCTAAAGTTGTTCAGGTGACTATAGTGTCCCTTTAATCTTCTAGAGCACTGTTTGGTCAATATTCCACTTGGTAGACTGAAGTATAGATCCTAGTAGCACCCATAGCTTCATTGATCTCTGTCTTTCCCTTCTGCTTGAAGATGCTGTATTTTAATATTTTTACAATAAAGGAGATAGTGTTTAATGAACAGAATCAGTGGCGTACACGCCCCATGGAGCCCCGGTGCGAAAATTGATCCGTGGGCCCCCCCCTCCCCCCGGCGCGCCGGCCGGGCCGCAACACATGGCGGTGGGCACCTGGTCGCAGGGGTTACAGGGCTGCCACCCCTGCGACCACGGTATGTACGCCAGTGCATGCAGATGCACACACACTTAAAGGACCACTCTAGGCACCCAGACCACTTCAGCTTAATGAAGTGGTCTGGGTGCCAGGTCCAGCTAGGGTTAACACATTTTTACATAAACATAGCAGTTTCAGAGAAACTGCTATGTTTATGAATGGGTTAAGCCTTCCCCTATTTCCTCTAGCGGCTGTCTCATTGACAGCCGCTAGAGGCGCTTGCGTGCTTCTCACTGTGATTTTCACAGTGAGAGCACGCCAGCGTCCATAGGAAAGCATTATGAATGCTTTCCTATGTGACCGGCTGAATGCGCGCGCAGCTCTTGCCGCGCGTGCGCATTCAGCCGACGGGGAGGAGAAGAGGAGGATCGGAGGAGGAGAGCTCTCTGCCCAGCGCTGGAAAAAGGTAAGTTTTAACCCCTTTTCCCCTTTCCAGAGCCGGGCGGGAGGGGGTCCCTGAGGGTGGGGGCACCCTCAGGGCACTATAGTGCCAGGAAAACGAGTATGTTTTCCTGGCACTATAGTGGTCCTTTAAAGGACCACTACAGACACCCAGATCACATCAGCTCAATGAAGTTGTCTGGGTGTCAGGTCCCTCTAGTTTTAACCTGCAGCTGAAAACATAGCAGTTTCAGAGAAACTGCTATGTTTCACTGAGGGTTAATCCAGCCTCTAGTGGCTGTCTCACTGACAGCCGCTAGAGGAGCACACTGAACGTCCATAGGAAAGCATTGAGTAATGCTTTCCTATGGGCGATTTGAATGCGTGCACGGTCTCATTTGGAGCTGAGAGGCTGAGGGATCCCCAGCACCAAGGGAGTCCGGCGCTGGAGAAAGGTAAGTGCTGAAGACACACACACTCTCATTAACAGACACACACATTTACTGACAGAGACACACTCAGCGACAGACATACATACACACTCACACACTCACTTACAAAACATACACTCTTATTGACAAACACACACTCACTAACAGACATCAAACAGACTCACTAAGACACACACACTCAGTAACACACACACTAACACACACTAACACTCACTCTAACACTAACACTCACTCTAACACTCACTCTAACACTCACTCTAACACACACTCTAACACTCACACTCACACTCACTCTAACACTAACACTCACTCTAACACTCACTCTAACACTAACACTCACTCTAACACTCTAACACTCACTCTAACACTAACACTCACTCTAACACTCACTCTAACACTCACTCACTCTAACACTAACACTCACTCTAACACTCACACTAACACTCACTCTAACACTAACACTCACTCTAACACTAACACTCTAACACTCACTCTAACACTAACACTCTAACACTAACACTCACTCTAACACTAACACTCTAACACTCACTCTAACACTAACACTCTAACACTAACACTAACACTCTAACACTAACACTAACACTAACACTCTAACACTAACACTCTAACACTAACACTCTAACACTAACACTCTAACACTCACTCTAACACTAACACTCTAACACTAACACTCTAACACTCACTCTAACACTAACACTCTAACACTAACACTCTAACACTCACTCTAACACTAACACACTAACACTCACACTCACACTCACTCTAACAGGTTGTTTTGTTGTTTTTTTTAAATGTAATCCCCCCAGCCTCCTTACCTTTTGGAGTGCTGGGGGGATTCCCTGGGGTCCAGTGGTGCTGCTGGGCTCCTGGGCGGGTGGCCGGTCGGGCAGGCGGGCGCGCGAGGGAGCACTCAGTTCTTCCTCTTCAGCTCCCTCGCGCGCCGCGTAGGGATGTCGGCGCCGGAAGATGACATCATCTTCCGGCTCCGGTATCAGTGCGGTGCGCGAGGGAGCTGAAGAGGAAGCACTGAGTGCTCCCTCGCGCGCCTGCCTGCCTGACCGGCCCCCCAGGGGAAGAGGCTAGCCCTGTGGGTACATACTGGGTCGCAGGGGCAGCCGGGCCCCCTGGTGGGGCGGGCCCGGTCGCAGCCGCGACCCCTGCGACCCTGGTATGTACGCCACTGAACAAAATGCTGTACACAGAAATTAAATGCTTTCATCTGGTTACATACAGTGAGGGAAAAAAGTATTTAATCCTCTGCTGATTTTGAACGTTTGCCCACTAACAAAAAAAAATGATCAGTCTATCATTTTAATGGTAAGTGTATTTTAACAGTGAGAGACAGAATAACAAAAAATAAATCCAGAAACATGCATGTCAAAATAGTTATAAATTGATTTGCATGTCAATGAGTGAAATAAGTATTTGACTCGTTCGACTTAGTACTTGGTGACCAGGGCCGGTACAAAGAATTTTGAGTACATAGGCGAAGATGCATTTTTCCACCCCCCTCCCAAAAGCATATTCGCCCATGTGCCTCTTAACCTCCCTTTTGTGTTTCTTATCCCATCTTTTAAATATCTGACTCCCTTTAGTGTATTTTATCTCCTATTTTTGCCTTTGTGTGTCTCCTATCTCTCCTCTTTGTATGACTCTTACATCCTCCCACATTTTGTGTCTCACTCCTCCCAGCCCCTTTGTGTGACTCCTTTTCTCCCAGCCCCTTTGTGTCTTTTATTCTTCCCAGCTCCTTTGTGTGTCTCTTTCCTTCTCAAGCCCAGCTGTGTGTTTCTTTTACATCCAGCCCCTCTCCCTGTCCCTTAATGGTCCCCTCCCTTCTCTGACCCTTACTGCTCCTCTCCCTTCTCTCCTCCTTTCCCTGTTCCTCAGTGTTCCTTTCCCTTCCCCCCTCCTTTCCCTGTCCCTTAGTGTTCCTCTCCCCTCCCCCCTCTGTTCCCTGTCGCTTAGTGTTCCTCTCCCCCCCTCCCTCCTTTTCCTGTACCTTAGGGTATCTCTCCCTTCCTCTCCCTGTCCCTTTGTGCGCTACCCACACCCATAGTGGTCCCCTCCCCTTCCTGGTGTGCCTCCTACCTTTCTTGTAGCGTGGCTGAGCGGAGCGAATCCCGGTACAGTGAGCTTTTCCTGTCAGTCCTGCTAGGTACAGGAAACAGAAGTTCCTGTACCACGGTATACTCCGCTTGGCCGCGCTACAGTCAGGGGTGTAGAAACACTGACAGTCACACACACTCAATGACAAACACACAGACATCTCTGACAGCCAGACTCACTTATCTGACACACTCATTCATTGACAGACACTCACACGCACACTGACAGACACACAAACACTGACAGACTCATTGACAAACACACACTGACACACACACATACTCACAGACACTGACAGACACACATACTCACAAGCACATCCTGACAGACACACTCATTCACACATATACACTGACAGAACCACACACATATTCACATGCACACACTCACACACACACTGACAGACACACTCACTCACACACACACTGACAGACACACATACTCACATGCACACACAGACACACATACTCACAGTAATTAATAATCTAAATTAAATTTAAATTTCCCACCCAGCCTCCCTACCTGGAGAGCTGGCGTGGGTCTCTCATTGGTGGTCCGGTAGGGCTGCTGGGAGGCGTGCAGCTGCATTGGATTCCGAGGCAGTGAGGGAGCTCTGATCTCTCTGATCTGCTCCCTCGCAGGCTGTTTACTGATGCCGCGGGAGCGGGAATATGACGTCATCAGTAAACAGCCTGCGAGGGAGCAGATCAGAGAGATCAGAGCTCCCTCGCCACCTCGGAATCCAATTCAGCCGCACGCCGCGCCGGGGATCCAGAAGGTGACCTGGCAGGAGGGAGCACTTCCCTCCTGCCGGTCACTGGAATTTAGCGCCCCCAGCGCCGGTGCGCCCTAAGGCGGCCGCCTATGCCGCCTTATGGACACGCCGGCCCTGTTGGTGGCAAAACCCTTGTTGGCAATCAAAGTCAGACATTTCTTGTAGTTGGTCACCAGGTTTGCACACATCTCAGGAGGGATTTTGTCCCACTCCTCTTTGCAGATCCTCTCCAAGTTGCTAGGGTTTCAAAGGCTGACATTTGGCAACTGGAACCTTCAGCTCCCTCCAGAGATTTTCTGTAGGATTAAGGTCTGGAAAAGGGCTAGGCCACTCCAGGATCTTAATGTGCTTCTTCTTGAGCAACTCCTTTTTTGCCTTGGCTGTGTGTTTTGGGTCATTGTCATGCTGGACCCATTTTCAATTCCCTGGCTTAGGGAAGGAGTTTCTCACCCGAGATTTGATGGTACATGGCCCCATCCATCGTCCCTTTTTCCCTTTGTCCCATGTTTGACAGTGGGGGTGGTGTTCTTGGGGTCATAGGCATGATCCTCCTCCTCCAAACACAGCGAGAGCTCGATTTTGGTTTCATCTGACTCTAACATTTTTACCCAGTTCTCCTCTGAATCATTCAGATGTTCATTGGCAAACTTTAGACGGGCCTGTACATGTGCTTTCTTGAGTAAGGGGACCTTGCGGGCGCTGAAGAATTTCAGTCCTTCACGGCGTAGTCTGTTACCAATTGTTTTCTTTGTGACTATGGTCCCAGTTGCCTTGAGATCATTAACAAGATCCTCCCGTGTAGTTCTGTGCTGATTCCTCATCGTTCTTATGATCATTGAAACTCCACAAGGTGAGATTTTGCATACAGCACCAGACCAAGGGAGACTGACAGTTATTTTGTGTTTCTTCCATTTGCGAATAATCGCACTAACTGTTGTCACCTTCTCACCAAGCTGCTTGGCAATGGTCTTGTAGCCCATTCCAGCCTTGTGTAGGTCTACAGTCTTGTCCCTGACATCTTTGGACAGCTCTTTGGTCTTGGGCATGGTGGAGAGTTTGGAATCCGATTGATTGATTGCTTCTGTGGACAGATGTCTTTTATAAAGGTAACGAGCTGAGATTAGGAGCACTCCCTTTAAGAGAGTACTCCTAATCTCAGCTCGCTACTTGCATAAAAAACACCTGGGAGCCAGAAATCTTGCTGATTGATAGGGGATCAAATACTTATTTCACTCATTTCAAATCAATTTATAACTTTTTTGACATGCGTTTTTCTGGATTTTTTGTTGTTCTGTCTCTCACTGTTAAAATACAACTACCATTAAATTTATAGATTAATAATTTCTTAGTCAGTGGGCAAACGTTCAAAATCAGCAGGGGATCAAATACTTTTCCCCCTCACTGTACAGGCTCAATGAAACTATAGGTGCTACAAGGATCCAGAGTTCCATCTATTTACTGTCAAAAACCTTCGGTCCCCCCATCAGTGGTGGATGTTATCAGTAGATAACATGTTTCTCTTTTTTGTTGAGCGCAGTAAAGTCTGACACTTAAGGAAATGCATTCTGCATCTCGTGTCTTTGTTTATGTGGTGTAAAGAATGACGTCCACTGCATTTGTTCTTCTTTTGTTTCAGTGTATTCTGGGATTACGCCTTGATTGTACCCATAAGTCAGATAGTCTGCATCCATTGTCACCAGCAGCGTAAGTATTACTCAATGAATGGTGCCAGTCAGCCATGTTTATTAAGAAAACTTCTGTAGTTTAATCAATCCTTTGTGTTCCCCGATCACATGATGAGCCTTGGGCCTGCCTCCAATGATGTCTGCTTTGATTCGTTTCACCAAATCACATGGGTTGCATCCGACATCACCTCGTCCATATAGTTCCCTAATAACTTATCCTCTCTTGTCTCTCATTGGCTTAATATCACTATATTTAAATGTTCAAAACGAGCCTTACATTCAATCAAAATGTACCGTACAAGATACCTATTAAGTGGTCCCTTGTTTAAGTGCCTGTTGCTAGTACAGTGCTCATTAACATTAATAACATAATAAAGAAATTAAATGTGCAAAAAGATAAGAAGTGTTCAGACAAAGGAACAAATTAAATACTACCCATAAACATTCTAATTGGTTCTATACCTATATATTTAGATTCCTTTAATTTAATTTTAAAGTCACACCTTTTCTTTGAGTACATCGAGACGGATAATTTAATGAAAAGCCAACTTACAACTTTGACAACGCCCTACTGATAAAATAAACTCACGTGTGGTGATTACCTGAATACATTTACCATATAAACCTTTGCAGATTTTACACAACTCAGAAACAGAAGGAATTACTGGAAAATGTGTTGATTTGCAAAGGTTGTGGTAACAATTAAATATAAATTATGCAAAATAGTGGCAACCATAACTTGAATTCAAAAGAGTTATAATGAGAACAATATCTATAGTATTTGCTTTGATGAATGTGAATAAACTATGAAATAATATAAACAAGCATTTCATATATGAAGACAGCCCCCCTCCCCCATTAATATTACATTCATCTGTTTTAGGAAAAACCTGATCTGTAGCCTATCTTTTTAAATATTCATTCCACTCAGTGCTTAACATAGGCTTTTTTCCACTTGCAGCAGAAAGCAAAGGGATCCTTGTCCTGGTCAGCCAGGATGGTATTCAGAGACCCCCACTGCACTTTCCTCCAGGAGGTCATCTCCTTGCCTTTCTTTCTTGCCTTGAAAATGGACTTTTGCCCAGAGGACAGTTAGAGCCACCCCTCTGGTCGCAACGTGGAAAGGTATGTTAGCAGTCTATGGTTGGTTTTTGTCATCATCTCCCTCACACATTTTAAATTTCCCTATACTGTCTCTGTGAACTAGTCCAGAAAAGCGATCTCACCTTTGGCACCACAAGTTTTCTCCTAAATTGTGGGCATTGTACAGCGCTACAGAACTTCTTTTTTATTTCAGGGAAAAGTATTTCCAAAACTGAGAAAAAGGAACAGTTCTAACAGATCAATTGACATGGATGAAAACATTGTGGAAGAAATAAGCACGGACTATGTCTTCAGGATCATCTATGCAGGACACCGGCATGATAATAGTAAGATTGTCTACAATTTAATCCTGATTTTCCTTGAATTTTTGTATGCCTTATTTGCAGCCAGCGAAGTTGTAAAATGGCTGGGTGCTAAACTTTACCTTGAAACTTTTCTTTGCTAACTTAACTCCATCTACTCAACCCCTAACCCAGCAACACAATAAATCCACAGGTACATGCATTTGGGGGCAAAAACAACCACTTTAAAGATGTCTGACTCCACCTGCCATTGGCTATGCTGTTAGCCAATGAGAGCCCTAGAAGGATAATATGCAGAAATACACTCAGACGTACAGCATCTGAGGGAGCAAATGTGTTATATCATAAATCCTGCTAGAGCAAGCTAAACATGTTCAAAAGGTGTATACCAAGACAAAAGGATGTGTATTTTTTTTAATTTGGCCCAAATCTAGATGTTATTTTTTATGCAACAAAAACCTAGCCCTCTGTACTTGCTGTTTTAAATTATGACAGATATTGTTTTCATGAACAGTTTCATGTTGTCTGTAAACATCTGCTCAGCGTTGCATTATGTGAAAACTCTCACATTAGAGAGAAATTGCTCCCAGAAACACACTGTGCACCCATTTAGCCCCAGTAATAGAATGTGCATACTTGCATTATTCTAATTATACATTTGCTTGTTTCAGATACAATACAGGAAGGAATAATGCAATTTAGTTTTCTCTCAGGGTTTCTAGAAAACTTTCTTTATGAAAAATGTTGAAGTGGTTGTAAAACATTTTGAAACCGTTTCTTGTGAACTACCCTGGATTTGAACATTTTAATGCGCTTGTTCCAAATCTGGCACGTTACTATCTTAATCAGTGGTTCTTTACCTCTCCTTAGAGCACCCTAACAGTCCATGTTTTGTCAGTATACCATTTAAAGAGTCGAGAAATGACCTAATCCTGGAATGGTGTGCCTTAAGGACAGTTTGAATTTTTGATCTAAATTGTATAAAAACCCAATGCATGTAGAGCATTGCTGTAATCGGATTACGTAGCGGATCCCAATATGGGATATCTTTCTTTCGCTATATATATTGAAAATACATTTACGTTGCAAAAAATATTATTTATTTTATGTTTTTAATTCTTCATTTAGTTTTTATCTATGCTACTCTAGAAGTTTGAAGAACAGGATTAAAATGTATAATACAGTAATATAGATTGCAGTTACCCAAGATGTGACTGCTGACCCATAAGAAAACATTGTTACTAACTAGCCACTGTAAATGTAAACCTCACAATTCTACTTCTGCCAGGGACACCAAAAGCCTTATACCCCTCCCCCAAGAAATTAGGCTGACATAGTCTAAGTTTGATGAAGCGTCAGCAACAGCTTTTTCATTTTATAATTTTTGTTCTTTTTTGTACTGCTAGTAACCATATAAATAATACATGTCAGCTGCTGGCTGAGAGCTGACTGACAGTTTAATGAATACTATATAATAAAATATTATACTATAGGCACCAAAACAACTTTACCCTAATAAAGATGCAGCCTCACGGCTCAATAGGAGTTAAATCACTTTTCACATTTAGGAGTCAAATCACTTTGTTTATATCTAGTCCTTTATACTAGCCATAGTCACATCACCCTGCATGTAACTTGCACAGCCTCCCTACATACTTCCTGTTAAGATAAATCCAATGTTTAAACTTCCTTTATTGCACTGTATTTTTAATTTAAAATTGTTTAACTCCTGCTCTGTTAATATGTGCCTAGAAAAGCCAGGGAATGTATCATAGTATACAGTATAAGGAGCAGAGAATTTAGCCTGTACTTGCAAACTAAGTTCTCCCTCCTCCTTCTTGACATGACGACCGGCTAAGGACCTCAGCCAGCACCATGGGACACAGGACTGGTGAGGGAAACCTTTTGATCTCCCTCTCCGGCTGCATTAGGGTGTATCTAGGCACACCCAGCACACCCCATGCGCACACCTATGTCCATAAGCATGTATGTGTGCTGCGCTCATGTCCCCTTTCCCTAGTGTGTCCAGTTTGAGCTGTAGCCAAAAGGCATTTTTTATTTAGCTATCAAGCATTCTGCGTACAAGAAATTACCTTTTCAAGCAAGCAGTCAAGGTGCATTAGTTACCGAATGAAAAGGGCTCTAATATCTGATTCAAAATGGCTTAAGTCAGTAGATTTATCACATATTTGGTTAATAACCTAACCCAACTCAAAAAAAGTGTTTTTCCCCCTTTGATTATCATTCTGCACGATTTTTATTATATTTCTGAACTATTGTTATGTGCATCATTTCAGTCCAGTATTCATTAATCATGTGATCTAAGGAATCTTACTGTGCATACATAAATCCAATTATAAATTGTAATGATGGCTCTTCTCACCATTTAACTTACTCAGTATTCATAGCAAAAGTGATCATAGGAACCGCACCCAATCCCAGCAGCCACCGGTGCTCCGGAACTGGACCAGCAATCCCAACACGTTAAGGCAGCAAGAAAGATTCTCAGGCACTCAAAGTGTGAAAGACGCAGGCGGATTTATTGAAACAAAAAAGACAACAACGTTTAGTCCTACTGAGAGGTCTTTTTCAAGCTAACACCACAAAGCAAACATAAGTGTAATTAGTACAAAATACACAGATCATATAAGATATAAATATATAAATACAATATACATAATCATACAATATATATCATCTCATCAATAACTTACCCCTATGTGCCAAAGAAGGAAGAGACAAAACATAATAAAGAATTGTGCAGAAAATAGGTTAAAACGCCTGTCCTGGCGTTTTTTTTATATTTTACAGGACCCCTGGTAGAAATTTGGTGCTGGTTCTTTTAGACACCCTAACTTCTTTTTTTTAGCATGGCACGATATTCGCGATCTTTATGGGACTACTCTGATTTGGACACACTATATGCCTTCCCTGATTGCACTATAAGTATTACATTTATAAATAATGATATTTATATTACACTTTATAGATACATCACGATACTTAATATACTGTTTATGATTAATATATTGTATTGTTCAAGGGTATTGAAGTAATTTACTTTTGCAGAGGAAAGAGCCAAGCTGTATGATCTCAGCATAAATTTATAGTGGAGAAAGTCAGACGCACAGTGAGACTTTCTCCAACAGCGTTCAGCAGTTCTGGAGCATTTTTGGAGGTATCGAGTCAGCTTTGTGTGCTAAGGTTGTTGTTGGGGCGCCTGCGGCGTCTAAATGTTGAAGGTGCCATGATGTCTAGTTGAGAGGAGAGGGTGGAATTGTAGATGGAGGTTGCAGAACTAGGACAGGTGAGGTTTGAGATAGGTAAAAGAAGAGTTTGGAGATTAGTGGAGAAATGCTCTAAGCAAGACATTGGAGGTTTCTCGGAGATTGATGTTCAGACGGTGGTGTCAATTGGGTCATAGGTATGCCAATGTCAAAAGTCAGCAGATGGTGGTCAGATAGAGGAAAAGGCATATTGGAGAGATTAGAGGCTGTACAGAGGTTTATTTCTTAGTACTTTTTTCTTTCTTTATTTGTTATCCATTATTATTTACTTTTTAAATTTATTTTATTATTTTTTCCTTTTTTCTTTTTCCTATATTCTATTATTCTTTATTATTTCTTAACATTAAAGGACCACTATAGTGCCAGGAAAACATACTCGTTTTCCTGGCACTATAGTGCCCTGAGGGTGCCCCCACCCTCAGGGACCCCCTCCCGCCCGGCTCTTGAAGGGGGAAAGGGGTAATAACTTACCTTTTTCCAGCGCTGGGCGGAGAGCTCTCCTCCTCCTCTCCGCCTCCGTTCCGCCCCGCCGGCTGAATGCGCACGCGCGGCAAGAGCTGCGCGCGCATTCAGCCGGTCTCATAGGAAAGCATTTACAATGCTTTCCTATGGACGCTGGCGTGCTCTCACTGTGAAAATCACAGTGAGAAGCACGCAAGCGCCTCTAGTGGCTGTCAATGAGACAGCCACTAGAGGATTAGGGGGAAGGCTTAACCCATTCATAATTATAGCAGTTTCTCTGAAACTGCTATAATTATGAAAAAATGGGTTAACCCTAGAAGGACCTGGCACCCAGACCACTTCATTAAGCTGAAGTGGTCTGGGTGCCTAGAGTGGTCCTTTAACTTGTCATTTTTATTTTTATTTGTAGTTCTTTTTCTTTGTCTATTTTTCTTACTTTTTGTTCTCAGTCTTCTGTTATTTAGTGTGCTGCAGGTTTATACTTGCTCATAGTGAGCCCTATTCGGCAGATTGCCAGTGGACGCAGTGACTGTGTTTAGTTTAATTTAAAATCCCTTAGTTTGTTCGTGCGCCCATGCGCACGTTCAGAGGTACCGTTCGTGTCTTGAATCACACAAACTGTTATTGTATGAGCGGCATTCCTGTTTTGCATTCCAGTAGCCTTTCTGCGTTCCAATTCTTTATTATGTTCTGTCTCTCCCTTGTTTGTATTAATATATTTATATCTTATATGATCTGTGTACTTTGTACTAATTATTGATCCTTGTTATTGACCTTCACTTAAGTGAATTATTGTTTGACCTTTTTCTTGGCATTGTTTGCCATATATACACTTATGTTTGCTTTGTGGTGTTAGCTTCAAAAACACCTCTCAGTAAGGTCGAAACGTTGCTGTCTTTTTTGTTTCAATAAATCTGCCTGCGGCTTTCACACTTTGAGTGCCTGGCAATCTTTCTTGCTGCCTTACTCAGTATTCATGTCGTACAAAGTTTATGTAATGTTAGGTTAGCCAAGTTACATACCAACTCATATTAAAGTCCATTAATTAAATAATGATTTGTAAAATATCTCCAGTTCAACATAGCTTTTTAACTTGGCTTTTATGATCTTAATTTTGAAAATATGTCGATAACACTGTGTTTAGTGAATAAGCACCTTTATTTTTGTAGTAATATCATTAAAAATTTCATATTAAACAATGTTATAAAATTCACAATTTGTCAGGTTATTAATTAATAGGAAGTGCACAAATTGTGTATATTTAAAGGACTAAGTTCAAAAGCCGGTTCTAAAAACCAGGTATAACTGAAAAGCAGTCTTTCGAAGAAGCTATTTTTTAAAATATATTTTTTCAGCTAAATTGTCAAAGTGTGATTTAGAAATATGTAAATGTTTTTCTAGCTATTTAAAAAAAAAAATTAGGGTTATTTGTCTGTAATCATTTTTTTTTTTTTTTTAAAGAGGTTTTATTTTTTTAATGCAACAGTTTCAATCTTGGTTTAACATGTTGAATTGTCATTTGTATTATTTCCAAAATCTTTCTTATCTTTGATTAACTATTGTACATTTATTGTGTGATGAATTATTTCCTTTCTGTTTTGTATGTGCTTGATACATCTTCTAGAGCAATGGTTCTCTAGACTTCAGCAAAAATTAGTTTTGCAAATTAACCAATTCGTCCGAATCAAAATCCTTTTAATCCACACTCGAGCAGACTGATTCATCCAGGAAATAATTGATTTCCAGGACTAATCTATTAGCCGGATTTGTCGATTTAAAAGGATTTTGATTTGGACTAATTGATCAGTTTATAGGTGATACAAGTTACAAATTCCCAACTTGTAATTCCCAACTGTCTTGGTCAAGGCACACTTTAAAAGATACTGGAAAGGTCAGGATTTGTAATGCTAAATTTTCTAACCAGTTTTATTTAATTACCAAATGTGAATCCCAAATTCAGGGCTAAGAATTATATTAAAAAATACATATTCCAAGATATGATAAGTGCGATAGTTAAGGTAAATAAATCAGTACATTGTTTGAATATAGTAGAGAATTTTTATAAACTCATAAACAGGTGGTATTTGGTCTCAGAAAAACTGGCAAAAATTTATAAAGATCAGAATCAAGCCTGTTGGAGATGTAATGACGGGAAAGGAGATTATCTCCATATATGGTGGCAATGTAAATTTTTAAATTATACATGGAAGAATATCTATCAACAAATTTATAATACCTGTCAGATATATATACCTTTTACACCACAGAGTTTTTTGTTACATCAGGGATGGCCTCCTATGCCTATTGAAAAAAGTATGTTAATAATTCATATTTTAATGTCAGCTAAAACAGTCCTAGCTAGGCACTGGAAAAGCACAAAGTGTTAGAGTGGGCTGAAATTAAAAAACAAATAATATAACAATGGAAAATGGAAATTGGAATAATTCAAGGAAACTCTGTGGGTCTGAGTAAAGCCAGTAGGTGGAAAAATATAGTGGACAAGTTTATGGCTTGTAATGAAGACTTATAATATAGAAGGTCTGAGATGCCCCCGCAGTGTGTGTCTGACTCCGGAGAGAAACTAGTGATATAAGCATTTATATGGAAAGTAAAGGCACAAACGGTTAATATAATGCTGGTTCCTTGGGAGTGTATATGTTTTTTAGTGTAAATGTAGTGTGGTGATACCTCAATTTTGCTATTTATGGAATGTATAGATACTGTAACCCTATAGTGGCTTATTTTAGCTTTGTATGGATTTTTAGGTGCAGTTTTTGGCAGTTGTAGTGTCTACCTAACAAGTCTCCTTAAAGGGACACTCAAGTCTAGAGATGGCCCAGACTTTCTTACAGGTGGTTTACCTGGAGAATACATTGATATTTCTCTTATTTAAGGTTTTTGTTATAAAGATAATGTGTACAATATATACAAAACCAATTTTTGTCTGTTATTGAACGTTAATGCAATTTTAATTCTGAAAATGTTTATATGAAAAACCAGTAAATTAAAAGAGATGCAGCTATGCATTTAAATGTCCTACATTTACTGTAAACGCTTTTGCACTGAGTATTACCCAGGCCAAGAAGTGACTCAATCCAATCAGGAGGCTCACTCTAATGTTCTGCTGAGCACATTGCATAGGCAATACCTTATTGGCACAGCAACCATTAGTTTACTTGTAATTTATTGCATGGCTAACTTAGAAAACTGAATTACAAATCCCAGAAAAAATGTTGACATCATGCAAACTAAAGTGGCAGAAAGGATGGGCATTTGTAGCAAAACTAATTATTCAACTAATTGTAATAAAACAAAATACTAAGAAAGATAATGTTAAAAAAAACAAGCATAATTAATTAAAACCTGACCTGTACATGACACTTAAAATGTGTGGGCGTCTGGACTGCCCTTTTAGTAGTTGTGAAAATATACTTAATTTAATTTACTTACAAATAGGATGATTGGCAGTATTTACAACATATAATAGATAATCAAGAAAACAATTCCACTGCTATCTTTGAAAAATGTTTATCAGTATTCGATGGATATTAAATTTGGTCCATTGGACCTGGTGGCATTTGGAGGCAGGTGGCATTTTGCTGCCATCTCTGCAATGTATTACCCATCCAGTGCTTCATTCACTAAGTGGCCGTAGCAGCAGACTTTTTTCCTGCTCGATTTAAAGGGACACTATAATCACCAGAACCACTACAGCTTATAGTTCTGGCGTCTATAGCCTGTCCCTAAAGGCTCAGCAATGTAAACACTGCTACCTAGTAACACCTCTAAGTGCAGTCACTCAGACGGCTACTAGAGATGCTTCCTATTTCAGTGCTGCACTGTGTGCCAGACTTACGTTCTGAACATTACCCTTAGAGATACATCAATTCAATGCATCTCTTTGAGGAGATACTGATTCGTGTAGTGTGACATTTTATCGTGCATGCACAATTTCCTATAAAAAAGCATTTGATTGGCTGAGATCATCAAGGTAGATGTTCTCAACCATGGAGCCACAGTGAGACCGGCTCGACGATGGAGAAAAGGTAAGTAAATCTACTTTTTATCTCCAATCTAAGGGAATGGCAGGTACCTACATAGGTAGTCCAACACTATAGTGTTAGGAATACATGTTTGTGTTCCTTTAAAGTAACATAATAAATTAGCGTAAGATGTGATAGCCACATACAACACACAAATTTGTTATTTTATGAAGAATATTTCACACTGTTCGAAGCTTGTTTTCTTTTCTTGTATTTCAAAACTATTGATCACATGACCCTCTAGCTGTTGTGGATCAAAGCTCCCATCATGTTAACATAGTCCACAATTGCAGGAGTACTCCAGAACATCTACTGCTTCACTACGATTATCATGAGTCCTATGGACTGAGTTAAACTATTTCACCTTTCACAAAATATTTTTGGCCAGATTTTAAAAGATTCGAGAATTTCTATTATATTTACAAATTTGTAAATAATATGCATTTTTAGGTAACTAGAAATTCTTTCTATTAACAACAGCCGATAGGTGGTAACACCTACTATATAAAGACATTCATTTTTAAACTTGTCAAGATTTTTTATTACTTGCTGACCAGCAATAATATCTGATTGCAAAGATACAGACCAGTTTCAAATTAACTGCTTGCTGGTAAAGCACAGAAACACAAGCTGCATAAGTTGTCACCATAACAACTCCACCGTACCAATTTAAAAGGCTCACCCTGAGCATGTGTACGTCACTCATATGATTGGCCTTAGTAGGACATAGGACAGTGTATAGTATGTATTATTGTGATTTTGTGCTATTCCAGATACAGTAAGAGAAAAAAGTATTTGATCCTCTGCTGATTTTGAACTTTTGCCCACTGACAAGAAAATGATCAGTCTATAATTGTAATGGTAGGTGTATTTTAACCAATGAGAGACAGAATAATAAAACAAACAAACAAAAATCCACAAAAACGCATGTCAAAAAAGTTATAAATTGATTTGCATGTCAATGAGTGAAATACCGTATATACTCGAGTATAAGCCGACCCGAATATAAGCCAAGGCCCCTAATTTTACCACAAAAAACTGGGAAAACTTATTGACTCGAGTATAAGCCTAGGGTGGGAAATGCAGCAGCTACTGGTAAATTTCTACATTAAATTAGATCCCAATAAAATTACATTAATTGAATATTTATTTACAGTGTGTGTATAGAATGAATGCAGAGTGTGTGTTTGTGTGTGTGTATATATAATGAATGCAGTGTGTGTGTTTGTGCAGTGTGTGTAAACTGGATGAGGGGAGGGCATTTTTATTTTAATTTTTTTATTTTATTATATTATTTTAATATTATTATTATATTATTATTATAATATTATATTATTTTAATAATATTATTATTTTAATATTTGCATTATTTTTTTTAAATGTTTTTTGTCCCCCCTCCCTGCTTGTTGCCTGGTCAGGGAGGGAGGACAAAATAAAAAAAATAAAAAAATAATGCAAATATTATAATAATAATATAATAATAAAATATTATTAAAATAATATATTAAAATAATAATATTATTTTATTATTATATTATTATTTTAATATTTGCATTATTTTTTTTTAAATGTTTTTTGTCCCCCCCTCCCTGCTTGTTGCCTGGCTCAAAAAATGTGCAGAAAAACTCGGCTTATACTCGAGTATATACGGTAAGTATTTGACCCCTTCGACATAGTACTTGGTGGCAAAACCCTTGTTGGCAATCACAGAGGTGAGACGTTTCTTGTAGTTGGCCACCAGGTTTGCACACGTCTCAGGAGGGATTTTGTCCCACTCTTCTTTGCATATCATCTCCAAATCATTAAGGTTTCGAGCAGATGTTTGGCAACTTGAACCTTCAGCTCCCTCCACAGATTTTATATGGGATTAAGGTCTGGAGACTGGCTAGGCCACTCCAGGACCTTAATGTGCTTCTTCTTGAGCCATTCCATTGTTGCCTTGGCTGTGTGTTTTGGGTCATTGTCATGCTGGAATACCCATCCATGACCCATTGCCCTGGCTGAAAGCCACTCAAGGTACATGGCCCCATCCATCGTCTCTTTGATGCAGTGCAATTGTCCTATCCCCTTAGCAGAAAAATACCCCCAAAGTTTCCACCTCCATGTTAGATGGTGGGGGATGGTGTTCTTGGGGTCATAGGCAGCATTCCTCCTCCTCCAAACACAGCGAGTTGAGTTAATGCCAAAGAGCTCAATTTTAGTCTCATCTGACCACAACACATTCACCCAGTTCTCCTTTTAATCATTCAGATGTTCATTGGCAAATTTCAGACGGGCCTGTTCATGTGCTTTCTTGAGCAGGGGGACCTTGCACTGCACTGCAGGATTTCAGTCCTTGACGGCATAGTGTGTTACCAATTGTTTTCTTTGTGACTATGGTCCCAGCTGCCTTGAGATCATTAACAAGATTGTAGTTCTGGGCTGATTCCTCACCATTCTCATGATCATTGAAACTCCACGAGGTGAAATCTTGCATGGAGCACCAGACCGAGGGAATCTGACAGTTATTTTGTTTTTCTTCCATTTGCGAATAATGGCACTAACTGTCGTTATCTTGGTCTTGTAGCCCATTTCAGCCTTGTATAGGTCTACAATCTTGTCCCTGACATCCTTGGACAGCTCTTTGGTCTTGGCCATGGTGCAGAGTTTGGAATCTGATTGACAGTTGTCTTTTATACAGGTAACGAGCTGAGATTAGGAGCACTCCCTTTAAGACACATGGGAGCCTGAAATCTTGCTGATTGATATGGGATCAAATACTTGTTTCACTTATTGACATGCAAATCAATTTCTTAATTTTTTGACATGGGTTTTTACGTATTTTTTTTTTGTTTTTGTTATTCTGTCGCTCACTGTGAAAATATACGGACCATTAAAATTATAGACTGATCATTTCTTTGTCAGTGGACAAACGTTCAAAATCAGCAGGGGATCAAATACCTTTTCCCTCACTGTATATATCAACGTAATTTTTTATTTTTTAGATTTATTTCTGATATGCAAATTGTTCATTTAAATGATAAATGCATTTTACTTATAGGAAGAATAATTTTATGTTTTATATTACGTTTCTGGCCTCACTTCAATTTTATTGATTTTAAAGATGAGCTAACATGCTTTGTTATAAGCTTTGATACGTGCTTTATGGTTTCAATGTGATGCAATATAGTTAACATGTTTTTTATATAGGCACTATAGCGATTTAGCTATTGTTTACATCTTTGCACCATAAAAGAGGTCTCTGTTAAGTTTTGATGATTTGGGACAGCCATTAAACAGTAGCGTCAAGACTGGAAACCAGTCACTAAGTAGCGATTAGACACTCCCACAGAGAAGAATGGGAGTCATTAGTTGCTAGTTAGAAACTGCTTTTCAGTAGCGGCAGCTGATAGCTCCCCGTCACTGCTTGTAAAATTAAGCACCTGGTAAACACTACTTGCTAACTGTAGCAACAGGCACTTTAGCAAGTAGCAGCTGGCCAGGAAAGTAGCAACAAGATTCACCTGAGTTGGTCTAGCATCACCTGCCATAACCTTGTACTGGATCCTAACCTGGTGTAAGTGTGAGGACTACCTCTGTCACACTAATAGTATGTGTTTGTGGAATGTAAACTGTAAATATACAAAGAGAAGTAAAAGGAAAGGTACTAATTTTCTACCAATTTACTAATCTTTACTAAGTACTCTGCTAACAAACACATAAAACATAACCCATTTTTCTGGCTGAAGAAACATAATGAAGTCTTTAATTGCCACTTACATGGTGCTCATAAAGTAAAAGTAAAGAAAGTTTTGGGTGAAGAATTTTTTTTTATTTGAGTTGATTCTAATAAATGGATGTACCGTTAAAGTTATTTATTTTTATTTTTTTTCTGTTGCACTCCTTCCCCTCCTCCTTCACTATTTCTTTTAAGCAGTCACTATTAACTACCACCACTTAGCTGCCAGTCGTTCCGTGTCTCTTGATGATGATGAGGAAGAAGAAGATAGGCTTCACGCCATGTTATCCATGATCTCCTCTCGGAACCTCACAGCTCCTAAAACGATGAAAGGTTTTTATCCAACTTCCCTCTTAAACCTCCCTGCGTCTTGCTGTATAGAGACAACATGCCCAGTCAACAGATCAAAAAACAACTGTGGTGGCATTATTGGGGCATTATAAGACGCACCTAAGTCTGATTGTGATAATACTGGATAGCACCATTGGTTTATTCTGCTCAGCTAGAGTGGGGTGTACTGACTATCTGAACAATAAGATTTTATTAGGAATAGCATTATAAACATCTTTCTGAAACAAGTAATTAAGGCTTAGTTTTTGCAAACATTTTTATATAATTTTGGTATAAGGGCCCAACGAGCCAGGTAGCCAAGCCTACTGGAAAATATTTTCCCCCTAAACTTTTTGGAGCAATAAAAATATTTTTTTACATGCACAATTTCCTTGGCTCATAAAAGAAAGCATTTTGTGTTCTGTTCTAAATATTTTTTTATATTTCTTTTTTGAAATTTTTAAAAACAATATTAGATATTTTACAACATGGAAATCTGCAGTTTGCTATAGGAATACACAAACCACAACATACATTTTTTATTTTTGTTTGTTTGTTTCCATTTTCATTGGTGTCACATTTTTATAACAAATATATATCCACTAATGATATTGCCAGCTATTTCTTATGCTTAAGTTTACTGCCCTTTAGTGTAATATGGCTGTTGCTGCACAATCTGTGCTTGATACAAAAGCAATTCCTCTGACAGAATAGTATTTCCAGTTCACAAATTTAGTTTAATTGCTTTGAGCCAGTTTAATCCCGAAGTTTGTTAAATATTCTCTTCGGCATCCATCTACAATATCTCTATCAACTTTAATCATTAGCTATTTATATGTCAATTCATTAAACTTAAAGAACTATACCGTTTGTCAAACATGGAATGTCATTTACCTGCCAAAGTTCATGGGCTAATTGCTAGTTAAATTATAGCTCACTTCTTGTAACTGTTGATAGACCTTAAAGCACTGAAATATTTTAGAAAATCCATTTAGGTTACTTAACGTGTTCATTAAAAATCTGGGTAACAATGGTGTGTCTAATTACTTTAGACTTTTCTGGCATAATTGTTCTTTATTATAATTTAATATACACCAAAAGGTCAATTAAAGGCAAGTTTTGATGGACAGATGTAGGGGGTCACCATTATTAAAAAGAGTATAATTTGGGTCAAACCGGTGGCAACATGACAAAACTAGAGCATATTTGGTAATGGTTGGAAACTGGCTACCAAACCAAAGGATTGCCATGATTTGATAGGAATTTATGAATTTATATAGCACTTTTCACACAAGTTTTAAGTTTATTTTACCAGGTTATTGTACTACTGGTTTGTCCATATAATGGACATAGTTAACCCCGTGATTTATTTATCTCAAATGAATAATGTATCAATGTATAAAAGTCAGTAGTCAGATAAGATAGTGATTTAACTCAGTGGCTTGTGAAATAGCTGTCTGTATGATTAGTCTTTTAGGAACAATAAAATCATAGGGATTTTGACGTGTAATAAAGTATTTGCTAATCCTGATCATTAAATGGTTAACATGGCTATGTGATCCAAAACCTAACATAGCATTAAATAGCTTTTCATCATAAACTACATGGCTAAATATATGTGGACAGACCGTTATTATTCACCATTTCTGCACATTTATTGCTGAGATGAGTCTAAAATCAGCACAAGAACATCAGCACATCTGATTGACATGGGTTCCTCTGGTCATGCAGTCATGTACACGGCTACGATTGCCATTCACAGTGACAAGCATCAAGTACGATGATGTGCATCTTGCTATCATTGGACTCTGGATCCATGAATCATGAGTGATAAATCATGTCCACCATCTGCCAATCAATGGATAACTCTGAGTTTGGAGTATGTCAGAGAAACACTACCTGCCTGACTGTAAGTCTGGAAATACACCTGTACACTGCATTCAGTACAGATTAGTCACTATATATGCTAACTGACCGTACAAGGTGCCGGTCTTCTTTCCCCTAAACATTCTTTACTGCCAGATTATTTTTATGATCTTAAAAATGATCTTAATAGTCATATCGTATAGTCAGTACATAATGCTTGCTTTGATTATTCACCAAGTCTCTCCATCTACTAACATATGTAGCCTGCAGGAGTTTAACATCAAAAAGGTGGAATACTCAGATTTACTACACTTCATTTATTACTCATAAAATTGTGCTGTCAATCTGCATGCCACATTGAATTCTTATACCGTTTGTTATTACTGAGCTTGTCGATGTTGTTGTGGCATTGTCAGCTCATCTGTTATTCTTTGCACAGTAAAAATAAAGAATATTAAAAAAAATGATCTTAAAAATATGGCACTATATAAATATCATAATAATAATAAGTTTTCATTTTATGGACAGCAATGGATCACTTTTTCAGAATGAAATGCAATCTTTAGATATAAAACATTGCATTCTTACTAACCAAACTGATGTTTTATACTAGTGTTATATAATTAATAAATAACTAATGCAGTCTCGAGGACAGAGGACCTTCATCAAGCTCAAGTTAGCAGTGAAAATCTTGCATTTTAATAATAAAAATATAAAAGTGTCCCTGAGACATACTGCTATACACACATTTCAGTTTTCTGTGTAATTTCTTTGGAATTGTGAGCCCAATTTCCTGTAACAGTACAATTCTTGTTAGTTCAAATATAAAAAAAAATCTAATTAAAAAAAAATCATCTAGTTACAATATCTTATGCATTTAGAAAAATAAATGAATACATTTAATATAGCATAAAATAATGTCAGGATTGAATTACAACCTTTTTTAACCTATTCTAAAAGGTAAATATTAAAATTAAATATATATATTTACTTCTGAATATCCATGTTTGCTGAAGATCCCCAGGATCTATGGCCTTAGTTTATTGAGCTGTATGGCTGCACCCGTGTTTGTGCACAAACCAACTAGCTAAATTTCATTTATTTATTATTTCTCAATGGTTAACCAAAGGAATTGTTCATGTGAAGGACTTATAAAAGCAGAGTAAAATCTTTCTCTGAGCTCTATACTTGACATACCCTAGGTAAAGTAGAACAAATATTTTGAAAATTATACAAATTATATATGGTCTCTACACACACAAATCATTTTGCCTTCATACAAATCAGAAAAGCCCCTGTAGACAACTAGGCACCATTCTACACATCTGGTAGACCTGCAATGGACTTCAGTCAATGTGTAGCAAGGAGTTTGTAAATCTTACTGCTACAGCTTACTTTGAGATTCCAGATTTCTCTATGCTTCCAGTTTTTCAGTAACTCTTTCTGGAATACTGTTTCCTGATTTTCATCATTGCAGTTCCCCTTTGCACAAATCAAGGCTCTTATATACGGTTTACTAAATGATGTGACCAGCAATTGGCCTTGATATCAACCCTATTGAATTTATCCATGTTGAGATTACAGGTGGTCCTCGTTTTGCGACCTACCAGTTTTACGATGGCTTGCACTTATGACCAGCTCTCTCGCAAGGGTGGTAAGTGTGAGCAGTCAATTGAATTAGAGGGATTCCCTGATCAGCTGCGTTCATCTATGTTCGGGGACATTTCCCCGAACATAGATGAACGCAACAGAGCAGGGAATCCCTCTAATCTTTGTTCAGGCAAATTTCCCCGAGCATAGATTAGAGGGATTCCCTGCTCTTGTGCGTTCGTCTATGTTCGGGGAAATGTCCCTGAACACAGACATGAGCACCAGAGCAGGGGATCCCTCTAATCTATGCTCGGGGAAATTTGCCCGAACATAGATTAGAGGGATTCTCTGCTTTAGTGTGTTCGTCTATGTTCAAAGAAATTTCCCCGAACATAGACAAGTGCACCAGAGCAGGCAATCCCTTAACGCCTCACTTACCGACCAATTCGTTCGGTAAGTGAGGAGTACCTGTCATTAAAAATAAATCCCAGCAGCAATGTTTCAATATATATAGTTGACCTTTTACTGAATGGGAGAGTTGGGGATGCCAGCTCTATAATAATGATCATGCTTTTGGATTGAGCTGTTAAACATGCAGATGTCCACATACATTTTGCCATGTGGGGTATAAAGCAGTCACACTAACCTACTAGAAAGAAGAACTTATGAACTTAAGTAATACATGCAAATTATAATTTAAAAAGCCTACTATATAGAATTGAAAAAAGAAGCATTTAAAACTTTGAAGTTTAATTCAAAAGCTTAAGTACACCAGTGGTCATAACCTCTTCCCTTTTCTTTCTCAATGCATAGCTACTTAATTTTGTATCCGAAACACAAATCAGTGTTTCCTAAGAGAGACTGTGAATTTCCCCTTGATATATTCAATTTCTGATTTTATGCTTGTTTTTTTTATCTAACTGATAATCTTTGTGTTACAAGTATCTTGAATCCTGACCCTTCAGTACACACACATCTTGTGAACATCTGAGTCTACACAAATTAGACATGACCTACAGCTACTGTGATAGCTCAAATGGTTAGAGTAGCAAATGTAGTGTCTGTTCGAGCTTTAGCATCACGGCCTTGATTTTTGAGAATGTCATCTAATGCTTTTGAGGTCGGTAAAACAAGAGCAATGAGGATCAGATGTTGATTAAGTAAAACCTCAAAGTGCACAATAAAGTCTTCTGAGTTTCCATAGATATGTGTGAAAAAAAATAAGTTGTATTATACACATACATACCTAGGGTTTTATTTTCCATCCCAGTGGAAATTAAAGGTATCCTATTTATTTAGGGGATTTAAAATGTTTTCCTTAATAATAAAACAAAACTATTATGTTAGTGTAAATATAGTGTATTTTTGGAACATATGACTGAATTTAGATACTTTTTAAGGACAAGTAAAAGAATCAGTGGGATTGCAATATTTAAGTAAAAATTAAAACACGTTTTTACATTGTCATAGGGAGGTAATTTTAACATTGAAAAACAATATCCATTTCAACCTTGAAACTAATCTGGTTGCGTAAATTGGAAATTCGTCAAATATTGTTTTTGTGGGAATACAGTTATGCAAGCAAGTATAATAAGGGAATATTAGTCCTATTTTATCCAGCAAGCAGACTAAACCAAAATGTGCTCATCTTACAATCACTCCATCCCATATTTTTGTGATTGAACTCCCATTTTCTGTAGTTTTTTTAAATTATCCTAAAGATTACCGTAAGGAGCAAAACATCACTTCTGTTCCATATAAGACTACATGTTAACACATTTTTAATGTTGGCTTTGGTCACTGAAGATGAATTAATAATTCATAATTTGTACACTGTGCCCTGCCTCCCGATAATGACATCACGGTTGTTTCCAGGGTTTGCTTGCCCCTGTCTGCTGTTATTTGCAACATGCCCGACCTTTGCATGTGGCCAATCTTGCAGCTATCCAAAATAATGATGAATGGAACAAAATAATGAAGATGCTGTTCACTTATAATTCTTCAACGACTCCAGCACCTTCCATCTGGATCTTTAGGTTCTGTGGGGTTCTGATTTCCATTTTGTAATTTTATTGTTCTTATTTATTTTATTTTTTTCCTTGTGGTTTTTATTTTTTTATTACATTTTATTTGGGCCCATGAAAACTTTTAAAACATTTACCAACTCCAAAGAATTGTAGAACGTGGAAGGGAAATTCCTTGTTTAATATACACATATTATATAACTTTTGCAATAATATGATGCAATAAAATTTTGGCCATCCAGCTTCCTCCCTGAAGAATTAAGGTGAAAAGCATTTTTTCATTAACATTTGGCTTTCCTTGCATTTTTGTTTATTTTTTTATTTTTTTGTAATGCAAATCTGTTAGCATGTTTTTATATTGCTGTTAATTTTTGCCTGCCATACTTAATCCCTTCCCTTCTGACATTTGCATTTAAAGAGCAATACAAATGATAACCCCCTTCCCTAGGGGTCATACTTCTATATACTGACCAGAGTGTAGGATGTTTTGCTCATCTGGAAAACTGAGGTCTTTAAATTCCTTTTGGATTCCATAGTTCCATAGTATCTATCTCTGGCCTCAATTGTTTGACAATATTTTTAGACTATTTAATATTTTTGGATACATTTCTAAGTGATATAATAATATGAAAAATAGTTTAATTTTCTAGTATTTTGATAATTTATTATATATAGATTTTTTTATACATTATATATTTTTGATATTTTAATATATTGAAAAAATAGTTTTAAACGTTGATCCAAAAATATTAAATAATTTGAATATCTTATCCAAAAAATATTCAGTCGAAGCCTTTGTTGGCTGGCTGACATCATGTGAGTTGTAGTTCAATAAGGCACCTCAGTCTCCCATCCCAGGAGCATAATTCTTATTGAAGTAATAAAACAATAATACTGTGTTAGTAACAACATTATACTTTTATTTTGTATTTAAACATGCCTTTTAAGGGAACCGGGTATATTTGGTGCTCCCTCCATTATTGCTTTTAGTGTGGTGGTTGGTGCTTGTTACCAAATTTAATTTTCTCATTGCATCTGGTACTTGGGTTGAAGTGCATGAATCAAATAAGAATTCCTACATTGCACATGTTTGTTGCATTTTTTCATGCACGTAAATTCTGCTTTAAAAAAATAACAAACAATTAAATTATTTTCCTTCTAATGTGAAGCTTTTCACAGAAAGGAGCCTACATCAATTCAGAGCTGAAAGGCTGAAATAATATCGAATCCTCTGCTCTGAAGTGGTCAAGCGCTGTTCTTTCTGACGTACATTTCAAGCGTTTAAAATACTTAATTCATGTCATGGGAGAGCTGAAAGGCCGAATTTTACTAAAATCTCGTTTTAATTGAATGTGTAATCTGTGCCAGAAGCTGTTAATTTAAAGTTCTATTGACTTTTGAGATACTTACTTTATAGTTTCATTTGTAATTGCACTGTACATTTTTTTTTGTGTATATAGGAAGGGTAAATGAATGTTCTTATTTTTCCAATAACAGGTACTTTAGCATTATGCATCTTTTACATTTAAAAAAAAAATAGATTTGAAGGTTGGAGTTACAGCTAGGGTTTCCTTTAATCATATGACAATACTAGTACATTTATGTTCTAGTCTGCCTAAGATTTATACCACTTTGCAGCTAATGCTGTATATTCTGCCCTTCTCCCAATAGTGATATACATGCGCAAGGGAGTTCGAAACAGAATTCCACTGTTTCTATCTCCTCCGCTCCTCTACCATAACATCGGTATCGGGAGATGGCTAAATTGAAGTGTCAGGAGCTGCAAATAGGAGCTGCTTCCTAGGAGTGCAACTAACACTAATCTTAGGATATGTATAATTTCACTATTTTAAAGTTAGGCCAGTGTTAGGTCTAAAGTCATTCTAAATTTAAGGCAGTAGCAGGACCTGGTCTACCTGAATTTTGTGGGAATTACACTCCCAAGTAACAGTTGCTGTTTGGGGATGTTGCCTTCAGCCCCTTTCCTAGTAAAGGTATGCTTGTAATGGAAGCTGGAAAACTGACTTGCACCCTCTGACTTTTCAGTCACTCTTGAGGCATAATATTATCAGGACTGAATTACAGCGGAATCTGTTGTCTAGGAGTGTCACCAATCAGAACGAGATTTGAAAACATGGAAATATGATCTGACCTTGCATTCGCACGCACACACGCACACACACGCATACACATGTAGAAAATATGGCCTATTGCATTTAAAACTGTGTCCATTGGCCTTTACATTTCTGTAGTATAGGTATTAAGTAGACTGATTTATTCTGCTGCATGGGCATCCATTAATATCTGTAGAATGTAGTTCACCTCATGACTGATTCCACTAATGCTGGAATTGTTGCCATGTTATATATGTTACATATGTGAGTTGTCACAGACAAAGCTGTATGATGCTCTGCTGGTAGGGAGTGTGCGGGCAGGAAAGGTTCAAAGTCTAAGGCTTGTGGCTGCTTTATCCCTGTTTGCTACCAGAGCATATAATCTCCAAATTAACCCCAGATACTACTTACATCATTCCAGGTTATCAGCAATTACTGCTTTCACCAAGACTCTCCACTGCTTGTCTTGGGGTATCGTCCATTGGGTATTTTAGATTACCCCTAATCAAGTTATATCAACCTAAAGCAAATTAATAGTATCTACAGGGTGTGGCAAATTAGTGCAATAAATAAATAAGAAAGAAAGAAATAAGAAAGCATGGGAAATAACACTCAGCATTATTGTCCAGATAATGGATTTTATTTATAGTAACTACTAATATATCTATCAAACTTGAATGGTAAGTCTAAACCTTGAGATATTAAGAGAATGCTGGGTTATATCTTCTCTGATGACATCACCTAGCAAATGGGCCCCAGCAGGAGAGTACTTTGACATTTTAAAACAGGACACAGCTATTTAACTCCAAGGCCTGGTCATTCAATTTGTAGCGTTAATATAGCAGTCTCAACAGCTTAACGGCTCCCTATCTGAAGGGGACATTGCCATCTTCATATTTTATGGATCATATAGTCCCTATAAAGCCATTAGAATTTATTTAAACTGCTAAAACTATACAATATATTAATATTTACTTCACATTTAGGCCAGCTTACTTAACAATTAAGCCTGCTTTATTGTGCATGTGTATAAAATCAGTGAACCATTGAAACTGTATAAGTTTTGTATCATAGACTTTTTATATTTTTGTCCATCAGGAATCTTTATTTATCAGTTAGAAATGTATTTTAAAATTTGAGTTTCTCTCTCACTTTTTGCACACCAAATTGTAATGACGTTATCAGGCTTGTATTACGTATTTGGGGAACTATTTTATCAAAATTTTCACATAAGCCTTAGCAGAGCAATTTTTGATAGTCTCCATGTTTGTTCACAGTGTCCAGAAGGGAGTAGAGGACTTTTGTTTCTAATAGACTTTCTTTGTAGGGACTCATGAATTGGGTTTATCTGTCACCCAAAAAGACGTTTCATTACAGTATTTGTAAATGATGTTATGCCGTGCCTTATGAAAGTTACAGAGAAATAATTTAATTTTGTCAACTGACTATTCATCTCTTTGTCATGTTCATCTTCACTTTGAGATTCTGCTTCTTATCCCACTTAAGAACGAAATCTCTCCTCCTTCATACAGAAAGAGCCTTTCAAGTATGGAGTTTTGTCATTTGTCATTATGTCCCGGTGCCATACTGTAGATTTGAAAGGACCTTTTCTATGTTGTAGGGTTAATCTGTACATTATTAACAGGTGTGTTAAAGATGCTTGTTGGTGAACACCGAAGGAGTTGTCTTGATGACGAGCTTATGAAGAATGGATACAGTATCAGTAATATTGAAATTATAAATTAAGATATGAACTCTAAATAACAATGGTGTGAGAGAACACTCACTTTTATTTTTTATAAGGGTGCAATCACTCCAGTTCCTCCATCCTGGATAAGTATCAAAGAATAAACAATAAAGATGTCCAGCACTCCTTCTTATGAAAAGATGATATCCCTTTATTGGCAAAACAGAAACGTTTCTACTGTGTGTGTTTGCATGAGAAAGACACAGTCGAAACGTTGCTGTTGTGTATTCTTAAAGACAGGCAGAATGTATGCTAACACTGGCTGAAATAACAAACAGAGGCGTATTTTCCTTTTACAAGGGTTTTTATGAACACAGAGTGAACACAGAATGAAGCAACACAAGAGCTTGTTTCATAAAGTGATTGATTGATATGTCTCTCCAGAATCCAGCGATGTGATAGAGATGCAAGGTTTCGGTGCTAATCTTTTACCCTGGCAGCTTAATGAATTCTGCAGCCGGGGATCTTCCTGTCTCTCCTGCTCCACAGGCAGCTCACCGTATGATATTCCCACCAGCTGCGGCTGTGTCCATGACAGGTGAGTCTTATTTGTTTGGTCTCTGATATATGTGGCAGTTATAAGACAATAGCAGATCCAAATACTTTGCACTATATCCCATCGGAGTGAATACGGATGTACAGAGTGTGATGGTGGGATTTTTTCAGGAGGTGTAGTGAGTATTTATGGGAAGAATTATGCTTTCCATTAAGATATTTATGTAATAGACCTAATGACATTTATGTTTTCTGATAGTGTTAATTTCTGTTCTGCTGAATCATAAAACTAACAGCCTTGTACATTGTAAGAAACGGTTGATCTCCCGGCCTCAAAGTCTTGTCGGGCCTGACACACTCTTCCCTTCACCCTCCGGACCGGTGGGGGTTTTCCCGGTCCACCACAACATGTAGTTTTGCACCTGAACATGCTAGGACGTCACATAGGTAGTTTTGGCACATTACCACCTTTGTTCTCTCCTATTCTACGAAGACACATCCCCTACACACTCCTATTGTAAGAAGTCTACACCTAGCAATGCCCAATAGATAAGTTGTGGATGGATGATTTGTTACATGCTTGCACCATGTTGCTTGCACAAACTCTCCATGCTATTAGTTATTAGTTGTCAATATTTTATTGGTAATTAATGGAACTCCCCTTAGACTCTTCCTTATTGTGTGTTATTATAAAACCTGTTTTGTTGAATAAATTTTGGGCATTTTCCTGAACTGACTCCCTTGTATTTCTATCAAGAATGTCACCAAGTACTTGAGAGTTTGTGGCTCGATCTGGATACCACTGTAAAACCATGGCAGATAATTCTGGTGATCACCAAAGACTGGAATATGTTTCAACATTTTCTGTTCTACTAAGGCAATATTTACCTCTCCTTGTAGAAAAAGCATTCTTTGTAGAACTGCCTAGGCATGCTTCATTCAGTGCAAAAAAATGTAATAATAATTAATCATCTACATGCTTTTATTTTTATGCCCGTACAGAGAACTTTTGCATCAAATGGTTTTCCAAAAGAGGAGACTATTAGGGGAACCTACAAGTGTTCAAATAATTAAAATTGAAGAGCAAAGGCAAATATCTGTAGATGATGCTGCATTAATATGCTTCCCTTTTCTCCACGTGGGGAGTAAAAATAACTTTCACAAATTAAATGATAGTTGCAATAATTACACAGGAAATCAGAAAAAAAAGTTTAATGTATATAGGGCATCACTAGGTTATCCGGACTGTTAAACCAGAACATTACCTAGGAACATATAATAGAAAATGAAATACATTTAAAAAAGCATAAAGACTGTATATCAATGAACATGGATCGATGATCAACGCCTGTAATACAGGCACACTAAACTTTCAAATAAGTTGCCACTACCAGACTGCAATATTGCTTTGCCTCCTATTGTGACTGATATTTATTCACCCAACGCCTCCAAATGTTTTCAAATTGGGCTTGGTTTTCAGTAATTCTGTAACATGGCTTCATAAATACTGCTTTGTTGTAGCCTATTTATGACTAGTTGAATTTTAGGGCATGATGTGGACTTCTAGGCCTCCACTATGTTAATTTTAGCTGTCGTTAAAATGTGCATTGTAATAGTTTTACAATTTCCCCATATGTCAAAAGGAACATATCCAACAAACAGATTGCAGCAAAGAGTTACCGTATATCTTTGTAGAAATCGTGTGGCTTGAATCTGTTGCCAAAAGATCAACAGTAGATCCTATATATTTATTGCACCTCCAGCAGAGTGGACATACTGAGGGGAACGCATGAACCAATCATTTAGGAACCAGATACCATCTCGTTAAGAAATTCCTGTTATCCTCCCAGTGAGTAAGGCACATTGATGAGCCTTTAATATTTGTTACGGTCTTTAATATTTGTTAAATGCAGTCAATAAGCAGAATGAAGTAAGAGGTGGATATGTGTTTTGTTTGCCATTCTATGCCCATCTTATATTGAGGTTAGTAAAAAAAAAAGGACAAAAAGGGGGCGGAGCTTGACCGCCATGCGGAGCAGTAGCAGCGGAGCTCCGTGTATACGTCTAGCGTCATAGTTGCAATAATTAGCCAGACTGACAGGATTTTTATTCACCCTGCTCCTTAAGGCTCGTGTGGGAGCTGGAGCTCGGACATCGTTGCCTCTCTTGATGCACCCACAGCGGCTGATCTGTGTTGAGGCCTGGTAACTGGCACAAGGTGGGTGAAGCGGTTGATCTCCCGGCGTCAAAGTCTTGTCGGGCCTGACACACTCTCCTCGCTACCCTCTGGACCGGTGGGGGTTTTCCTGGTCCACCACAACAGTAATCCTTACCTGGCTTTACTCTTCTGAGCTACGTTGCTCGGGCACAGACACAACTGATTCCTGAAACTCTACCTCCTCTAGATGGCGCCTGCCTGCATTGCGACGGTCCCAGAGAACCATGCTGACCTGCCACAATCTTGTTATGATCTCTTAGCCCTTTTTGACCAGCTCTGTGCTAAGCTCTGGCTGTGACTACAGGGAACCTGGAAATCGACACCAGCAGGGCGAAATCACAGTGGCAGTCCTCCTTTCTCCATCATAGCCACCCAGCAAGAGCTGCTATGGCGAACCTGACTGGTGTCTTTCGGAAACTAGGCAGGAGGGGAAGGAGTTCTCCGGGCTTGAGAAAGCGAAAGAGTGGCCCTCTGTCAGTCTGGCGTGGTCACCAAGATGGCAGGAACAAAAAGCAGCATCGAGTTGCTACTCCTGTTGGCCACTCATGGCCCCGCATCTCCATATGGGACTGGAGAGACGAAGATCAGGTCATGGCGGCTAACACATGGCAAAGCGGTACCCAGCTAAGGCTTCTGCACTGCCCATACTCTGAGCTATTACATCAAGCCCTAAGGCTTGGAATAGGGTGATTGACTGCTCCTGGGACTTACATTCCCCAAAACTGTTCTTGAGCTGGCCCTGTTAGACTAGCTTGTGGCCGAATCTTGCTTCAATTTGATATTTGATGTGTGCATGTGCCTTACACTTACATATTTAGCTTTAGTTTTCTCCAGTCATGTATGCCCACATTGGGCCCCTATTAATGAGATTATCTGCCTTATACTGATGGAGCCGACATAACTAATCTGTATTAAGATGATGTAGATCTGAACTAGCCTTTTCGTTATAATCTCTACCAGTGTGTAGGTCAAGCCTATTTGTCAGATACCCTGTCAAGTTAATTTTCCATGCACTGTTTAATGTTATATTATACTTTTTTTTTAAAAAGTGCAGTACTATTGAAATGTACGGTATACCCTCTTATGACACACTGTAATGTTATTCTCTGACATGCCTTGTTTACTTGCGAAACCAGCAATGCACTACTAAAATAAAGAATTAAAAAAAAAATAAGGACTATCATTCATAGATGGAGTTTTAGTGACAAACAATTAAGAAAATGGTCTTGTGACAAACCTATTTATAATACCATGTTCCTTTACACTTCTCTGTATGAACTAAATATAATGTTTTCACCATGAGTTGTTACTCATGTACATATTTATATCAGGAAGCAAAAGCTGTGAATTTGAGCATGTGTTAAATGACTCATGCTTAACATCTGCATAAACCTAATTCAGTTCATTTAGAAAATAGGCACAGCACCATTAAAAAATAAAGCAGACGCTATTACATTATGTTATTTACACTCTCGTGGAAGTGTCTTCACATGCAGGATTAAGTTTCTGCTGTCCAAGTAATAGGTACATGCAGTAAGTACACGCTGACATTTTCCTCTGTAGTATATGTTAATTTAACACATGGAAACTCAAAACAATAAGTTGAAAGTGATATATTTTACAGTGCTGTGAAAACAATCAAAACACTCAATTTTAACTTTTTATGCAAGATACTTGAATTCCCATCTTCTATCCATGGAAGGAAGATTCAACTGATACAACTGCAAAAAAAAAGGTACAGACACACACACAGAAATAAAAGATAAATGCCCTGCACAAACCTAGCTCAATATTATCAGAAGATAGAGGTACTCATCTCAGTGCCTTCCAGTTGGCAGTCATCTACATAATTATATGTTGGACATCCAACCAATCACAACACAGACTGTACTATGCAAATCATTTATTTGTATTTCTCAGCAAATCTTCTCATAAGACAATTCACCTTGACGTCACAACAATAATAGATGTTCTTCCGGGTGGCAAAAGCCAATGCGTTCTAACAGTCACTCACTGGGTGTGGGGGTTCTGGGGTCCTCGGACTGGCAAGGGGGGGGAAGGTAAATTGGGGACTGATCCTGTGTGTGGGGGGTACTGACTAGCCCAGCTCAGCGTGTGTTCATATTGCAGATAAAATTAAATGTTTTCTTCTGCCCCCCCTCTCTGCCCCCTCTTTAATCCACCTCTGATCCTTCTAACGGTATCACAGTGGCAGCTCAGAGGAGGATAACGGTTTTAGACTAATGCTGCATATCGCTAGTGGCTAACTTTGATATCCCAATAATAATAGATTACAATTCCCACAATGCTAAACCAGCCTGAAGGTTGGCAGAGCATTGTGGTAAATTTAGTTCACAAACCTCTGGTGTTCCAAGTTAGCCGTCACTGCTCTGGAAGTGCTGGGTGATTTTTATAATTCACTTTCTCAATGTACATTGTGCACGTTGCCACCCAGTTTTATAGATAGGCTCTAAACAAAAGGCTGAAAAGAGTTTAGGCTGTGAATGATAGGTGTTACAGGACAAATGGAGACTTGTAGTTTTGGCATAAGATGCAATCTAGTAGCACAACTCCCATGACATTCAGTCGACCAATCCAGCTGTGGATACATCTCATGATCTTTGCCCAGCCTAATACTAAATAATGGAAATAGTATGGGACAGTTTTCTCTTCAGGTCAGTGGAAGCCGCTCGCATTCTGCCACCTGGAAGTATCTTGGTGCCTATTGTTTACAAACATTCTGAAATGCCGTATTTACTTCATTGGATTGTCCCATTCAGCAAAACCAGCAAGTCACTACAAAGATCTCCATGTCAATTGCTCAGCGATGCATTATGATTTGATGGATGTACATGTGATCATTAGGCCGGTAAAAACGGCCAGGAGAGGATTGTGTGAAAAATGTGCATGAACATAGTTAATAGAAAGACAGAAACGTTAACCTATGATTCGAAATATTACAATTTGCAGCCCCTACAAAATGCCTTTAAACCAACGTCAAATGTCACGTTTATGAAGTTTTTAACAATTCAATGCAGCCCTGTAAAGTTAATTTAGTTAGTCATTCCATTTTGGAAATTGTTTTAAAGAACAATTGTAGTGATAGAATTCAACAAGGTGAGCGCACGAAAGGTGCTGTCTTTGTGTCATTTATGATTTTGTTATAGTTGGCTCACTTAGGAGTTATTCGCCTGGTTATTGCCGCACCATAGGTGAATATTTTCAAAATACAAAAAACAAACAACAAATTGATGCCACTAGTCTCAGTGCATACAAAGCTCCGAGATCAGCTGCATCCCCTGGATATATATGTAGTTATTACTGTATATTGGCATAAAAAATTTATGATCTTATATTATTGAGACCTAAACATAATAAATAAATCAAAGTATATACAAAGTATATGTAACTATGTAACTAAAAGTATATACAAGTGATACATATGCTAATATGCAAGCCAAAAATACACCATGTAGGGAAACAATCCAAATCCATATAAAGGTATGATACCCAATCCTAAATATCAGCTTTATTAACAGGTGCATATGCTACATAGGAGGGGATCCATCCCAAACCAATTCCCTAACACTGGGCTATTTGCAGATTAACTCTAAATACTGCTCTGCTTTATCTTATAAAAATCTGTACTGTGCTAGTAATAGGAAACACATCTTGTGCATAGTAAAGTGCTATATTGATCTAAGCACAGTCCCAGACCCTCAGTCATAAATAAGCATCTATAGAGTTAAATGGCAGACAGAGCTAGAAATAGAGAGTATTGTCCATAATGTATGATAGGGAGAGAATGCAGTACATAGTGAGAAAGTCAGTGTCTAAAACACTGACAAGGTAAATTAAAAGCCTCTCTCCCTGATAATCTACCTAGACAGGCATAGAAGCATAGGATAGAAAAGTGAAAATAAAAAAAATCAATAAATCAAATGAAAGTCATAGTGCTCAATCCACAAGTGCCCAATAATCATGGCTAAAAATAAGAAAAACCGCCGACGCAAATTTCGGTGCCTTATATAATGCACCTTCGTCAAGGGCCAACAGAATAATGATAAGGTCTCTCTTAAATACTTTAAACGCCATAAAACATGAGTACCTGTGTCCAATGAGATCCAGAAGGAGTGTCCCACATGTGTGCATAATATCAGTAACTAGATCCGATCAATGGGTAAAGTCCTATACCACATGGTGTAAATAGTGGGAGTGGCCAAAGGACACAGAGCCAAACCCAACATGTATCCTCCCTTATGAGGTGGGTGGGTATCTCTGTATACTCCATGCAAGTGAACTAAGAGAGGGGCGGATCCAAATACAATTGGAGTGACAGCTAGGAACTATGAGCAAGATAGACATGTGGCTCAGCCAATGTGCATACATTGTGGGCGGGTCCAAAAAACTGACCAAACTGGCAATCCAATGGATTCCAAATCCAATCACCTACAGGCAACCAACCCATACAAATTGCAATACAGTAGTGCCCCATGCATCCCATATCTAGCTGCCAGTACACTCTAAGGGAAAAACATCCCAAACTAGGTCAGTAAGTGTACTCATTAACCATTCAGTACCCAATTCCAATGGGTGTAATGGGAGATTATTATAGAAATGGCTTATTTAAATGTATATTATATTGGTCTATATACCTCTTGTGGTATCTCCACAAAGGGGTATAGAAGGCTGCCACAAATCTATAATAATACATATGAATGGTATATAATGCATGTGTACCTCTCTGAACCTCAAATTTAGGCATTCATGTAAGAATAAATAAATAAAAAATAAATTATAATAAATTATAAAAAATAATAACTAAAATTACTATCTCAATAATTTACAAGTGTATCCGGCATATACATAAATCATCTATAATGTAATCATATAAATAAATATATATATATATATATATATATATATATATATATATATATATATATATACAAATGGTATAGATAATAGACTTTCATTACTACCAAGTCATGCAGAACTAATATCCATTAGTCCGAGATAAAGTATGTATATGAGAAATCCTCGTTGAGACCAAGTGGTGAGAGAGTTTTAAGCTTATATTTTCAATCCTGTGGTCTTATCTCAGTTATAGAATAGACTGATATTGGTCCTGAATGTGTTAATATGTTGCTGCTAATTTATAGAATGGGTAATACAAAGTGATCAACCACTGATATTCAATTAATTATCACAAATTCCATCTTCTGAGGGTCAGTGGTTAGCTGGGAACTATGGAAGCTCTGGTCCTTGAAAAACAGTAACACTAGGCTTTTAGGTTGATTAACTCGATACCTTTTTTAATCTCAATTCGTGATATGTTGAACACTGTTACAGTTTGTCTAATAAAGATGAAGCCACATATTCATCCGAATATAATCAAGTAGGGACAAGTGAGGGGCTAACCCTTGGTTAGATATTAAAATGCAAAAGAGGAGGTCTGTCCCTGGATAGAGATTAAAAAATCTAATCTTTATTCTTAATATACTAAAAAAGAAATAAACAACACACGAGAAGATAATAAAATGAACCTTGGTCAGATAGTAATAGGGGAGAGAAAACATAACATCGGACATACACTGGGTAAAAATTGGGAAGAAGAGGGAACAGTACCCTAATAAAGTTCTAGCAAGGAGGGAGCTGGCAACGCTACCAGCTCCCTCCTTGTAATAGAAACCATTCCTACCCTCCCCCCACATTAAAACCTATGGGGGTCACTATGACCCCCATATTAATAAAAAGGGAGGTTAAATCCCCCTGCATGCCCTACCAGTGGCTGCTCGCTGTCATTTAACCCCTTAACGCCGTTATGGCGTTCTATGCCGTTGCGGCTTTAAAGGGCTTTAAAACCGTTGCGGCGGCATAGAACGCCGTAACGGCTTTCTGCCCCAGGGGATCGCAGCTACTTACCTCCGCTGCGATCCTCTTCTGGAGGGCTGCCAGACCGCCCAGGCAGCCCTCCCCCGGCGAATGAGGCCCCCGGGGGCCATGTGATCGCTCTCAAAGAGCGATCACATGGCCCCCTATAGCTGGCTATGGATCTGCCATTGCTGGTGGGAAATGTAAAAAAAAAAAAAATTAGACATGTTTTAAAATAAATTAAATACATTTATATATATAATATATGTATATATATTCTATATATAATATATATACATATTATATATATATAACGTCATACGTTGTGTATTTTAATACTAATATAAGTATATTTATTAGTATTAAAATACACTTAGAATGACGTTACATATATATAATATGTATATATATTATATATATATAATAGATATATACACATATATTATATATATATATATATGTATAATTACATTAATAAATAAATAAAATAATAAAATAAATAAATAAAATATTGAAACTAAATTTTATTAAATTTATATATTCATATGTAATTTCATTCTAACTGTATTTTGTTATTAATATATATATATTGGTAACAAAATACACTTAGAATGACATTCTATATATATCTATCTATATATAAAATACAAATAACCGCAAATATATATATATAGATAAATACATATAATTACATAAAAGATTACATTAGTATACACGTAGAATTTAAATACCTATAAATGCATATATATTAAAATTCTACGTGTATATTTAAGTAATCTTTTAACATAATTATGTGATTTGATTAATTAAAATTTGATTGACATGCCTGACAACATAGGGAGAAAGTGCAGAGAATTTAATTCGCAAGCGCTATATTTGACCCTATAACTCTCCAAGACACCATAAAACCTGTACATAGGGGGTACTGTTTTACTCGGGAGACTTCGCTGAACTCAAATATTAGTGTTTCAAACTGGTAAATTGTATTACAACGATGATATTTTAAGTAAAAGTGAAGTTTTTTGCATTTTTTACAAACAAACGTCACTTTTATTGACTATATTTTTGTTGTAATATGTTTTCCTGTTTTAAAACACTAATATTTGTGTTTAGTGAAGCCTCCCGAGAATAACAATACCCCCCATGTACAGGTTTTATTGTGTTTTGGAAAGTTAGAGAGTCACATATAAGGCTTGCATTTCATTTTTTTGACATTGAAATTTGCCAGTTTGGTTATGTTGCCTTTGAGAGTGTATGGTAGCCCAGGAATAAGAATTACCCCCATGATGGCATACCATTTGCAAAAGTAGACAACCCAAGGTATTGCAAATGAGGTATGTCCAGTCATTTCTAGTAGCCACTTAGTCACAAACACTGGCCAAATATTAGTTTTTTGCTTTTTTCACACAAAAACAAATATAAACGCTAACTTTGGCCAGTGTTTGTGACTAAGTGGCTACTAAAAAAGACTAAACATACCCCACGTTCAATACCTTGGGTTGTCTACTTTTTCAAATGGTATGCCATTATGGGGGTAATTCTCATTCCTGGGCTACCACATCGTCTCAAAGGTAACATTACTAATCTGGCAAATTTCAATGTGAAAATGGAACGTTCTATATTTGACCCTGTAACTTTCCAAAACACCATAAAACCTGTTAATAGGGGATACTGTTGTACTCGTGAGACATCGCTGATTACAAATATGGGCATTTTTTTGCAGTAATACCTAACAGTATTATGACATTCATAGCTAAAATGTCAGACGGAAATACAAATTTTAAAAAAAATCTTATTTTCTAATTTTTCAAAAAGTTTTATTCATAATAAATGATGTTCTATATATGAATAGCTAATGATAAATTAAAGCCCTGTTTCTCCTGAACAAAATGATATATAATAAGTGTGGGTGCACTTAATGTGACAGCGGTGAATTACGGGTGAACAGACATATAGCGCAAATTCCAGTTTTTGTTTTGTTTTGATCAGAACGTGTACTATTGACTCCGTCCTGAAGGGGTTAAAACTGGACATAAAATTCAGAATCTTACATAGCAGTGATAGAGAGCTACGGTACAAGTATGTAAAACCAAAAGTTATAGCAAAAGCTATAACAATGTTGCAATATGAAAAAGTAGCTATTTAGATTTGTAACACAATAAGGCTGTGCTACTGATCTAAATAGCTACTTTTTACACATACTGTTACCGTAGCTCTATCACTTCTATATAGGATACTTTCATATCCAGTTTTAAATTGGTATTAATATTTATTACAAGGATGGAGCTGGTAGGGCAGCCGGCTCCCTCCTTGCTTTATTTTTTCTGCGCATGCACAGTGTTATTTTCTCTGTGCTGTGGGGGTTCATTCCCCTGCAGCATGGAGTCTATTAAACAAATTAAACGAAAATGTAAAGCATTCAGCATCTGTCCTTTTCATTTAGTTTATATTTCGAATGTAGGACTTTCGTTTACGTTTAACCCCTTAAGGACACATGACATGTGTGACATGTCATGATTCCCTTTTATTCCAGAAGTTTGGTCCTTAAGGGGTTAAGTAAACGAATACGAAAAAACCCACTTTTTCAGATGAAATCGTATTCGTACGAAAACGAATGCACATGTCTAACAATTATGCACAATTGGAGGGGTGGGAGAACTTTTGGCATGACATGTTAGCTTTTCACAGATGGTATGCATTGGTTTCTCAAACCTGAGGTGTGGAGCTTGGTATCCAAAATGCCTAAAATTGAGCAGAGTTACTGAATTTTCTAAGTGATGGGGTATGTGGCATGCACTCAATACGATACTGTTATTGTCAAGTATATTTGATATCTATATGTGATGTTGTACGGACCCCAAGTGACAAACTGTTCCACCAGCAACATTTGCCCATGGATGCTTTTTTGTTTTTCTATTGTAATTTCCTTTCTTTTTATTTAAGTACCATGTATCCCCTCCTTGCCTGTTTACTTTCTCTAAACCCCCCACCCATTTTACATTTTATTTTACTTTATTTTTTTAGATAAACTACTATTTGGTAAAAAAATAAATAAAAAGTACATGACAAATGTAAAGTGAAAAATAACATGACAGAGGAATAGACATTGTCTATGGGATTACAGATTAAAGAACAACATAACACATTCATCAAATATTGAAATAAACTGTGATATCAAGAATATGTATCCATACACATTGAAGATTTATATCTACTATAAGGTACATGTCTAATTAAAACATTTGCTAATCTACAGAACGCCCCTCAAATTGTTGTGTGAAAACATGAAGAGACAGATTGTCTCCCGAGCTTTCTATGGATGTAAGTATATTGCCTTTATGCAAATATACAATAAAGGTTAAGAAGTTTTTCCAAAAACATATAATATATATACATTTTTTAAATGTACTTATTTATTTTTACATGTTCTTCTTTAGTAGAGATTATTATAATTGAAAATCATTAAATAATCTACCAGTCTTTGCAAGGTAGAGGTGGGCATTTTGAGATTCCATCACAATGTCCCTTAGTGTCAGTTTGACAAATTTTCATTTTGTTAATAGGGCTGGCCTACTGCCGCCATCTCTCCACTGTCCGAACTCACCTGTCTGCCCTGGTCCATCACTCAATTATTCCACCTGACAAACCGGTGGATGCAACAGGAGGTTTGACCAAAGAAGTGTGGAGCAAGTATCAAAAGGACATGAAGGTAAAACAAGAGTCCTACAAATCTTTTATGGCACTTTTATTTTATTTTATTAATGGTGCTGCTATCAATATCCCAAAATATCTGAAAGACTCAAATTCGAAGCTTAAATGTTTAAAAATAAATTCCTCTTCATGATTCCATAATAATGAGTTTCAGTCTACCAGTCCCAATCCCTGACATTCTCTGATTGGGTTGGGAACTGCTCACATAAATAAGGATGTGGTGGTGATAGCAGCATTCTGAAAGTCCTGTGTTTGTTACCCATGTGCAGAACTACAAGGAGCTGGAGTTGCTGAGGTTGGTGTATTACGGAGGCGTGGAACATGACATCCGAAAAGAAGTTTGGCCTTTTCTTCTTGGACATTACAAATTTGGAATGACCAAAAAAGAGATGGATCGGGTTAGTTGATTTAGTAATGATGTTTTCTATGCTGTCACTTTGTTTGGTATTGAATTTTTAGCACATTCATCTTTGTAGGTAAAAACATGTTCCCTCTGACCTCAGACCAGACAAAAACGTTAGTGGCCATGAGCTGTAAACAGCCATCTTTTAAAGCAGTGATAACTCAATTTGTGTGTGCTGAATTAGTTTGGAACTAGTTTGGTTGTTAAACCTATACTCTATACAAATTTCTTTGTGAATAATGGCTTGGTAGCCCTGCTTTGTGTTACAAAAATTGTTTAATTACATATTTATATTTCATAACAATATTTTATTACATTTCCAAGCATGAACTGCAATAAGACAAATGTAGGGAACAAGGAATATAAACAATATAGCTTATATATAGGAGACAAAATCAAACATGATCTAAGTAGAAATAATGGCATGAAAGAGAATATAAAGATAGGAGAAAGAAGTTCATGCCGGGCAGGTGTGTGCCGAAATGAAGTTCTGGAGAGGGGGATTTTGCAATCATCAATCAGATGCAATCTGGGATAGAGGGCAGTCAATATTTGTTAAACTGTATATTTAAAATAGTGGATTATCAAGGGATTTAGACCAGGGCATTGTTGTATTCACTGAATGAAAAAGTGGCTTATGTACAGTTTCACTTAGTCTAGCCCACTATTTCTTGTGCCATCTTTCTAAAGCTGTTAAATCATAGAAAACACATAGTTCTGACCAGTCCGCGCATCAAAATAAAATGTATCACTAGCAAGACTTCCAATAAGCAGTACTGGTTTCTTACCTAAGGTCCCATTATTTATGGACTACATGATAATGATATTATCCATGTCCAGTTATGCCTAAGGCATTATGCGGGTTTCTTAATACATTCAATTTAAAGGATCACTATAGTGTCAGGAAAACAAACCCCTTTTCCTGACACTATAGCATCCTTAGGACCCCACCCTCAGGGCCCACCTCCCGCTGAGCTGAAGGGGTTAATACCCCTTCAGCCACTTACCTTAATCCAGCGCCGGGCTCCTTCGGCGCTGGAGACCTCTCCTCCCCCGCCGACGTCAGCTCCCGAGTGAAGCGGAATGCGCATGCGCGGCAAGAGACGCATTCGAATTGAAAGAGTCCATAGGAAAGCATTTCTCAATGCTTTCCTATGGACGTTCTGCACGCTGAATGCGAATTTCGCATCCAGCGTCGCAGAAGTGCCTCTAGCTGCTGTCATGAAGACAGCCACTAGAGGTTGGACTAACCCTGCAATGTAAACATAGCAGTTTCTCTGAAACTGCTATGTTTACATCTGAAGGGTTAAAACCTGGGGGACCTGGCACCCAGAACACTTTATTGAGCTGAAGTGGTCTGGGTGACTATAGTGTCCCTTTACTAAAATGAAATCAAAATACAGAAGCAAACCAATTAAAAACTCTGATATAGTACAGAAAATATGTTATACAGCTGTATACCTAGAATAAAAAGTAACAAAATAATAGTGCAACACTGTATAATAATGTTAACAGTGCCCCCACTTAATGTAGAACCCACAGACTCCACATGATATAGTGCCTTAAAGTTGCCTTCCCTTTCAAGGGAGGTTTGGATCCTCTATCGTCTTGTAGCTCTCCGGATCAAAATTAGGAATCGGGTAGGTAAATAAAAAAACTGATTTATTTGATATAAGAAATTCAATTGATAAAAATGTATAAAAGCAGTAGTAGATCACCGGTCCTACGCGTTTCGTTTCGTTAGAATCTTCCTCAAGGACCAATTTCCATACAATTATAATGATAAAACATCATCAGTAACAATAAATCACCCTACTCATCCTCTAACCCCATATTCTTAAAAAGGGCTGTTCCTGACTTCCTCCAGTGTGTTTGGGGGAGTTCCCATCCATTCCGCCAGTCGGTTCCTTTGATTCCTCCTCCTCACAGCTGGTTCGGTTTTCCAATTGCCACTGTGTGTTCTTCATTGTTGTAAATTAATATCCGGCTTGCGTACCAATGCCTCCTTCCGTGCGTTCCAATTTCAAATCAAACTTTATTGTTCATGTTCTTCACGAGTATACAAAAAATCACGTAATTACTTTCAACTCTTTAATCTAGTGAAAAAACAAAGTTGCAATCATCTTCATATATTTATTTTAGATAGTATCTTTTCTTATATATTTAGGTAAATCAAAGTGTCAATCAAAGTACCGTGAATGTAAACCCATAACCCATCACACACTTATACTATATTGATAGTTATATAAATTGCCCCATTTGCCAAAATTACTGTCAATCACATATTCCTAGAAATGAGAGTATGTGTGCTGGTGTGTCACTAGTACTGTCAATCTCAGAAAATATATATATTGAAAATATATATATAATAAAAAACACAAAAATCTAAAAATATATATAAAAATGTAATTAAAAATTATAATATGAAATATATAAAAATACATTACAAAAAGTACAATTATAAAAATACAAAAATTCTGAAAAATTATAAAGTGTATTTTAACTTGTCCAGTGTACACACATCCATCTCCTATAACGTTCACAGAAAACAAACCAAATCAATTTCTACATTTAAGCCAATTGGCTCAAGTGTCTGCAATTTCTGGATCCAAAAGGTCTCACGTTGGGACAAAGATCTCGGTCTGTCTCCTCCTCTCCAATGGGGATCGATCTTTTAAATTCCTATACACACCAATTCCTTCAGATCAAACATTGTACAGGATTTGCAGTGTACTGGAACCGAATGGGACACAAGACCCTTTCTAATATTATTGGCGTGCTCCAGTATTCTAACGTTAAAGTATCGCTTGGTACATCCCACATATTGCTTGCTGCACGGATACTGCAGTAGATACACCACATAGTATGTGTGGTAATCAATCTGTGGAAGGAAAACGTCTCTCCTGTTGTGGTACTTTTAAATGTTGTTGTGTTTAGCAATTTCATGGTGCGTCAAGCTTTACAGCTCCCACAACCTTTGAAAACTGTTTCTCCAGGATCTTTTCATTGTCTAGTGGCTTTTATACCTTTTACATAGCTGGGAGCCAAAGGTTTTTTTAAATTGCAATTTTTTTTAAAGATTACTGTGGGATTTTGCGGTAAAATCGTACTTAACACAGGGTCCTGTAAGAGGATTGGCCAATGTTTAGCCAAGCCCCTTTTAATTTTCCAATTGTCCTTGTTATATCTAGTGATAAAACTCCTTTGAAACTTGGTATTTTGAATCTTATCTAGTCTATCCATAAGAAATGAGTTCCTTTATTTATTTCTAGCTAATTTCATTTCTTTTTCTATGGAGTTCCTCTTATAACCCTTTTGTAGTAACTTTTCCTTAACGTGGTTAGCCTGCAATTTATAGTCCCGGGTGTCAGAACCATTCTGTCTCACTCGAGTGAATTGACTTCTAGCTATTCCTCTAAGCCACGGCTGGTGATGACAACTTTTATGATAACCGTAACTGTTGCCATCAGTTGGCTTGAAGAAGCAACGTGATCTCACGTTCTTATCCTCATTAAACAAAGTCACATCTAAAAAGTGAATGGTTGTATTACTCCACTCTGGGGAGTAATTATAAATTAAATGGATTCTGATTTAGCTATTGTACAAATTAATCAAATGCCCCCCCCCCCCCAGATGATCAGAATGTCATCTATGAAACGCCGCCATAGCACCAGGCTTGCCCTCCAGTCATGGTCCGACCACACCCAAAGGTCCTCCCATTTCCTCATATATAAGTTGGCATAACTTGGGGGCAAACCTGGTGCCCATGGTGGTCCCTGTAACCTGCATCAAAAAAGAAATAATTATGCTTCAGTATAAACATAACTGAAGTTAAAATGAAATCCCTTATCCTTGGTTCTAAATTCCTATCTTCCTTTAAGAAGCATGTGATACCATCCAATCCCAGCTCATGGCTGATTATCTTATATAAAGATGTATCATCTAGGGTTGCCCAACTGTAGTTCTCCTCCCATTCTATATTTTCTAATTCCTGAAGGATAAATTTGGTGTCCTTTATATACGATTTGGATTTCTGGGCAAATTGATACAAATATGAATCCACAAAAGCTGAGAGGTTTGCCGTTATTGAATTTATCCAACTTATAATGGGCTGTCCAGGAGGAAAACATAAGCATTCATTTAACTTGGGCAAAAACAAAAAAAATTGTGTAACTGGGCTTCTTTGATATTGGAAATCAAAATTGTTTTGTGTAATTATATTTTCGTCTCTAGCTTTCACCAAAAGTAGTTTTAATTCTAGATTAAATTCCTGGGTGGGGTCTTTTTTAAAGATTTTATACATTTTAGTATCACTAAGAATATTCTCTGAATCTAGTAATTTTCCCTAGATAGAACCACTAGCCCCATCCCCCCACCCTTATCGGCATTTCTAATTATTATATCTTCTCTTTTAGTCAAATTGTTAAGCAAATATTCTCTTCCTTACTCAGATTTTTGATGAACAATTTTTCCTTTCCTTATGTTTTTGTAAATCTTTATTTTATTGTGCAAATGATAAACAAAGCAAGTTTGCCACGCCACGACAGCGGAACAAACCAAGTAATAACATATAGGTTATGACAATGTCATGACATTCAGAGTACTTGCACATTTTCTGTTTTAAAAGTAGATTATAACATGCTAGTCAGGTATGTCTAGGTTGAATGAACATGGAACAGTTAGCTGTCTTTTGAGAAGGTCTAGAAAGATGAGATAAAAATCAAAATGTATACATGAAAACAGGAGAAGCTAAAACATGCTGAAGAAGCCTAGCGTTATCAATTTCTTGTGGTCTAAAAGAGAGTGTATGCATGCTGCAGAAAAGTTAGGCGTGTTAGAGTGAGAAGCTTCTCTATGCTTAAGACATGTTAGAAAAATAAAATAAAAGTAAACAAGCTTAATCTTGTAGCCAGTGCCAAATAAGGAAATACCACTGGGTTTATATGCAGTGTCATAGTATGCCAGCATTTAAAGCATAATATCTAACTTGTATAGCTGCAATATGTCAGGCTAACATCAGATAGACCACTATACGAGTATGTTAGCCATTGCCTAACGGTGGAAAATCCCAGCTGCCCTTATTGTCTGCCCTCAGAAATAAGCTCCCCCACGGTGCCACATGCGAATATTCAGCCTATGCCCAAAACCAGAAAGCATAGGGTAGGCAAGCATAGAGTCTGGAGGCTCACAGTAGCCACGAAAGAGTCCTGTAGGGAGTCTATGCAGCCAAGTAGGTGCAGGTGGTGGTCGTCAAGTTCACGCCAGGACACAGCACTCTTCAGGCCCCAGGCCTTTTTGAGGGCCTGCATCTGAATTCCACAGGCTCTGGTCTTCTCGGGGACGATGTCCTTCTCCTAAACTGGGGTATGTGGGAGACCTATATGTTGTAAGCCGCCGGAGGCATGTGATCCTCCGCACGTGTGGGCGATGCTGTAAGGCTGTGCCTTGTGTGGCTCTCGACCAAGAAGCAAGCGGCAGTGTTGGGAGGCTTGGTAATGGCAGGAATCCCTTGTGGGAACTTGATATGCCTCATTGGCTCACTTTCCTCGGCACCCCCTGGTGCCGTGGCAATCCGGTTCGGTGATGTGCCTGAATCCTCGCCCAGAAGGACTGGAAGATTGCATGAAGTTGGAGCAGGATACTTACTGTATAGCTAGAGAGAGGCACCTGAGGTGAGCTCATGCTTTGTCCGGCTCGTGAAAGGGGCGGCGCCATCTTTGGTGCAGGTGCCTGCGGTGTGCTGCAAGGAAGTGCAGGCTGAGGAGGCAAACACACCGCCCAGTGGGGACCGGGATTACCCTCGCCGGTCCAGAGGGGGGGTTAGGAGTGCAGCTCAGACTAGTTACCAGGTAGGAGTCCACAAAGACCTGCTGGATCTCCCCAGCTCTCTCCATTGTAGGCCTGCAGTAGGGCATCTCTGGCCTCCAACAACATGCCATCTTGAGTAAGGTATCAATGTGCGCAGGAGTAGACACCCGACTTGTGAGGTAGCTAATGTGGAGTATAGCTGCTCAATTTCTGGGGTAAACGGCCCCAAATCAGCCCAGGATTCAGGAACCCAGGCACCACACGTCTGCTTTGCTATGTGGCTAGACTACGCCCCCCTTCCTTTCCTTATTTTACTCAATTGTCCATCTACCAATTTCTCAAAAACTTCCAAAAAGAGGACCTTTTTCTTCACATTTCATACCTCTCTTTCATACCTGTCTCCAAGATAGACATTTCCATATTGGATAGAGTTAAACCAGATAGATTAAAGATGCCTTTGGTAAAATCTGCTCTCTTTCTGGATGTTTGTTGCATCTTCCTCGACCCTCATTCTCTTTATTGTTACTGTTTTGATGTTCTCTTCCCTCTTTCCTTGTCTGAAAGTAGTTGGTAATCGTTGTCCCTTTTTGGTTTTGTCCCTTTTCTAAAAACTCACATTTTCTTCCCTTCTCCTCCTATCTGGATTGGGAATATTCTCTACGGCTTGTGCATATGATTTTTTCCTTATTGCCCCTCTTGATGGGCTAATATCTCCCCTTCTTGGGGTGATTCTCTCTTGATAGTTTTTATCCTGTAATTGGTGTTGAGGTCTGGAGTTAAACGATTTATGAGGTGAATGTTTTGGGGGAGATTTTTTTTCTGACGGTTCCCTTCTCCGTCTATCTTTATTTCTATTTAGGGGGGTTCCCTGATCTAACCTTTTCCGGTCATGCATATGATATCCCTGTTTTTTTACTTACTCTTTTGTTTTGTATAGAAAAGGTGTTAAACATTTTGCCCCCCTTATCTCTTTTATATTTTCTGCTTTTTGTTTCTGCAATTTTTTCATCCAGATTTTTTATCTTATTGTACATTTATTCCTCTTTATATTCATCTCCCTCTTTATCAAAGGAATTGGTGAACTCCGGTTGTTCTAAATCTTGTTCTATTTTTTCTCTCTTTTCTGTAGAATATTCAATTATTAAATTAATTAATTGGGTTGAACAATTAAGCAGAAATTCTTCCCAGTTTTGTAGAAAGATCTAATTTTCCAGACCATATAATGGTAATTTCTCGATTCTTAGTCCCCTCAGGATTAAACTATCCTTTATATAGTTTTGAAGGAAAGACCTACCACCACTTTTTCGTTTTACTACTCAACAATTTCTCTTTTGTTTTAAAATATTCATCTAACCATTGTAGTGATTGGGGTTTTTCCCAATCTTGAAATTATGCCTCAAAATTTGTTTGCGTGCCCTTTGTATGTTTGTTAAATAATTAGGGCTACTCGCTGTGACAAACTCCCTTTTTTCTGTGAGTTTGCCACGAGTTTTTGGAGCCCTGCAATATACCTTGGCCAATTAACTTTAAAAGGCTCCATTCATGTAATGTAAGTACTTTTGTACTCCACAAAGAGAGACCGACCGCTGGCCCTAATTCTCTAGAACTGTTTTGGGCATGAAATCATGCGTGGGGTCGGTCAAAAGAGACTTCCAGGAACTTCCTGAACCCCTGATCTGATCTGGGTGATTTTTGGATATGTTGCACACCCAGATCAGGGCTACCTGGGGATGTAATATTTATGGGGATATGTTCTGTTTTGGGGTGTTTTCTGTACTTTGGGGAAAATTTGTGTTTTTCTGCCTGTGGATAATTAGGTTATTCTATTAGCCACTTTAATTATATCCCAGGCAGAGGGGAGGATTGTTTGCTGTACATGGGAGTTTCACATACTGTATGGTTGTTCTTATTGGTCTGTACATTTGAGAATGCGGTGTTCCATCAAGTCTAGGGGTGTGCCTCTGGCCTGAGGAATTGTATATAAGCAAACCTGTATCAAGAAAGCCTTAGACTTGTTCTACCCTTCATGAAGTTTCGGCTCATGTTTGGGGGATTGGAGAACTACCTACACTCTGGGGATTGCTATAATCACTATACTCCCCAGAGTATAATCACTGAGCTCTTGTAAGAGCTGTTCCTGTTCCTGCTGTCTGGACGAAGAGAGGTCTAGCTAATGGAAGCTGGATCCTGGTCTTGGGTCCAGAGTGGGTGGAAGACGGCGAGACCCCAACCAAGCTGCGGCGGTTCGTGGGGTCTGCTGTGGTTATGGTGTCTAGTGGAGCCCTCGGAAAGCACTAGCCATAATGTAATTCAATATCAAAGGAATCTCTAAATACAATTCACGAGGCTATAAATTCAGGGAATAAACAACATAAAATAACAAACTATCCACTACACACCAAAAGTGCAATATATGGAAAAAAGCTTAGCTTAGCTTATATATACAGCTTCTCAAGGTCCCTTCCCTGGTGGTAACCTCACATAATGTTATTTTCAATTAAAAACTCTGCAAGAAGCTTACAATCTAAAGAGTTAATTTGTGTTAGTTATTTTTGGAGTTCTCACAATAATCACCTTCATTTCAAAGCAAATGTTTTTGACACTATGGAGATATTTAGCTTAGTCAGTATTCCCTTCCACTCTATTCTATATAAAATAAAGAACTCTAACCCTCTAAAAAAACGTTACCAGCTTACTATTGTATCCCCAGCTTTTGTTTTAAAGTAACAGAGGTTTTTAGTACTGTCACAATGCAATTATAAGGTAAGCTCACCTAAGTTGGTAATGAGTGGGCTTTCCTGTGAAACCCTACAAGCTAGTTAACCCTAATTAGTCAGCAGCTTAGCAAGGCTATGTAAAACCAATCCAGTTATACCATATATCAAGCACCCTCTATACTTAGGCTGGAGGATTGGAGGATTACTTAGGCTGAAGGATTGGCTATACATAATAATAATAATTTTTTTTCACCAGGTTGACGAGGCAATTGCTTCCAGATACCAGAAGGTCATGGCGGAGTGGAAAGCCTGTGAGGTGATAGTGAAACAGAGAGAAAAGGAGTCACACTCTGCTATATATGCTAAGCTCTCCTCTGGCAGTAGCATTGACAGCCATGTGCAGCGTTTGATACACCGGGACTCTACCATAAGTAACGATGTAAGAAAACTTGCTGCTTCACAGTAGACATCCAAAAAAACATGTCCAACAGTTCCAACTAACTCTTCTAGAGCTCTAAGTCCTAATGTCTGCTGCTTGTCTTAAATGTTCTAATAGTTCAATGTTTATCTCGGTATTTCAAATTGGGTATTGAATACACATAAAGCAATTCGTCTTTGTAAGTACTAGGTGCATTTACTTAAAGGTCAACTCAAAACAATTTTTAATATAATAATCCTTTCATTAAGTTTTGAAAGTAAGTTGAATAATGTATATGTAAAACAAAATTAGAAAAATGCAACCCTGCCTTTAGTATGACAGGACCCTTCAGCCACATACATGTACCTTGGGTCAAGCCAAACAGTGCTTGAAAGCTAACAATTAGTCTCTAATTGGTCTTCAGGGCCGGGCTGGGAAAAAAATTCGGCCCGGCATTTGTTAATCACTGCGGCCCACTAAGAAGGGGGCAGATCAGAGAGGGTGTGCTTTGTCATCACCAATGAGAAAAAGGCCCTGTATTTGTACTACAGAGTGCAAGCTAATTTAATAACATGCTTGCGCTGTGTTTCCTTTTAACTTGTCTCTGGTGTGTCTATAAATGGGATACCTGAAGACAAAAGGGACAGGAAAGAATATTGTGCATGTTTTGAGCCTGCTTGTGGGATTGCGTGTGTGTAGTGAGCTCATTGTGGTGTGGTATTGTGTAGTAATGTCAGTTTTAGTCGTGTTGAATTGTGGTGTAATGTAATGCATGTGTGGCTAGGGACTGTAGAGCGTGTGTATATAGGGGATGTAGCAAGTTTGTGCATATGGCTATAGTGTGTGTATGTGTGTATAGGTGATGTAGTGTTTGTAGGGGTTGTAGAGTGTGTGTTTAGGGAATGTAGTATGTATTTGCTTACAAGGAATCTAGTGTGTGTGTGTATAGAGGATCCAGAGTGTATATGTAAGGAATGTAGTGTGTGTAGGTGGTGCTGTGTGTGTGTATGTATAGGGGTCTAGTGTGTTTTTGAAGGACCCAGAATGTGTATAGGAGATCTAGTGAGTGTGTGTATATAGCGTATTCAGAGTGTATATGGGGATCTAGTGTGTGTAGATGATCCAGAGTTGGGTAAGGGATCTAGTGTGTGTCTGGAATGGAATGTGTTTAGGGGTGCAGTATGTGTGTGAGGTGTGCAGTATGTGTGTGAGGGGTGCTATAGTATGTGTGTGTCTGTGTGTGTGTGTGGTGCAGTGTGTCTGGGGGGTTCTGTGTGTATGTGTGAGGGGTGCCATGTGTGTGAGTGAAGGGTGCATTGGGGTGTGTGCGAAGGATGCAGTGGGTGTGTGTGAGGGGTTTAGTGTGTATGTGAGGGGTGCAGTATGTGTGTGTGTGGGGGGGGCGGGGGGTGCAGTGTGTATGAGTGTGTAATGTGTGTGTGTGTGTGTGTGTGTGTGAGGATAATGTGTGTGTGAAAGGGAGCTGCGTATGTGTGTGTGACAGGGAGCTGTGTGTGTGTGAGAGTACTGTGTGGGAGGGTGATGTGTGTGTGGGTAATATGGTGAGAGAGTGCTGTGTGTGATAGTGCTGTGTGTGAGGGTGATGTGTGTGAGGGTGATGTGTGTGAGAGTGCTGTGTGTGTGAGAGGGAGCTGTGTGTGTGTGATGTTGATGTGTGTGTGAGGGTAATGTGTGTGAGGGTGATGTGTGGGTGTGAGGGTAATGTGGGTGTGTGGGTGATGTGTGTGAGGGTGATGTGTGTGAGGGTGATGTCTGTGAGGATGATGTGTGTGAGAGTGCTGTCTGTGAGGGTGATGTGCGTGTGTATATGTTAGGAAGGATTGTGTGTTGGGAGGAAAAAAAACAACAAAAAACAGGAATTATATCGCTTCTTATCTTTAGCCTGGGAGGGGGGGTCCATGCTGCCATCCCTGGTGGTGCTAGTGGTGAGTGAACTCTAACCTGTGGAAAACATTGTATACTTTTAATGCTCTGGGTGACATCTACCTCTATGTCTAATTATTATATATCACTACTAAGACTCTTGTAGACTAGTCACTTTTTAGTTTTGTAATTTAGCCATTTTCATTTTTAAAACTGTACAAATGTGTTTATTATATCTCACCTAAGATTATACCTGTTTTTTGTTGTGCTGTCCTTGAAGACCAGATAGTTTTCTAGGAAGGGATTTTTGGTTTTCTGTTTTACATACCTTCCACCTGTTATATTCAGAATTTAATTTTGTGACATTTACATTTAATTGAACACTTAACATGTTTCAAAGCCAATTTGTTTGGTAATTTCCTCATTCTAGTGGAGATATCAGCTTTTTACCATCTGCTCAAAAGACATTTTACTAGCATAGCATGATAGTGATTCATAGTCCTCTATAAATCTGTAAAGTTCAGGGTATGGAATGCCGTAATGCATATAACCTTTTAGTCTTTTATCCTACTAATTAGTTATTGGCATACACAGTTATAATGCCATGTTCTAGCTGATCAAGGATCACAAAAAAAGGGTGGAGACTATTAGTTTATGTCATCATGTTCCGTGTACTTCTTGTACTTGTTCTCATACTGCAAACTGTTTATATGTGAATGCCAGGTCTTCATGTCCACAGAAGAACTTGATGTATCAGAGAGAGACTTGAAAGGACGAAATGATAAATCATCCACTCTGGCAAATACTGGTGCTACTGTTGTAGTAGCACCTGCAGAACCACAGCAATCTGTGGAATTTGACTCTCCAGATTCTGGTCTTCCTTCTTCTCGTAATTACTCGGTGACCTCCGGAATCCTTTCCAGTATTGATGATGGGCAGAGCATATGCTTTGAGGAGGAAGAGTCAAGCACAGAGTCTGATAGGACTGAAATGAGTGTTTCCCATCCACGTAAAAGTAAAGGAATCCTCAAAATGCAGGACTCTATAAGTGAAGAGCATCTATGCTCACAGTTAGAATCCCTAAGTGCTGCAGATGACATCTCTTCCATGTGTCCCACATCTTATACGGTAAGAAATCTCTTTGGTATCAAACAATTTTATGGAAATGAAAGATGAAGATCATAAGAGAGCAAGTAGCAAATACCTTAAAGATTGCCAGAAAGCAAGCTGCGCATATTTTGCTGATGCAAGGAGTGTGTGAAGAAAGACCGACAGATTTCATATTGATTATAAACTTTGTGCAGAAACATCATCTGTGTGACAGTTCTCTATGTACAAAACAAAACAAGAAAGGGATTAGATAAAAATGAATACAAGCAATGTATGAGCTAATATAATACTTTTAGGTAATATTCAGTATTTGATTGATACATACATACACATAATAAAAAAGTACAAAAAAGCAATACAAACCAGCTTTCTCTATTTTACAAAGAGTATGCAAGTGTCACGGGTCTGGTCGAGAAAGGGTGCTGACCAGAGCAGCAACCTCTGTAGGGTGGAACCTAGAATGCAAAGAAACCAGCAAACACACAAATCAAGGCAAAAACAAGTCTATCATTATTTACAAGGAACACAAAGAATCAAATACAAGCACATATAGCTCAATGAAAGAGAAGGTAGCAGTCTGGATACAGTGAGCAAGGAACTCAGGAAGGCAGCTAGCTCAGGAACTCAGGAAGGCAGCTAGCTCAGGAACTCAGGGAAGCAGCTTGCTAAGAAACTCCGGAAGGCAGCTAACTCAAAAACTCAGGAAGGCATCATGCTCAGGAACTCAGGTAGCAGCTAATCTAGGAACTCAGAAAGGCAGCATGCTCAGGAACTCAGGAAGGCAGCTAGCCTTGGAACTCAGGAAGGCAGCTATCCAAGGAACTCAGGAAGGCAGCTATGCCAGGAACTCAGGAAGGCAGCTAGCTCAGGAACTCAGGAAGGCAGCTAGCTCAGGAATTTAGGAAGGTTGTAAACTCAGAAACTCAGGAAGGCAGCATGCTCAGGAACTCAGGAAGGCAGCTAGCCTAGTAACTCAGGAAGGCAGCTATTCAAGGAACTCAGGAATACAGCTATCCCAGGAACTCTGGGAGCAGCTAGTCTAGGAACTCAGGAAGGCAGCATGCTCAGAAAGTCAGGGAACAGTTTGCTCAGGAATTCAGGAAGGCAGCATGCTCAGGAAGGCAGCTATCCCAGGAACTCGGGAAGCAGCTAGTCTAGGAACTTTGGAAGGCAGCATGCTCAGAAACTCAGGGAACAGTTTGCTCAGGAATTCAGCAAGACAACTTCCCCAGGAACTCAGGAAGCCGCTAACCCAGGAACTCAGACTGTTACTTAGGACAAAAGGACCAGACCAAAAATACCTGGTAAATAAGAAGGAGTGAGACTCAAATAAATAGGGAGGCTATGATTGCAAAGTAAGGTCAGCAGGTAACAAAGAAAGATCTCAGTCTGGCTACAACAGCCTGCAACAGCACCTCAGAAAGGTAGTGGCACTGTGAGGTACTGCACCAGAATGAGAGTTAACAGAATCATGACAGTATGTGTTCCCTGTAAGGTCTTCAATGCTACCTGCCTGTCTGTCTGTCTGTCACAATAGTACAATCATAAAGTATCATTCTTTTTTTTTCTTTGTCAGATAGAATTAATGGATACTATTGCCTTAAATTTGCATCGCATTGATAAAGATGTCCAGAGGTGTGATCGGAATTACTGGTATTTCACATCTGATAATTTAGAAAAGCTCCGTAACATCATGTGCAGGTGGGTAAGGCAGTGTCTTGAGAGCATAACAAGTACTACATCTGGTACCAAGCTTATTCAGTGTCAACATTTTCTGAAATTAGATCTAATGTTCATCAGAAATGTTCTTTTTGAGTGGAGCCCAATTAATCTAATACCTTTAAAAAAATGTCTATTTACCATTAGGTGTCTTTGTTCTTCTTAAATCTTATTTTCTTCAGTCCCAAAACAAGGCCAAAAAATCCATTAAATCCCAATGTAATTTTTAAAATAAAAAATGGACTGGCTCGCAAGACAGGAACAAAACACGTCACCAAATATATTAATCCAAGTTGGACGATCTAGGGTTCCATGCAGACTGAGCTTGCGTAGCTCATAAGGGCTTTCCCACGCTGTGCAATTTCAGTCAAAGCGCTGTGACAGGCAAATCTCACTTATCTTGAGACTTGAGTAGGAGAATTTTTAGCACACTTGTGACATAGTGGCAGTTTTATTGTTCCAAGTCACTAGTGAATACAGAAACAAGAATAAGAAAAAAGTTACATGTGCACTATCCCAATAACTGAAGGTTTTTTAGTATCTCTCCAATGGCCATTCAAGTGTAAGCTCATCTGCCACGTCAAGGCAAACCTCCTAGGTGAGTCCTACACTAACAATTCACCTTACTGCTTTCAGCAAAATAACCTACACGATTTCTAAGCATTAATATGGAACACATGGGGCAGGCGGAAGCACTGTAACATAGCTTTGTAATACAAAGGCAAATACAAACATACAAAATTAAGCCCTACGCTCAAACTCCCACTACTCCTGGGCAGCAGTAATGACTAAAGCATACATCAGCCCCAATAAATACAGTAAAAACACATGAAAAAAGTTTCCTATGCGCTGTCATAAATCCCTATGCACATCTAAATGACAGAAGTTTTAGTATCACTCCAATGAATATTCAAGTGTAAGCTCACCTGCCACGTCAAGGCAAAACCTCTCAGGTGAGTCCTACACTAATAATTCACAATGCTGCTTTCAGCTTAAAGGCAAAATTTGAAACAGAAAGGGGTAATTTTTTAAACCCCAACACACTTATTAACAGCAAGTGCATAGAGCAAGATTAGTGTTTGGCTTCTTCTTGCACATTGTATTTCAGCCAAGTGCATCCTCGTTGTTCTTTGTGCAAAAACTTGTTGCTGTGGTAATGTTCAAATAAAGACAGCCTGTATGTTTCTGCTAAATGAACAAGTGGTCTTTTTTTAGGGCTAAAAATGTCCTCTTGCCATTAGCTATTAACAAGTGAAACTTTAGCCCTGGCAAGTGGAAATTCACCCTTTGAGAGTATGACTTGCAGTGGCAAGTAAATTTTAAGGCCTGGCTAGTAACATAGGACTACAAATCATAAGCCCTGTATGAGAGGCACATCTTATAATAATGCGTTTTTATTTACAGCTACGTGTGGGAACACCTTGATGTCGGATATGTACAAGGAATGTGTGACCTTTTGGCACCACTGATGGTTGTCCTGGATAATGGTAAGGAAATGTGTACAAACAGCTAAAAAGAAAACTTTGGAATATTCCTATTATATAGTTCAGAGGTCAGCAACCTGTGGCATGTGTGCCATACATGAACCCAGTGAGACCAGGAATCATGCAGCACTTGCTAGTGCCAAACAAGCAGTCAGCATTACCGGTGATTGCGACATGCTGTGCCGGTCAGAGCTGGGAGGAAGTGAAGTTAGAGCATTTATTCCCAGCGGTCTTAAAAAAGAATCTGTGTGGGATAAGAGCAATATACACATGGAAATTTTAAAATAAAATCAGACCGGCACTCCAAGAGACTTCAAAGTCTTGTTTTAACACACTGTCTTGTTAAAAAGGTTGCCTACCCCTGATATAGTGTGTATATTGGCTATATACATGATCCATTGTTACTTATCAGGCTGATGGGAAAGTATGTAGGCTGTATTTTATAAATAAATAAACCCATGTTTCACTATATGTGCGCATATTTGTGTGCAATGAGTGTGAGTGCATCATGTCTGCATCAATGTGTTCAGCAAGCACACATCTATGCATATATGAATACAAATAAACATCCAAACATACTGACATCTTAACATAGTTCACCTCAAACATGCACCTGGAATGAAATGTAAAGCAAGGTGGTACTCTGAGCAGGTGGCAGAGGATTAACCGTGCATGCACCATATACCACCTGCAATGGAATCTTGGGCCTAACCACATCTAAAATACACTATTGAACAACCCTTTGTAATATGTAAAGACTGTGCTTTATAAACTAGAAGACTAGACCCAATCAGCTCTATTCCTAGAGCTGATATATACCATTCCATATATATCGTGAATATATCATTCCATTTATCAAGCTTGCCCGTTTTCGGGACCATTGTACCACAATCATACCTAATTCAAATAAGCGTATTATAAAGGTTGCAAGTTATTATCACCTTTTGAAAGCATGCCACAGGTTACACAAGAGTGAAGGTGTATGTATCTATATATATATATATATTTTTTTTTTTTTTAAAGAACGGGTGGTGTGCACTCACAGACCTTGAAAATGTAGTATGTATTTCCTCATAGTAGTACAATTTACAATAAATAAAGTGCAGAAGATGGTCAATGTTTCAGTCCCAGGGCAGGACTTTCCTTAGGACAGCATAGTCACAGCTAGTATGTCACTTCCCAAGCTCACTGAGTTGTCTTTTAAAAATAAGATTCTTGTCCCATTTAAATTGCGTAACTTGTACAAATTCTACAATATATCTAAAACCAAGCTTTTTCAAGGACACAGATAATAACTCTTGGATAATAGCCTGAGTACTGATTGTGGAAGCCTCCAAGCTAATGTGCAATAATGGATGAACTGCAATTGAGGGCTGAAAGTAGCTACATGAGCAAGAGGAATATGCAAGACAGAAATAAACATATTGCTTTTGAACTACTGTGGTAAATTCATTAGTGGCTTATCACAACATAGTAAACATCAGTGAGATGTATCAGCCCACAGCTATCAAAAGCCCAGGACTACCAGGCTACTACTTTAAACAGAAAGTTACTAACACATATGTGACTGGATCCTTGTGGCTGAGTAGAAAAGTGTAAAACTAAAACCCTGTTTCAGATATTAATGTGACTGCAGGTAGATATAACCAGTGCTATGTCAGTTTCTAATGATGTATTTTACCAATAGATTTTTTGGCATACAGTTGCTTCACACAACTCATGAAGAGAATGAGTCAAAACTTTCCAAATGGAGGTGCAATGGACACACACTTTGCAAACATGAGATCTCTGATCCAGGTACGTTTTCCTTTGGGTAAATCATTATAGAGGACTTATAGCAATACGTTGACCAGTATGTTGAGGAGAATCTGCATTTACCTCTGCTGCTTCTTTTAATAAACATGTATCTCATCTTCTCATCTCAGTTTATAACCGGAGCAAAAAGGCCTCTATGCAAACAATAAGCATGGCAAAATCAATATAATAGAAATGTATAAATATAATTAGTGGGAATGTTACAAGGCCCAATGGTGTTATGGTGATGTTTAAAAACAGTCAAGTGAAGTCACTCCGAGCAACATACAGACCAGCCTTGACTTAAACTATGCCCCATTACTTTCTCAATAAAGGAAGACACATTTGTATGATTAAATAAAACTACAGTTACGTCATTTCATCGTACATTAATTTCAGAGTTGCATGTCAGCAAAAGGAAGTTTATATAATATATTTTAAACACTTTGAGACCCAAAGAAGTTATTGAAACACTTAGAATGATGGAATATGAGATAACTTTGAGGTGGGTTACCCAGTACTGACATTGGTGTCGGGGTAAGATATTACTGGTGAACCTGAGACACTTTTAACAAGATGTAATCCATAAGAAATGTTTATTTGAGTGATCATTTTTAACTTGTATCATTAGTCTCACTGAATGTCGCTAATGCTCATTTATGGATTAAACTATAAATCGAAGACAAATCGTAACTTGGCTCCAATCTCACTGCATCAGTATCTAGTTATGTAGCTCAACCTCAGTTCAATATTTGCATTGATTCATGAACTCATCCAGGATGTACTCCAAAATAAGTGTCCTGCTCTGAAATAAATCACAAGCAAATTCCCTGCTTAGAAAGTAGAACATACATCACATTAATGCCAGTCACTGACTGGGACAATGTTTCTGCACCAACTTGCTTTTAATGAATAGCCAAATGGGAGATTTATCACCAACTATTATCATGACATGGGATTAAGTCTTACTGCAAATCAAATTTAATGCTTAGATCCCTTTATGCATTTTTATTATAGTAAAATGGTTTAGTAATAAATATTACTATGACATAGCTCTTTGAAAAAAAGCCAACACTAAAGCAGATTAAAGAGCCACATGACAATTGTTTTTTTTTTGTTTTTTGTTTTTTAAACACTGTCTTATTTAACCCATTCAAGATCATAATTTGCCTTATACTTTGTTCTGATATGTGGTTGACGTGGTGGAGGTAAATTAAAACCATGCTATATCAGGGGTGCTCAAAAAGTAGATCCCCAGATGTTTGAAAACTACATGGAAGTTGTAGTTTTACAACATCTGGGGATCTGCCTATTGGACACCCTTGTGCTATAGCGTTTGGGTTCTCCTAAGGGGTGACATCCAATAGGTACAGGTTGTGCTCTTTTTCAGTTGAAATTGTCAATGTTTTTTATATTTTAATTCATATTGTATTTCTGTCTGTCATGCCATGTAAATTAATACAATTGTTGTAATGTGGTACTTGTGGGGCACATGTGCTTATACTGCATATAATTTGTATTTTATGAAATTGTCAGTTATGTATGTTTAGTTGAGTATCTGAATCCATTTTTATTTAGAAATACTTCTACTGTACTGTTTTTAATTCTTCAGTGACATACAGGGTTGTTTGACATTTGGAAGCCTCTTTGTATCATCATCAGAACGTTTCAATCTTGTTTTATTTTTGCAGATTTTAGATTCTGAAATTTTTGAACTCATGCATCAGAATGGAGACTACACACATTTCTATTTCTGTTACCGATGGTTTCTGCTCGATTTCAAAAGAGGTACTTAAAATATCTACTGACAATCACTGGCAAGGCCTTTAAGTAACAACAAAAACCAATATATAATCCACCAGGGAGCTTTGTGACATACACTGATTGCAGCAATAAGGGGAGAGCTAGCAATAGTTGGACTAGGGTGACAAGTACAAATAAATAAAATCCGAGCCACAGGCACTTTTCTGGGCAGCCAGGAGGTAGGAGGAAGGAGAGCGAGGACCCGGCTCTATCTAGCAGCTCCACCAGGTCCTTCCTCTCGCGAGGTTGGAGCGTTGCCGCGGTTACCGTGGCAACGCTCCGGATCTCGCGAGAGTAAACTCACCACGAGACCACCAGCGCTTTTCCACCGGACCACTAGGGCTGCAATCTCCCCCCTTCCTGGGCAAAGATAAGAAGGGAGGGGGGGACATAACTGAAAAAGGATGTATTTAAAATAAACGTAGCTACTTATGTTCATTTTTAATACATGGTCTATTTATATATATATATAAAAAAAAAAAAAATATATATATATATATATATATACTTGCCTATATCTGCACCCTCACATACACACACTGCACTGCATCACACACACGCAGCACCACAGACAAACACACAGTTCACCCTTCACACACATGCTGCACCACACACACACACAGACACTGCACCACAGACACACACAGTGCACCCTTCACACACACACACTACGCCACACACACAGTGCACCCTTCACACACACACACTGCAACCCTCTCTCTCTCTCTCACACACACACACTGTACCACACACAAATACAGTGCATCTTTCATACACACTATACCCCACACACACACTGTACCCCTTACACACACACTGCACCACACACAAACACAGTGCATCCTTCACACACACTGCACCCTTCACATATACACACTGCAACCCCTTACACACACACTGCACCACAAACAGTAGTGCACCCTTCACACACAACATTGTAACAGAGACAGACACACACAGACACATACATACACACACACACACAGAGACAGACAGACACACACATACAGAGACACAGACACACACACACATACAAAGACACAGACACACACACATGCAGAGACACACACATACAGAGATACAGACACACACATACAGAGACACAGACACACACACATACAGAGACACAGAGATACATACAGACACACACACATACAGAGACAGACACAAATACAGAGACAGACACACATACAGAGACACACATACAGAGACACAGACACACACACATACATACAGAGACACGCACATACAGAGACACAGACACACACACATACAAAAACACACACACATGCAGAGACACAGACACACACAGAGACACACAGATACATACACACATACAGAGACAGACACACACATACAGAGACACACACACACAGACACAAACATACAGACACACAGATACATACAGAGACACAGACAGACACACACACACACACACACACATACAGAGACAGACACACACAAAACAGAGACACACACACACATACATACATACAGAGACACGCACACAAAATGTTTGCTGTTTCCTACCTTTTGTGACTTTCCCTGGGGTCCAGTGGGGGCTTAGCCTGATGGGAGTCAGAGTTCCCACTCTGAATCCCTCCTCCTTCCTGCTTCCTCCCGCGCGGGCCCTGATAGCTGGGAGGAGTGACCGGGATGTCATCACGGGGGCCCGGTCGCGCTGTTAAAGAGCCCAGCGCTAACCAGGCCCCCTGACAATCCATATCCATTGGGTGGCCCTGACAGCATGGGCCGCCCAATGGACCCCTTAACATGCAGCCCCGGCGGTTTGCCGTATGGGCCCGGGCTGCAAAACGTGGCAGCTGGTACCCGGTATGTACGCCTGTGATTGCACCCCTCACACAGTGCTCACCACACACACAGTACCCATCACACAAACACACAACACCCCTCACACACACACAACATGCCTTATACACACTACATTACTTACAAACACTACATCCCCTGTAAACACTCTGGATTCTCTACACACACACAAGAGATCCCCTATAGACACACACTGACCCACCTAAACACACTACATTTCTGACATACATACTCTGGAACCCTATGCACCCACAAGATGCTCTACACTCAAACAAACACACTACATTCCCTAAACACACATTCTTTACATATCATACACACACTACATCACCTACACACACACATATACTACAGTCCCTATGCACACACTCTCTCACTCACTTCAGTCCCTAGCCACACATATTACACAACAAACACATCACAACTGAAACCTACCAATTTACACAACACATCACACCACAATCAGCTCACTCTACACACACGCAATCCCACAAGCAGCCTCCAAACACATGCACAATACACTTTCCTTGCCATTTTGTCCTCTGGTATCCCACTTATGGAGACACCAGAGACAGAACAAATACAGAACTTTTTTTCTCATGCTAGAGCTCTTCAGCAGAACTCTGCACATGGGCTGCCCTGGAAGAGCATTGAACCAACTGAGAGGGGGCGTGTTTATCATTGGTGATGACAAAACGCCACCTCTCTCACCCCACCACTCTGTCTGGGCCACTGTGATTCAAAAATGCCCAGGCTGAATTTTTTTCCCAGTCCAGGCCTGGTTTAGGCTCTGACCACAATTACGCACAACGTAGTCCTATCCCATGTAATTTGTCCCAAAACACTTTGCTTGCTGAACTGTTTTTGTTGCTGCCAGTTAAGACACACACAAAGAGAACGTCCAAGTAGCTACCTGGCTAACAGATGTTTGCAACTTGTTTTTTTTTCCTCTAAATATCTTCAGATCTATACATTTACTAGCCACTAAGCTACTATGATTTACATATAATGTCACTGTCTGCATGACAAAATACATGTTATTAAGCAGTTTTGGTTACTCCACAATTTTCAGGTCATTTAAATTTACAGTTGAATAGCAGGCTGATTAAACTTGTTCTAGATTATGTTCTGAGCGTTGCCCTCATCCTGTTTTCTATTTTGTTCCTCTAGAACTTTTGTATGAAGATGTATTTTCAGTGTGGGAAGTTATCTGGGCTGCTAAACACATATCCTCAGCACATTTTGTACTATTTATTGCTCTTGCTCTGGTGGAGGTTTATCGGGAGATTGTACGTGACAACAATATGGATTTCACAGATATCATCAAGTTTTTTAATGGTAAGAAACACTTATTTGATTTGGATCTTGGGGAGATGGTTCTTCAAGTACACATTATTTTGATCCTAATATCAGAAAGTCAAACAAACTTTTAAAAGTTCTAAATATATTTGAAAACAAGTTATGTAGCAAATACTTTTTTTGTTGAGTTCACTCACGAGCAATACTGGGGAGTTGTGTAGTGGTCCCTTAATCACTTCAAATCATCTACATATGTATTGTGCATTCATTTGAAGGCTCCAAACTGCAGAGGGACTGCAAATTATTTGAGAATTATAGCAACGAATATTCCCTCTGGCCAGTTTGTGTGCTTAGTGAAGAAACTCTGGGCACGTACTGGTCCTGTCTCAGGTTTGACCATTGGTGATTTTTGTTTTTGATCCATTTCCTTTTGCCTCTATCTATCTTTTTCTGCTACTCATTTTTTTGACACTTTTAAATGTGCTAATCCATCATAACATTCTGATTAAATGAACTGTAAATTGCACATAAATTGCATCACGTCCACAGTAATACATTCCCAGAGGAACTGCGTTTTTATATACTGTGGTATTCAGATGCCACCTCAAAGTTAGAGCCACTCTTCTGAAACTATAGTTCAACTGGGCACCTTTTATATAGGTTGTAGAAAATGCCATTCAATAAACCTAACAGTACTTATATATATCGTCTCCATTGGAACGACGTAAATGTACTACTTCAGTTTTTTTCTTGTCATTACGTGGAAATAAGTGATTTTGTATTATTAAGAATTATGTGAAATTTGCCATCCATATTGTGAGAAATGTAACCTTTGTACTTAGGATTAGAAAAATGTATGCATTCCCCCAGAAATGCATGCACAGTTGCACACACAAATTGTTTACAGGGTTTTTCACCGAACACTGGATTTTGTTTGAATTGACAAAATCCAGTAAAATTACCGAATTTGGGCAGCATTCAGCCTGTTTTGCATAATTTGTTCTCAAGTGTTCAGAAAATCATTAATATCCGCATTCTAACCAATAAAAAGCACATGGAATGGACATTCATCGGTGACTGCATGGAGTTAAACAAAAAGTAAAAAACAAGTAATGAGGATAAGGACTTGGCTGCAGTGAGAAGTCTCTCAGTGCTGGAATAAAAGTGCATTTGATAGAACTTTTAATGTTTAAAATAATAAATGTGGAGGGGAGACAATAATCTAAAATAGAACAGGAACACATCTAACAAAAATAGATGTTTTAATTTTATTTTTTATGTATTAGAGTGTTCCTTTACTTACAATTGTTGACACACACATATTTACACTCAATGATACAGAAGAACATAAACTCAATTAAACATAAACAGGGATGCTGCAGACTCACTTACTAGCTCAGCTGCATGGGTTTTGGTGTTAACCAGATAGGGTACAGACCACTGAGGTTAATCCTGACGAGTCCTGGACAGTGTGAGGGTGACCAAGGCTGATCTGTAGTTGCACAGTGTCAGCATTATTCACTAAAATGAGAATTCAAAGTCAAATTAGCCAAACTGGAATTCTCAATGTCAGCTATGTTTTCCCTTCAGCTACTCTAGACTTCAATTTGAAATTCACTTTAAATTCTCACTTTAGTAAATAACTCTGTCAATATTGCCCCGGTTGTAGAGGGACAAGAAGGGGAAACTCCAGCTATGGGAAAAGGCAGAGCTTGTTTCTACAAAGCTAGAAGGCTGTTTCAGAAGCCATTGCCCAAACTTTGGGGGTTTAAAAAATATAAATAAACAAATGTAAGGAATAAATAATGTGCTGACCCCTTAAATTTGCCACTCTAAGTCGATTTGGCCTAGTTATAAATAAATTACTGTCCTTAGGATACCCAAGTCATTTGCAGTATTTCCATTCTTTTACTATGTAATTACAATTTGTTATTTTATGTATTTCTGATTTTTGCATTTTTCTTTTATATTTTATATTATCTTATACATAATTTATATTTTCTCTCTTATTCTTAGAAATGGCTGAGCATCATGATGCACAATTAATTTTGCGGATAGCACGTGAACTGGTCCATAAGGTTCAAACTCTGATAGAAAATAAATGAGACATCTTTTCATTGAGGTGGAATGTTGGATCATCATATAGAGGTGCTGAAAAGGCCTTCAACTGTGTCTTGCAGATGTCCTACTCACCTTGCACTGTAAATCCATAAGGACTTTTTCAGGAATTTTTTCCACCTGATATATTAAATATTTTCAATTTGTAACATCAAAAAACAGCTCACACATATCTTCAAAGTGTACCCGTGTTTGATAAATCTTTAATTTTCTTGTATATCTAGCATATCCAGGTCTCCGCTTACCACGAAAAAGATCTTCATGAATCTGTGCTAATGGGTAAGCACTTCTGAACTCTACTCTTTGCTGCTACACTGAGCTCTGAAGCTGTGTAACTGAATTATCTCCAAAATGTAAAAGCCTCTACTTTGTTGGCCAAGGAATTCATAAAATCTTCTAACTGCAGAGTGCAGTTGAAGAGCAATGACATATGTTGCTCTTTTAGAAATTATCATATGAACCAATTTTTTATATTTTTGTTATGCATGCAGACATGTCTCCGTATAACCCCACTGTGAAGACAAATGACAGGTTATGGTATGAGATAGAATGGACATCCAGATGCATCAAGATGAGTTTGGTCCTAAAAGGTTAGCGTAACTTCCCAAGGCAGTAAACATTCAGGAGTGTTAAACTGTAACTTCCCAGAGAACATATTAAACCTTATATGGTCACGTTAGACCATAGTGTGAACAAGAATTTATGAAAGACACAGCCAACATGAAAATGTTATTTATGCTAAGATGGTGTTCCTACACTATATGAAGTGGTAGAGCTTGCCTATCACCGGTCTAGGATCCCATTTCAGACCTAAGACAAGGAATATACTAGTAATTATTGGTTTTGTTGTCATATCAGTATTCAAGTCACTCATTATCAGGTAACTTTGCATCCATGGGCGCACATATCACTTTTTGGTCTGGTGAATGTCCACCAGATGACCCTTAGACCTGTTCTGGGGATGACAGTGGTGTTCTGTACATAGAACCAACCATCAGTCATTAAAGGCTATGGTAAAATGGTTGACCGTAATCTATGTTATTGAAAACTAACATTTTAAGATTACTGTGAACCAGCCAAAGTTAATTACATTAATCAATATATGAACGTTGGTGTGTGACCTCTAGTTGTTCTTTCCAGTATCTTGGTGGTTCTGAAGGATCACAATATTTTCTTTCTGTTTGAGGAAACTGCCATGCTTGTGTGATGCTAAAACCACCAGAACACAAGGTGGCTGCATGTTTTTTTAAGTGTAGATGGTACGGAATTCTAATAATTGTGTTTGCTATATATCTTATATTCACTCCATCATTTTTTATTAATGGGAAAAAAAACATTATTTTATTACTTCCCTGCTTGATTCTCATAGGCTACTTATAGACCTAATGTCCGCAGGACTTATACTGTGAATTGCATTCCCCATTTACACGTGCTTTATGATTGACTGTTAAATGCCAGTATCGAGTCCCAGATGTGAGGCAACTTTCCAGATGTTAATCATCTCAAATATTCACCTATACCAAATTTAGATTTTTTTTTTCATCTCCAAGCACCACTTTAGCCTTCAACACAAACACAAATGTAAAGAAATATCACAAAGTAACAGAAATAAACAGATGAAGTTCATGTGCATAAATATTTTTAGGTTAGTATTCCCTGAACTGTATTTAGTCATACAGTTTTGGAATACCAAGCATCATTAGGTTTGATGTGCCACCCAGGTTAAACTTCCTCTTTTTCATGTGTGAAGGTAGTAAGTACCGTGTAGAAGAGGACCCCTTCCTTCCCCCATTACCTATCATTAGCTTACCTCAAATAACCAGACTCAAGACGTAGATGGGGACAAACAGGCCACATCTTTATTTAATATGAATAAATCTCATTAATTTAACATATTAACATAATACATTAACACAATATACCTGTAAAAATTTCAAACTCAAACCTTGCCCTCATCCCTCACCCTAACCACAAACCGGCCTCAAAACTGGCCTTACATTAACCTCCATGCTAACCACTGGCCTTTGGCTCAGCCGGCATTTCCTTTACCCATACTAATGACCTAGATTAGGGGAGGGATCAGCCCCGATCCTAATTTCCATTGGACCGCTTGCCAACCCGATTTTCTAAGTGCTATATTTTATGACTTCCTGTGAAATTGTTAATCAGCTTTCATTTTAGGAAGCTGATTGTGAACAATCAACAGCACACACAGCCATATCCCTTCTCCAGGAGAGAGCTGTATGCGCATTGGACAGTAGTATTACATTCCTATACTGTTTAATGAACATATAACTCCATACTGTAAATTGTCACGGGCCGGGCAGGAGGGCTGCACAGTGTTTTATGCAGATGATGATGGGGAACTATTGAAAGCTGAGATGACTGCCATATACGCCAAGCCTCCTCCACTATCAGAGGAGCTCTTTTAAAAAAATGTGCATTTCAAAAGGATAAAACAGCGCTCACACACAAAACAAAATACAGTTTTAAATCAGTTGGCCATGTCACATTAAGCCCACCACAAAATTACAGTACCCCAATATCAGTGGGTCCAGCACTAATTTTAACATGGGAGATTAACATGCTAACTGCAATACTTACTGCTTAAACTGCTTCCAGAGAGTTTCCTCAAATATAGGCTTTCCTGTGGTCACCTCCAAAGAGGCACTTAGAGTGGAGTCACGGGGTGCTCAACGCAAAAATCTGATCTGGATTCCAGATGTACACACAAACAAACGAATTGGAGGGAACACCCAGAACATGCATTTCTCAAATATATACAAAATACAGATTAAGTAACAGCACATAAACAACAAAATACAGTTTGAAATCTTACAAATCTTAACAAGTAAATATGCAGATTTGGCTACACCATATGGTCATATCATGTTAAGACCACCACTACGTTACAGTACCCCAACATTGATGTAATCCTTAGCTAATTTTACCATAGGAGATAAGCATGCTAACGATACTTACTGCTTAAATTGATTCCAGAGACTCTCCTCAAATCTTTTCTGTGGTCTCCTCCAAAGTGGCACTGAGATTGGAGTGGGGTTTAGTGCGGCTAACAGAAACTCATTGCAGGATATATTATTCTTGTTCTTGATAATCTCAATGAGACAGCCATTAGAGGCTGGATTAACATTCAGTGAAACATAGCAGTTTCTTTGAAACTGCTATGTTTTCAGCTACAGGGTTAAAACTAGAGGGACCTGGCACCTAGACCACTTCATTGAGATGATGTGATCTGGGTGTCTGTAGTGGTCCTTTAAGTGTATGTGTACCTGCATGCACTGACGTACATACCGTGGTCGCATCCCTGCGACCCCTGAGACCAGGTGCCCGCCGCCTTGTGTTGCGGCCCTAGCCCGCGCAGAGTAAGCGCGGGGGTGGGGGGCCCCATAGGTTGTGTGTATGCCACTGGTCCCTTTAATGTAATTGAGATTCATTGTTTGATGAACATGCAAAACCCAATTTCTATATAGGATTCACACGTGAGTATTGCTGGTATTTAAGCATATACTGTATAGTACAAAATGACAGAATAGACAAGGAGTGAGCTTTGAAGGTGTAACTCTCTGCTTGCAACGCTTCACTTTATAGTTCCCAAAAAAACTAACTTAGTAACATACCTGGCTGTAATGAGAACCCATCTTGTCCCTCTCCCGAGCCCCATATGTGACAGGATACACCTGTCATGTATCCTGTCACATACTTCAAACGTGTTACATACCATCTTACAGTTACATTCACTAAGCCACACACACCTATTCACATACCACAGCCTACCCAATAACATTCACCTCATCCACTAGATTACATATACTGCATTCATTCTGTTTTTTATGATGTCCTTTATTGTGCAAGTGGTGAGGCATATGAAATGAGCGGTCATATGAAATGAGAGGAACAAGATGTGTAAAGGTAGAAATTTAACTACATCCATATATGACACTGAAAAGTTATGCCCCCAGGTCTCATTGACCCTATGGTCACTACTGCTTCTGATTTGCCTTTAATAGATATGAGAATTGCAAATTTGGACAGAATTTAGTCGTGTTGACCAGATTTTGCAAATCTGGACCACATCCGTGCATTAGTGAATTACTCTGTTAGTGAACTTCACACATGTTAAAAAGAATAGTTTGGTGGATGCTGGAATGAAAGAATAATTGGCTGATCCAATGTGAGAAAAAATGTCAGAGGGCAGCCTATCTAATATACATGTTTATAATACAAGACATTCACCTTTATCCTGATTACCTATCCACTTCAGTGTTAAGTGATATCATTGATTTTCCAGTTAGCCCTTCAAGAAATTCCACAGGCAGACTGCCCTTTGTGTTTAAACACCATTTCTTGTGAAATGTGAGCATTACTTTTTCAATCTAAATGTCACACTGTCACTGCCTTTATAATGTAAAAATAAAATATAACCCAACGTAACTGGTGTTAAATAGACAACATTCTGATTTCAGAATTTAATATCTCAGTGCTTGTCTTCAAGTAGCTTTATCATCCTTACCAAGAGATCTAAATTACCATTAAAATGCAGGTTTAAATATCACCCACACATCTGTTTTACATTTTTTCAGCATCCGTCTTTACAACATGATGATGTTTGTGGATTATTTCCTATGATGTTCCTTGCTCAGAAACAAACATTTGCAGTGACAATTTTAGTCATCACCTCAATGAAAAAAACAGAAAAGATTCAGTGCTTGAACAATACTGATCTAGTCCAAAGGCAGTTCAATCACCAAAAGTCTATCATGTCCGATAGGGGGTAGTATAAAACATGAAAAGAAGTCCTTTAAGGAATGTATGCAATGACAAAAAAAGGGAAAACAAAAAGGACAGATAGTGTAGTAAGTTGAAAACTACTTGATAAAGTAAATGCAGCTCTGACTTACCTACCCCTGCTTATTAGCTACTACACTATATACTTTTATTCTGTCTTGTATTTTTATTTTTTTATTCTTTATTTTGTTGTGGAATAATTTCCGCAAGTTTTGGTGATAATATAAATTTTTCCAGTGCAAAAAGATAAAAGACAAACATAACAGTAGTTATTAACATACAGGAGTTAATTGTGGCTTGACTGATGGGTCCCCTGAGGGCGAACCGTTCGGTTTCTGTTTAGATCCTCTGTCTTGTCCCCATGAGGTCCCCTCCCTTTTCTCTCTTCGGTCGTATTCACCATCTCTATCCCGCTTTTCACTTGCTGTCTCCCTTAGTCTACGACTTGGCACATGTGCGCGGCGTCCAAGCCCATGTCCTGCCTCACTCCCCACTCGCCTCCAGTCCCCTTGGCATCTCTCTTATTTTCGGGTCTCCCAACTGTCACCCTGTGCGCCCTCTGATTATAATCGGTGGGGTATGAGTACGGGCTTTCCCCATGCCGTCGTGTCAAAGGAGAGGGAGGTCCCCTGGAGCCCATGGTGGCTGTAGCGCCTATTCTTGGGTCTGGTCTCTATGTGTAGGCCTGAGGTCTGATCACCTGTCCCAGGTCTATTTCTCTCGCTCCCCCTCCTGTAGTTCACCTGAAGGCCGTCCTCTCCCCCGTCTGTCCTTTGTCACCGCTGTGGTCCCTCCCTATGTAAATGAATTGGTGTCCATGTCTCGAACTTGGGTGAGCTCGTTGACAGCTCAGGTGAATGCAGGATCATGCAACCGGGCATAGCTCGTTAGTAGCACATGTGGAGTAAAATAATAACAAATGAATAATAAAGTCTATTTGGTATAACACGTTATTGACTCTGGTAGGGTCAAGAATATACAATGTGGCATGGCACTCTAGCCGTTCACTTAGGGTTAGGAATACTCATTTTGGTATAACACTTTAGCAGCTAGTGTAAAGGTAAAAAGACACTATTTGGTTTAGCATGCTAGTGGCTCTTGTGGGGTTAATAAGAGGCAGTGTGGGATAACCCTCTAACAGCTCGTGTAGAATTGAAGCTAAACATTTTGGTACAGCACTCTCGCAGCTCCCATAGAGTTAAGAATAAACATTTGGGTTTAATATGCTAACAGCTCATGTAGAGTTAAGAAAAAAATAACTAAGGGGGAAAAAAAAGACAAAAAACTATTTGGTATAACACGCTAGCATCTCATGTGGAGTTTAAAATCAAACAACTTGGTGGCATACGCTTGCAGCTCTTATGAAGTGGAAGCTGCCTCCGTACATGGCAGAAGCAGTAAGCACAGCTGTAAGACCATTAACTGAAGGATCAGAGTAAGGAGTACACAGTAAAAGAAAAAATAAACATTAAACATTAAAAGAAAGCGGACTTGTGTTGTAAAAATTTACTTAAGTCCCGTACGGGCCTTTGCTTAGTCTCTCCAGGCCTCTTAGCTGCGATCTCCCTTCAGGACTATCTGACCTATGAAGGTTGCTGTTGTGTTGGTCTCCCCTCCGCCGCCCTGCCAGAGTTTTCTCCCCTCTCGGTGGTATGTGTCTCAGTGAGCCCGGTTCACTCCCGTTGTAGCGGGCTTCAGCTGTGGCAACTGGAGCCGCCTCAGAAAGCCTGTGGGTTCTTTCGTAATGGACAGTGACAGCACTGCATCCCCATGTGGTACTACCAGGGTACATGACGCTGTAGGGTTTGTTCCGTGAGTTAGGATCGCTGCCTTCACCGCTGCACTCCGAGTGACAGCGATAATGTCTCTGGGAGCCTCCATGGAGGCTCCCTCTCCCCCCACCTTCATCAAAGTGGCCATTTTGTTGGAGAACTCCAGTACCGTCTCGGGTCCCACCGTCTCGGGCACCCCACGGATGCGTATGTTTTTCTTGCGGTGCCTGGCCTCCGTGGTAGTGACGGTGCGGGTGAGTCGCTGGAGCTGCTGGGAGAGATCCTCTACTTTGCCTCTGGTCTCCATGAGGATATTATCTCGGGTCTCTACCGCTCCCATATTGGCCATGATGCCGCCCAGTTCTCCGCTCACCCCGTCCAGGTCCTTCTTCCAGACCCCCCAGAGCTCGAGCAGGAGTAGAGGTTGATGTGTCCGAGTCGGAGTCATCCCTCTGGTATACCCCACTAGGGGCTTGTGTTGTCTCTGGTTCCTCCTCGTCTGGAGACATCGCCGACTCGCTGGAGCCTCGAGGCCTGCTAGGCGCCATCATAGGCTGTGTTGGCTGTTGCGGCCTATCAAAAGACCACCTTATATCAGGCATTTTGGAAGCCTCAGAAGCCAGCAATTTTCTATGTTTGCACCCCATCTCTCTGTTGGGGGGTTCAGGGTCACCAGGAGCCCAGCTGTGGCTTTAGTCTGCAGGTTTTTCGTGGCGTTTTGGTGTTGTTTTAGGTTATTTTCCAGGAGCTCTCTGTAAACACGTCTGCTTAGATGCTCAGCTAGCCACGCCCCCCTCATGTCTTTTATACATTAAGAGGATACCCATCGTTGTAAGGAAAACTTGAAGAATCTGTACCACAATATATCCATAGGTGGAGATCATTCCACCCAGGCGAGCTGTATTTAAACTCCCTGAAAGTGTGAGTGTACAATTTTTAATTTTCCTTACTTTCTCAAGAAGTTTTTAACGTACTACACTATCAGTCCTTTTCGTTTTACCTTTTTTTGTCATTGCATATGTTCCCTAAAGGACACTTCAGGCTCTGCCGCTCCTCCCATTGTAAGAAGTCAAACCAGGTCCCGTTTCCTGCTTTCTCTCAGAGCAGGACTGGCACATTGGCTGCAAGAATCTACCGATGTCTCTCAGCCAAGGAGCTCAGCTCTGCAATGCCAGGCTTAGCTCAGTGAAGATAACTTTCGTGGTAGTGGTTATGGTGCTTGAAATGTTACGTTAAAGTGGAAATTTAATTTCACTGAACTTTTAATATTATGTTTACATATTCCATAAGTTTAACAAATATCTGTTTGTCAGGGATGCACAGAGAGAGTAGGAGTAAGAAAATCACTGTACCTGTTTCTCCTGCTCTATGCAATGTGTGCCCTGGCTGTGCCTTGACTGAGCTGGATTGTGTCAGTCTATAATATACATTTCAAAGAAATCCATTTTCGCACTTTTTTTTAATTGGCAAGTTTGTCACTTCCAATACGTATAAAAAAGAGGTGCAAAAGCGTATTTTTATCCCCAAGAATATTTTTCCGCCACTCTAGGCAGAATGGTGGGTTTCAACTATCACATTATTTCTTTTTGTTTCATGTTTAAAAGAAATCCTTTAAATTGACTGGCTAGTGGGCCGTTTTTCCTAATAGTAATTTGTCTTATTATGTGAGTATAATTAAAGGGAACCTATATTCCCAAAAATAATTGTTATTTCGGGACTATACATTCCCTTCTGTCCACCACCCTTTGCTTTTAAAAAATAAAGTTATATAAAGATTACTCAGCTCATATGAGCGCACCAACTAATCTGCTGCAGCCGCCATCTCCGCTTACAAAAATGTCAACATAGTTGCTTCTCAAATGTTTTTAACAGCATTTAATTTCCAGACTGAGCTTTACTCGGTCTGGAGGAGGTAGCACCTCTAGTGGCTGTCTGCACACAGATCACTTCATTGAAATAAAGTGGGTGATTTTAGTGTTCATTTCAATGGTAAAATTATCAGAAAGAAAGAGCTACAACTCCAAAAGAAGACCACGAAATTACAAAAGACAGATCTTGGTGCACTTCAGAAATAGCAGAAACAAGAGGCACCAATGTGTAAATGGTAAAGTTTTATACAAAAGAAAATGGTGCATTCACACCAAATCAAATACCTGTTCTATGCTGAATATTCCCAGTATGGCTGTTTCTAATCTAAATTTTGAAAGTTGTTTCTTAAGATGCCACAGGTGTTTACTAAAAATTGCCCAGTTTACACACTATAAACTCTGCTTTATACAATAGCAGGTCTTACTATATATGTTAAATGCTACGGACGATAAATTGTGGACATGTTTCTATTTTTATGTACAACTAGCAGATCTATATTTCTAGAGTTGGTACAAAAATGTGCCACTGTCTATGCCAAACCATGACAAATTCAGGAAAAGTAAAGAAAAGCTAAGCATTGGCACAGTCCAGAATGCATGCACCTACCTGTATTCACCTATCTGCTTCACTACACAACTCCTACTAATGATACGTTTTAACCACTGCCTATTTAATGATTCCTCATATTGCTTTAACACGAATAAATGGCATTCGCCTTGTACGTGAAAAAAAATTGTGAACACCCTGACTATACATAAAGAGTAAGTTGTTGGGAATTCAATGTGATTATGAAATTTTGGCTGAAATATCCAAATTGGGCAAAGACCCCCAAGCCTGTTATGTTTTTAGATTGGCTACTGAGGTCTAATTTTGAAATCACTTTGATTTCCCCACAATTTAAACTCTAGTGTATATCCCCGTGTGCAGAGTTCGTCAAACCGTGCATGACAAACTACTGTTGTTGGTTTCACCCCTAGAATCTGGATGTTCTGATATCTGGATGTTCTACATTGGTAATAAGTTTGTACCTGCAACCTTTAGTTAAACTAAAACAGTAATGATTGAACCATGGCACAGTACATGATTGTGGACTACATTTTATTGATATTCTGCCAGCCCTCGGTGCCAAGTTTAGCCATTAATGGACTAACTGACTGTAAGAATGTTAAGAAAGAGAAATGCTCCACAGCTCCACAGCTAACTGTGGGAGTCTTAGGGCTCCATGCCCAACATATTGTGTATAGATATTTTATTTATGTTTTCAGAGACATTTGTTACCCATTCTTAACCATTGCCATGTGCCAAGCAGATCTATTTATCAATATGTGTAAAATACAAATAAAACATGGTTGGATCTTTGAGTTCTGACTTCTATTTTATTAAATGTTCTTCAGACTGTAAACAGATATATTCATAAAGTCGTCAAAGTCATAAGTGTCTACTGACTGATGGATGTTGATTATTTTTCTTATGTTTAGATGATCCATGTAATAGCCTTGAAAATAATGTACAATTATATTGTTACTATGGCACCTGTGAAGCTCAAATTGCAGAAAAACGTAATGATGGCCTACAGTCAATTTATTTTGACAATCTCTTTTTGTAAGATTTTGACAGAGCTATACAAGACAATGTAAAAGAAAAAGACAATATGGGGAGGTAGACAATACCAACATATACAGTGAAAAAACATAGAAAAGTATCTGAGGTATACCTCTCCGGGTAAATACTTTAGAATCAATAGGAATTATCTCAAACCAATAGATTAATGTGCAAAGGCAAAGCTGTATTTGGCATTTGATAAGAAAAAAAAGGCATGGAAGGGGACAAGGCAATCAAAATATGATAACTGAAAGAAGAGAGAAAAAAATAAATTGGAAGAAAGAAAATAATGTGAGTAGAGGTAAGTGGTGCAGAAGTAGGACAGAAGACAATACACACGGACCAACAAGGCACATAACTAGTGCACATAGAAACAATAGAATCATGAGTGAGTACCGCGAATGCACAGCCAAGTTCACCACATCATGAAAAACATATTGATGTTTTTCAAGGTAGCCTTCTGCACTTTCAACTATCGAATTTCCTCCATCTGACCCAACCAACTCTGATAAGAGGGTACATCTTGTTATATCCAGAGTGCAGGGATAAGGGACTTGGAATCAGTCAGTTTGTACGTGTTGAGAACTCTTTTGTATTTGGAAACTCCACAGCTTCATCTGCAATAGAAGACATGATGTCATATAGCTATTTTCAATAGGGAGCCAGAACAGGGCACTCGGAGAATATGTACAACAGTGATCCAACTGCCACAGAGTACCTCCAACACTGATCTGATTTTTCAGGAGAGATTCTGTGCAACTATTGGGTCGTATTATACCAATTTGTCATAATTTTGTATTTAATTTCCTAATATTTAGATCATAGGGAACTTTGATGAGATAGTATCATAATTGTGTACCACTCTTGGTCAGAGCAGGACAAATGCAGGTCCCCCTCTCAGTATGACATAAATTTAAGAGGTTGGAACTGGAAGACAGAGAGATGGTAATGTTCAAAAACAGTGAGTTATTAAAACAGCATAGCCCTAGGGGCGATCGAGTAGTAAAAGTGCCTGAGCGGGAAGTACCGAAATGACTCAATGGTGGTTGCCGGTTGCCTGTCTAGGAGTAACTTTGATAACAAGTTTGGGATCTCCCCAGCGTCCAGCCATACTGTCGCTGGAGGCAAGTCTCCAGCAACAGCTCGCTCCAACAATGGCCATGCTCATTGAGAACCAACTTATGTTCAGGTTTTTTTCCACGCACAGCATCTTTAACATGTGCATTCCCTAAGCCTAGGTCCTCCTACGTCTGATCATCCCCTAACCCCAAATTCCCATAGTTGAAACTGCAGAGCTCCCAGATTGCAGAACCTGGGTTGGAGCACCTGCTCATTGCTTGTTTCCCCATAGTTAACAGTTTTAGTAGATGATTCAAGACAACGGCAAACGTATAGGAGAAAGTGGCTGTAGATCTACAAGCATAATAAAAAGCAAAAATATAGCGTAATACTGTTATAATATAATAAAATACGCAAGATTAGAGTGCACTCACAGGATATAGTAGAATTAATCCCAGAAAGGTGCCTCCCTTGATGGTATGGGGGGCTATAGCCAGGACCCCTTATTCTTAGGAACCACTGCTGGAAGTATGGAGAGCCGGACTCAGGATGCAGGAAAAAACTACTTTATTTATCCAAAATATAAAATTAAGCTAAAAAAGCTTTAAAAGTACAAGAGTTGCTAAGGAGTTATCCTACATGTTTCACCCAAAATAGGGCTTCCTCAGGGAATCTCCCAAAGTATATAGCAACATAAAATATAAAACAATGAAATAAATTAACAAAATAATGAATTCCTATAAAGCAGAATATAACCTCCCCCCTGAGTCTATCTTTATAAATGGCTCTTGATCCTTGTAATTTCGGGTGTTTTCACGAGTCAATAGGCTGTTCTTAGACTTCCTTAATGAAATTTACATTGCCCGGTAAAATCGGCATTCACTTCCGGATTTTCTACGTCATTTCTGGTTCGCCGTCTTTCTTGGGTGCACTATAATGACGTGTGCGTTCCATATGGCTGTTCTGTGTTCCACCTTCGGTACTAGTATTAATATCTATCTAAAACAATGAAAGAAGCTAACAAACAGTAATTCATATATTTGAGTGAATATAATTAATTGACCATATCTATATAATGATAGCTTAAGAATAGCGTCCAGTTTATCCTCCCCATGGAAAAAAGGACACAACTTAGTAGATGATTGCAGTGTGCATGTAAAGACATACTTTGCTTTTGTACTCTATGGGGTCTTTGAATTGGCATTAACCCTAGACAGTAGTCTGACGATCATACTAAGAGCCATAACCTCACAGGTTTATAGTTAAATTTAATAATGCCAGGACTAGGAATTGATAGGACAAATATGCCATCTTCTGGAATACATTAATGGTTTCATTTGTTTCACCACACTGATTTAGTCCTAGGATATCCATTTGGACAATGCCCCACCACAGTATTTGTCCCAAGCAAGACAGACTAGCTTGGTAGGAATCACACATCAACTAAATGTGGAGAATCAGATTTCCACAGCTGTGACTTAATCATTTTACAGACTAACAAATTAGAAGTTATAAATAAAAAGGGGATAGTTCTATGATAGTGTTGTTTCTATTCACACAAAAAATATGTACGACAAGGTCATCTACAGATACAAGTTAAAACATTCTATACCATGTGCTAGCAAAATCACAGTTGAGTGTATATAACTTGCACGATGACATCATACGTGCCGAATGCAGAAGTGCCTAAATCACCCAGGAGGAGAAACCCAATTACAGCCAATTAGCAAAGGTATAAAATAAAGGTTCAGAAGAGGAATAATAGCTCTTGAGAAAGTCCATCAGTGGGACGAAAAGTGTTGAATGAATTCCGGGGTGAATTACCAGCTAATTGTGGCTGATCCAGGAAACCCAGGACATTCAAACTGTCTGTTGAATGCACCTTTGCAGAGGTGGCTTCCTTTATATGTGGAATGGGAGATCTTCTGGACACACGAGCCAGATTATCCCAGAGATAGTGGCCCCTCAGTATTGCACTTTATTAAGTTTGTATTCTGTAGTTTGTTTTGTACATAAAAAATGTCACTTTGCTGAAACTTTTACACACAAACGCCAACAATGCATCCAATGCCACCATGTCCATGCAATATTCCAAGAATGGAATGTCAGTTTAGTAACATTGTTCAGTTTCTTCATGTAATAGAATCTAGATATTAGCTGTCTTGCACATATAATGTGCAGATCTTGACAGTCAACAATCTTATGTTCATATTATCCATCAGATTGCTTGATATAGCAGCCCTGCAGTTCTCCAACAAACACATGAATTAAACAGCTAGAGCCAAACAACCAGGTGACTCTATGTTACATGCTACGGATATATATAGTAGACCAATTCTGGTGGCCAGTCTATCACTGGTTAGAAAACAAGAAGCTTTGCAATTTAGCGTAATAAAAATCCCCTTCATTACAATCTTTGCCTAGAAACCACCCATGTATAAAAACACCTTCTGGTCTTCTCTCCTTTAAGCCTATAAAGCTGAGGTGTCAATACTTAAAGGCCATGATTTACTTTTGTGGGTTAGCAGTTCTCCTGAAAATCCCACTGGCTTTATTATTTTTCCTTATTATTTTGAATACAGAAAGTATTTTCTTTCAATGGGTGAGGTGTTAACTGTTCACTTCATGTAATCAATTTCTGGAGACACTGAAAGTCATTTACATATTTAAAAGGAACCAGGATGCCTTGCATAAAGAAGTAATGCCTTGTTAAGAAAATACCTGTCGTGATTTTGATCAAAATGCATAAATTTAATTCCCATCTGCTGCATACATTGAATTTCCCATCTTTTCTCTTTGAGTGTAGAACGGACATGCAGAATGATAGAAATTGATAATATACCATAAATGGACACTAGAGGGCAGCAGAAACCGTACAAGAAAATTGAAATCAGTGAAAAATACATAAGAGAAAGAAAAAGTGCCAATTGCAATACAAAGGTAGACAATACAAGTAAGGACTATGACCTTGGAAAGGGGTGAAGGGTTAGTAGAGTGTTTAATGAAAAGAGTTGTCCTCCAATAACCCTCATTTGCTGGTGAACTTTGACCTCAATGATTCTTAGCTTTTGTTCGCAAAGTATTGTGGAAGTTGTGGCCGGTAACAGTCAACTGTTATGGTCCAGTGTCTTTCCCAGGTCAGTGTCCCACTTCTCTCTATACAACGGGAATTGAAGGAAGCAGAATTTTAAGTACTGAGTTAAGGGGTTAAGGGGTCCTTACAGACACAAGACCCACATTTTTTTTTATAGTTTTGGGGCAATTAGCCTGATCCTTCTGTGAAAAAAGGTGTGGTTATATTGCTGCTTAACACCAGCTCCGACTCAATGCATCTCTGTGAGTAAATACTGATTCGCACAGTGCTGCAATTTGCCACTAAGGAAAGCATTGGATTGGCTGGGATCATAAGGACTAAATTGTAAGCATATAGTTGGCAACATTTGAAAAAAAAAATTCCAGGGACACTTTGCAGCACAGCTATCAATCACTACCTTGAAAATAGACCACACCCACTGCCACAAAGCTCCGCCCACTATGTCCAACCCACATTATTCATCTCCGCCTACTTATCATAGTGCAGATTACAGGGGTCTACTCAATAAAGAGAGAATTACAGGGAATTGAGATGGTAATTTTAAACTTAAAGCCAAAGTAGCCAAGTTTGAAATTCCCATCACAATTCCC